AGTATTTTAACTGTAAATCTCCTTGGCTTATATTCCAAGCAAACTGCACTGGCTGGTGGTTTACACTTTGTAGAAACACAAAGGTGAACGATTTTCCGTTTTTTCCTTGCGGACCATTGCCTGGTCAGGCAGCATTTTCCTTGCAGATACCAGCGCTTCCTGCATCCCTGGAAGAACAGGGGTTTCTCTGAACTGTTTATGGGTCCTTCCCCTTGCCATGCAAAGGAACTCCGCAAGCGGCCGTCCCTCCCTCCGCGCACCGGGTGTGTGTGCAGGAGCGGCGGCCGTGGCTGGGGTGTGGTGGTGGCCACGGAGTCCGTGGGAGGAGGAGCCGCACGAGCTGCTGCGCGCCCAGTGTCCCACAGCCAGAGAAACTTGCTGGGGAGGCTGCCGAGGTGAGAGTGCCCCGACTGCATCAGGAAATTGGGCTTCTAGGGATCAATTACAACTTCTTAATTACTACTTTTCCCTTGCATCTCTGGTGTTTATGTTTGTGTTGATGGTTAATCAGATTTTGCAGCGGTTGGTCACTTAGACTGAGTGTTTGCACTGGCCAAAAGGAGAAGGACCCATTGCTGTCAGCTGCAGAGTTGCTTGGATGTGTGTGGAGGTGCCTGCAGGAAGGAGGCTGGAAAAGGAAGCCCCGTGTGGGAGCAGCTGCCGTCCCGCAGGAGAGCAGCCACGCGCAGGTCTCCCCTGGCCGGCAGCGGGGCCAGGGCTCGCTCTTGCCTTGGTGCTGCCCCCAGTAGCTCTAGGGCCTCTCTGCGGTTTCAGGGGGTTAACTGCAGGAGGAAGAGCAGCAGGGGACTGACAGGTTCAGCAGCCGTTCAGACGGGGCTGCCCCACAGGTGCAGAGCCGCATGGCACCAGCCGAGAGCCCCCAGCCTGCGGCAGGATGCGGCTGCTGCGGCCCAGCTGGTGCGGGCGGCTGCGCAGGGACGAGGATCCTCCCTCACCCCATGAACCTTCCCTGTGCAGGACCCCGGCGCGGAGTCTGCGTTACCCCTATGGAGTTCAGTAGGAGGCCTGTGCAAAACCAGATGTACTTGAAGTGAAGGAAGAGCAGGTTGTTGCTTGTTAGTGGTCTGTTCCTCTAGCTCTGGGCCAGTAAAATACTAGTGCGCACACTGCTGGGGAAAATGATATTAGGTAATTGTGATACTAATTAAAAGGGAAAACTGAGATAGGAAATGTATTATGCTATGTTTTTTCTTTGCTCCTTCAGTGCTCTCAGGCCTAGCAATGAATAGTTCAAAGGGTGTTTTCAGTTCAATTTGTAGAATCATCACAGACTGCTGCGCCCGATGCCAGGAGCTACCCCCATGGGCGCTAATGGGGCTGCTACCCCCAGGACCCCCTCACACACGGGATGGGCAGGACGGGACTCTCGGGCATGAGTGTCCGGCCTCGCTGTTGTTCAGCCTTGCCTGCCTGGGAGCAGCGGCACAAAAGACGGGGTCACAATTCCCTTACGTTAGACTTTGCAGCAGCCGGGGCTCAGCTTTATGCATGACCCATCCTCATCCGCTCACTATGGACCGCGCTCGTCGCTGCCTGGCGACTCCCAGTGCAATGGGCATCACACCAGAGCAAGCAGAAGCAGTAGGACGGTGCCACGGAGGGGCAAGGGGTTTTACCATAACGTGTCTTGGGGCAGGATACTTTTCAGAGTGTCGGTCCCCGTATGGGCAGGGGTGAAATGGCATCTACAGAGAAGGGCCCTGGTCCTGTCCCACCTCGTCGCTTCGTGAGGGTAAGGAGGCGGGAAGCGAAGGCGCCAGCCCAAAGGCAGGCGTGTGGGTCACGGGCCAGGCAGCGGCTGGGAGCCCCTTCTTGTTTAGCCTTTTATGAACTCAGGGCGGGGGGAAGACGTGTTTTTGATGAGGTCAAGCAAAGCACAAACAAAACTTGTGATTTCTGCAGCATTGGAAAAAGATAAATCAGTGTTACCATACTTGTATGATATTTTTCCTCTTCCAGTTTAGGAAGAAGACAGAAGCAAACCATGTATGTAAGCTATAGTAAAACCTCTAGGTGTGTATTTTTTAAGTATCATTTAAGATTAAAGTTCACTTTACATTTTAAATAATGCTTTGACCCCCCCCCCCCCCCCAAACATGTTGGTTCTTCATGGCAATTGCTGCCAATTCTTCCTTTTGGAGGGCATACAGGTGGATCCATGGATAGGGCATGAAATTTTTGTCTCCCATTTTTCCCTCCTGCAACCTTTCTGAAAGGACTGGGGCACGTGAGAGCAGTTGCTTGAAAACAACCACCAAACATCCAGCCCCCTGGCAACATACTGCTGATGCGGAGTGGAGGGATCTTAAAATAATCTTTATCCAAGGATTAAGAGTTCCTGATCTCCCACTGACCTGTTTTCAGAGTAGCAGAAATTCATTACACTTGCAGAAGAGGATGAAAACGCCGTCAAAGGGAAGCGGGACCGTTTCATGGGGACCGGGGAGGGCTGGGCTGGCGGCACCGACCCTGGCGCCAGGCAGCAGAGACCCCGCGGGAGGCACTTGGCATCTGCCTGTGAAGGAGGCGCCCGCGCTTGCTAAGCAGCCTACAGAAATGTCTGGTTTTTTACTTCTAACATAAATAAGCATCCAGATCCTCTGTTTTTCCCTCAAAAAGGAGGAGGAGTCAGGGTGAGATGGAGACACAAACCCAGCTGTCGTCCTCAGGGCTGTTATTCCAGGATAAACATTAGGAAAGAATCGTTGCTGGGCATGGAGAGCCACGGAGCCCCGTTCGGCAGCGCCCTGGAGCGAGCGGAGGGCTGAGCAGCCCCAGCGCTGGCTGGGATATTCATTGTGATTAAATTCTAATGGGAAAAAATAATTGATTACAACTAATTGAGTGCCAGAGAGTGATTTTTATTTCATTGGCTGACATTAATGTGCGGTTTTGGTTATTTGTTCTTGGCTTCTTCCCAGGTTTTTTTTCATGAAATTCATCTTAGCTTGAAACGCCTGACATCTTTATCAAATGATAAATAACAGGGGCTTTGGCTGAGATTCAGTATTTCATAATTAGGGCTGCAAAGGCGTTTTCCGTGGGAGCGAGGGGAGCGCTGCCCCTGGCGGGGCTGGGCGCAAGGCGCGGGGCAGCGGCGGGCGCCTCTCCTCGCTGGGCGGCTGTCGCGGCCTCCTCGGGCTCGCGCAGCCACCACCAGGCCGTTCCTGCAGCCGCTGGAGGAAAGCGCCTCAGCAAGGCTGCTGCTGGTGCAGGTGAGAACCAGCCTCGCTGCAGTGCAGGCGGGTGCCCTTTCTGTGTCAGCGGGGTGTTTCTAGGCATGGGGCGAGCAGCCTGGCCGGGCAGGCTCAATGGTCACGGAATGGGGGTTAGCGAGCCACGACTGGGAGCAGTGGGACAGGAGGGGGCTCTTCCTTGCGCTGACCCACTGGGTGCGGAGGGCTCTGGCGTTTGGAACGGGGAGTAGCTCACCTGGCCAGGACAGCCTGGCGGACGGGCTGCCCTCGGCTCCTGCGGCACCCCCTTCTTATCCGTATGATGCCTAGCGAGTACTTGAGGGAAGTGAAGGAATGCAGCCTGCTCCCTGTGCAGTAAAATTAAGGCGAGAAAAGTGTGGAGCTTTAGCTGGGAACAGAACTGGAAGTGGCAGTGTTAAAAGTGCCAGACAAACTTGGGTCTTGATTTTTAGTGTTGCTTGCAGACCAGGAAAGCTGTTGTGGGAGCAGGACCCTGCTTCTCCGGGCTGTGTCCTGCCCTGGCCTCCTGTAAATGCCGTGGGCAGCTGCAGTCGCTGACACAGGGTGTTCCCAGCAGGGCTTAGGAGCTCCGTGCTGCGTGTGCAGCGACGCTGCTGCAGGGAGCAGGTTCCGCTGGCAGCGTGTCCTGCCCGGCTGCCAGTGCGTCCTGCCCGCGCGCTGCTGCAGCAGCACCCTGGGAGGTGGCGCGGGGCAGAGAGGCAGTTCAGCCCCGCTCTCCGCTACGTGGGGAGAGCCCCTTCTGGGGGTGCTTGATCCCATCCCCTCTGACTGCCGTGGCAGATTCCCAGCTCCGGGGGCAGCCTGGGGCTCGGGAGGCAGCTCTGCAGGCGCTAGCAGCTGGTGCAGCCTCTGTCCCGGGCGCTGGGTACCAGTACCGGGTGCGGGGAGGCCGCGCGTGCCCTGCGCCACGTCAGCGCTGCCTGTGGTGCTGCTGTCCTGCGGGTGGCTGCAGCAGCCGCCTCCGACATGGGAACTTCCCCTGCTCCCAAACAGGGTTCCAGTGTTCCCGTGCCTCTGGAACACAGGCCTTGCCTTCAAAACGTTCCTAAAAGTTCATGTGTTCGTGTTTTCAGGCTTTCTTCCCATTAACAGGAATGGTGTGGTGAGGGTCCAGTACTGTCCTAATATCTCCTTCAAATTAGTGTTTATTCCCCAAAAGGTGCTTCAAATGTATGTTAAATAAGTACAAAATTAACATAAATGTTAGCCTGAAAAGCTGATGTAAAGTTAATTAATGCTGAAAAGAAGTATTGAGAATGCAGCACAGGAAGCTGTGTGTATCGTGTGTGTATACACACACACACACACACAGAGTCTTATTTACCAGCAAAACATTCTTCTAAAGCACTGTTACACTGTCCTTATCTCTAATTATTCCAGGTATAAAACCAAAACTTTTCTGACACAAATACTTGGGCTTCTTCCTTCGTCACTACCCGCCAGTTGGCCAGTCCTGCAGTGTTTCTGCTCGATCTGTTCTCTCGTGGCGTTCAGGCGCGCACTGAAGCCGCGAGTGCCTCCTAGAGCCAAAAGCCTCTGCAGAGGAGAGACACGAAGAGCCCCTTACCCGCCTGCCCAAGCCACTGGCCTTGCCCTTTCATCCCTTCGTCCATATAATGACATTCCACAATTTGCAAAGCAGGCTTGGGAAATCATGCAAGCATTCATAGGATTAAGCAAGGAAAGTTTTAAATGTGTTGCTTATATTGTGTGAGGAAATACTGGAAAGTAGTTGTTTCACCTGAAGTATTTTCATTCTAGGAGCAGGTGCCTGTTCCTGTTTATCACCCCACCCCCAGCCAGACTCGGCTGGCGACGCAGCTCACGGAGGAGGAGCAGATCCGAATCGCGCAGCGGATAGGCCTTATTCAGCACCTGCCTAAAGGGGTCTACGACCCTGGGAGGGACGGCTCTGAGAAGAAGATCAGAGAGTAAGAGATTTAATTGAACTCATTTGGGCAACGTGACAGCACCATGGGCGGGGGGAGGCCATATGAAATAACATTCCGTTTTGCTTGTCCTCTGTTTTTGCCTTAGTTTTCAGAGAGCAGAATTTGGTGTGTCTGATGACACCACTGTGCAGAGAGCTCTCTCCCTTCTCCTGCTTTGCATGTGTCTTACAAATCGGAGTCACTTTCCTCACCTTTGCCCCAGCACCTGCCTCCTTTCAGGCTCCTTCCCCCTTCACTCCCTCTTCAAGGGGAAATAGTGTCAAGCCGCAGCTGCCTCCCCACACGTAGCAGAGCTGCCCCTGCCACGGGGGCGCCCTCCTGGCCCCTGCTTGTGCAGGGACATGGGAGGGAGCGCCACGGCGGGCAGCGGGAACGGGACTGCGGAATGTTCCTGGGAGTTGCATGTAGCGCGGGGCTGACACCAGGAAGCCGAGGGTCACTGCAGCCCCTCTTGGACAGGCCCGTGAGGTAGCAGGACTAATTGTTCTGTATCTGTTTCCCCCCAGATGTGTCATTTGTATGATGGACTTTGTTTATGGGGACCCCATCCGATTCCTGCCGTGCATGCATATCTACCACCTGGACTGTATAGATGACTGGTTGATGAGATCCTTCACCTGTCCCTCCTGCATGGAGCCGGTGGATGCAGCGCTGCTTTCATCCTATGAGACTAACTGAGCCAGGGTTTCTCCACTGAACCGTCAAGGAGACCATCCACTTTCCTGGGTTTGATCCTTTTGTCATTCAGCCCAAAGAGCCAGGAATTAGGAATTAAGATCATGCACAAAATATACATTTCCTAATAAATAAAAAGTATTCCTGAATGGCTGCAAATATTGGGGAAAAAACATAATATTTTAGAGACTATAGAAAAAGTAGGTTGTTATTTTTAATGTAAAGCCTTGACCCACCATTGTCCTTTAATGTTTGTTCTTATACCCATATATAGGAATTGTGTAAAGTGTTACAGCAACTGTAAATGTTTGAACTGCGTGTATCCAATTTTATTAGCAGCAAGATAAGAGTATTTTTTTTTCCTAAATAAAGTAACCAGTTTTGTTATGATTCTTTTCACAAGTCCTGGCATTTGGGTCAAGGCTTTATTAAAATCTACATTTTATAACACTGGCACAAAGAAATAGTTTTAAGCTTGTTTGCACAGTTCTTATTTTTTTTTTTTCCTTTTCCATTGGAGATGGAATTCATTGCCTTAGGTCTTTTTAATAGTGTGTTATTATTGTTGGGCTGGCTCTGTGCTTGAAAACCAGTTTATTTATAACCTGTTAAAAGTGCTATATTTTGTTTGCAGTTAGGAATATGCAGAAATCAAAGTGATCTCCTAGCTTGTAAGCAAACTGAGATGCATTATCCCTTTTCTGCAAGTGATGGTAAATATGGAGGTATGAAATGAGTCCTACACTAAAATTATGGCTTCAAATTTTTTTATAACTCGCTTGGGTTTTGATGAAACAATGATCCTTAAATCTTAGGATGTCACTTTTAACTTGATCAAGTTTAAAGTGGTCAGATTGACAGTAACTAACTGCTATCACGATTGAAAAAAAAAATATTTGGAACAAATGTAGCACTAATGTTGATAACTTATGTGACTTTTTTTTGCTCCCTAAAAATGGTTGGTTTTGATCACAGCAAAAGGATACTGCATCTCTCGTTCCTGTAGTTCTTAGGTTATCAGACATTAAGAATAAACATACTGTATCTCAGTCTCCTGTAGTAAATGTATCTGTTAAGCCCTGCTGGCTGACACATCTGTCCACCAAGCAGCTATGAAATCAGATATGAGAAGAATATATTTTATTTTCTGCACATAAAGGCAAAGTTTATATAAATACAGAATTTCTTAGTAGCAAGCGAGCGGGGAAATAGTACTGCTAAAGCCAGTTAGCTAATTTCTGCAGCAAAAAAGTATGTGCTTGCTAAGAGATGGGCTAGCAGAGATGGTAGTTACAGAGTCCTCTTAGCCACTTGGCCTGGTTCTTTTGTTTCCTTAACGTGCCCACTGTGACTTCTAGCCGTTCAGTGCAGCAGCGCTACGCCACGAGCCTGCCACGAGCCTTGGTCTTGCAAGGGGAGATGCAGTCTCCTGCTAATCACAGCAAAGCGGGGCTCAGTCTTAATTGTTTTGCACCTGCAGTTGGAGCACCTTATGTGCTCCAAGAACCAAGTACGTGGCCCCCTCACTCCAGGAACTGAGCGCGGACCGGGGCTGGGCACGGATCAGTTCTGGAGGGTTGCTCAGCAGAACAGAGAGTCAACACGTCAGATTCTTTCTGACTCCTGCTGCTCGCAGGAGCAACCACCTTAAAGCCGTCACCAGTTCAAGATTCAGCCAAATTGCTCACGTTTATCTGGACACTTTTTTTTGCTTAATTAATACCTACTTAATTACACTGAGCAAAATTTGAGAAGGCAGACCTGACGTTGTGCAATATATTACAGTGGAAAATCATTGTTCCTTTTCATCATTCCATGTGTGTTCTCTTGTGTCCTTTTCATCTGTTTGTTTGGGGGGGGATTTTTTTGTTTTTACATAAAGCATAATGTCCACGTAAAATATTAGTTTCTTTTCTTTTACCTTGTTAAAAACTGGCAAATGAACAATTTTAAAAAACACCTTTGGCATGTTGGTATTGGTCTTTATTTATTACAAGACTTTAGTAAGAAAGAGGTGAAAGAAAGATTAAGTGACTGGTTCCCAAGCTGGATGTTTTCCTGGGCACTCTGTATACAGTTGAACTATTAACACCAACATACTTACCCTGCTAAGAGGAAAATGCTTTTACTGAAATAATGGTTAAATAACAGAAAGGCTAAGGGCTAAGAGTAGGGCTAAGAGTAGAGGGCTAAAAATAGAGCTCATTACAGAAGAACTTAGAAGAGAAAAAAAAAACCCCTCAATGTTTAGCTTAAAAACATGTGTAAATACAACGAATAAAACAATTGATTTTTCAAGTTTTTAGGTGCAGTGCTGTTCTGGATGGTTTCTTATTCACAGAATTTGTCTGAACTTACTGAAAAATGATTTCCAGTCCCCTGAGTTGTAGCTGCAGCTGCCAAAATGCAGCAGCCTCCCAGCTGCAGCTCCTGCCCAGGAGGGTGGGTGCCGGCGGCCCCGCGGTGGCTGCTGCGCTGCCCTCCCGCGCAGGAGCCGGAGCCGGAGCCGGAGCGGGCCGCGCAGCTGCAGCTCGGGCCAGTCCCGCGTCGCTCTCGCTCAGCGCCTGGGCCGCGCCGGCGGCTGCTCCGTGGCTGTGTGGTACGTGGTAGTAAAAGAGAAAACGCAGAGCTGGGGCGAGCACGTAGCCAACCGCAGGCGCTCTCAGAAAGCCCAGAAGCTGTCCCAGGAACCAGCCCACCCAGAGCAGGAGTGGAGCAAGGGCCCCGACCTGCAGCTCCAGCAGGGAAACGGGGGCTGTGGTCCCGGAGCACGTGGGGAGGCGGGTTTGAGTCACACAGAAGCAGGGAACAACATCCCCGCAAACCTGAAGCAAAAAAAAAGCAACAAGAAGTAATGGTGACTCAGTGCTGTACTGACCTTTATGTTTTAAAATGACTGCATGCTACTGGGGTTATCACTTAAATAGTTTTACTTCTAGAGACAATAATTCCTATTACTTATTTCATTATGTAAATCAGAGAGAAACACTGAAACTTTCCATAAACCCCAAAAAATCCAGGGACTTCTAAAATCCATGAAGGGTTTAAAGGCTTGAACTGAGTAGTATTTTAGAAGTTCCTACCCTGCAGCAGCGTTCCAAGGTTGAAGGCGCTTACGTGTCTGGAAAGCTCCACAGGCCTCTCCTCGTGCCCTGGTCGGACTTGTGCGCGGCTGGCCTCAGCATTACGAAATACCTGAACTTCAGCTCGTTGGAGATTCAAGCCCTGATATTTCCTGTCCTTGTGCAATCTCGGTAAAGATGAACATTCTTCTGAGTCAGACTCCTAGTTAAATAGATGGCTGAAGTCTAAAATACAGGGCTTCTCATCAGTTAAATCCTGGATTAAAAGGGCTTTACAAAGTGGATCCTAGCTAATTGGAAATACAGGTAATTACACACACCTGATGACTGCCCACACCTTTTAGACATCATTATGGATGCTACATTTTTATTTAAAACATACAGACTAGTTGGTGACCTATAAAAAGCTGGACAAAAAAAAATGTCTATACTAACACTTCTTGATTTGATACACAGCCTAAAAACTAGCTTCCAGGATTAAGCTTTCCTTTTGTACAGAACTTTAAGGAATGTAATTTATGCTAACCCTGCACTGTCAATTATCTTGCATTTAAGCCTATTCTGGGATAAGAATTTGGGGCTTGGGATTTTTTTTTGTATACAATGCAGCTTAGGCCTCTGCCTAAAGGGCAGAGTCTGCAGAAGCTTTCTTTTGATTTAAGCAGAAGAACTAACAGTATTTGCATCTTGCCAACAAATTTCTCACACTATCCACTTTGCATAATGGCTCAGAAGGGCTAAGGAAAAAACGCAGGGACCAACTGATACGTAATGGAGCAACTCTGTGAACCTGCCTGCGTGTTTTTCTAGCGAGGCAAAAGTCTGCATGTGCCTCAGCCAAAGGGGACCAACCATGCTCTAAAGCAACAGAAAAGCCCCCAGCACTGTTCTGCCCTCTCAGCTGGAATAGAAGAAATGTCTTCATAACCCTCGGTTTTGCAGCCTCCGACTCTGGAATGTTTCTTGTTTGCCCTTAAATTAAGCATTCCAAAGGGAACTGGGCGCACAATAGCGAACACTGAGGCTGCTACGCACTGCGGTAGCCCCTGGCTGCCCACATGGAGTCTTTGCTGTGGACACCACGGGCCCTGTCTCGCTCACGAGCTGCAGGTTTGTGGGGGCTGCCACATTCACCCCCCAGATCTCTGCCTTTCAGCCCCTCTGCCCAGCCAGGGCACCAAGCAGCTCCTCACCTCCGTGCCCGCCGGCGCTGCGGAGCAAAGGAACCCGGGAGCGACGGGAACAGGCCAGACCCCTGCGGCTTCTCCTCCGTTTCTCCGCAGATGAAAGGCCAGAGCCCAGCCGGACGCCTCAGCAGAGGAGCTGAAGTCCTGTGGGACCTGGATGCAAACGCTGCGTATCCTGCTCGGGACTGCAGGGCAGAAAGAGCCAAAAAGCTGGAGATTCAGCAGGCTGAAGAAGAAAAGTGAGTGAGCAAAGCCAGATCACAGGATTCTAATCCAAATCCCACTAAACTCTCCTTTTGTCTTTGCTTGGTAGCTGTTGTTTTAAAACACAAATATTTCCCAAGCTACCCAAATGAACATTTTTATAATCACCTTAGTTTTATTTTTTTAATAGAAGGCTGTGAGCAAAGTCCTTCCATTGAGGCTTTTCCATCACTGGCATCATCAAACTCCCAATCTAGGAAGTCACAAAAAAGGTGAGATACTTGTATATACAATTTACTTGATTATATTGCTTTTCTTAGTAACAAAAAATAAGTCAAACACCACGAGAGAGAGAAAATAGGGTGCTGCTTTTTTTTTCCCCCTATCAGTTATGATTTATTTTTGGCATAATTACAAACAACTGCATTTAATACCAGTTGTCAACTGCAATATAATTAGAAGAGAAAATCCAGAACCTAGAATTAGCTCTTTTTGTAATTTTTTTTTCTACATTTGTCACAACAGTTTTGACTCACTGTTAATAAAGAAGCTCAGATAGGTTTTCTTTATTCATTATTTGTTACCTAATTCTGCAGGAAAGAACAGAATTTTCCACTGTCAAAGTCAAAAACACAGGGCCTGGATGCCTTCTTTATACGTAAGTAGTAACCTTTAACAATCACTGGCTCCCTCACCAGGAATGAATGTCAATTTAATAGATTAAAACACCAGGTATTTCCTCAAAGTATGTGGACGTTACGGTCCCTTCATGGGGACATCATTACAGTTTGGATTAATAAGTCGGAAACACAACTAATGTAGAAGCAAGGGGTAAAAAAAGAGACTGCTGCACTAACATTATCCACAGACCTGGCACAGTTCTTACAGCACTTGACTAACGTGGGACAAAATGTTTTTTTGGCTGCTTTTTTAAAAGCTGAAGTAGCCAATCGAGAGTGTGCCGGGGGCTTGGGAATGCTCTGGGTTGCAGCCTTTCTGTGCAAAAGCCAAGGACAGGGAAAGCAACTGGATTCCCAATCCATAGTTTTAAATAAGCAATTCGCCTGTGTCTCGCCAGCAATGAAAGCGATATTTAGAGAGGTTGAGAGATTTTAAAAGCACTGAAACAGTGGAACACAGCCTAATCCTACGAAAATATTATTGAATTTGGAGAAAAACACCATGCAGTTTTTTACCACAGTGTAACGCAGGTATTTATTAGCTCTGCTCATAAATCTTTGACGTAAGAGATTTGCTCCATTTTTTTTTTTTTTTTTTAAAAAAGTATTTGAATTTGGCTTTCTGGATGCATTTGAAGCAAGCCCAGAGAGCATCTTAAACTTGCATCATCTTAAAAAAAATCCTTTATGATGACAAATCATCCAGTTAAAATGCCAGCCAACATCCCTGGTATCACAAGGGGTATGGGCAGAACCCAGCTCGAGAAGAACAAGTTCATTTCTCGTCTGTTCAGGCTTCCACCCTTCACCAGCGACGTTCCGACCGCCTCCCCGCGCAGCCACCGGCACCGTCACCCACCTCTCTTTATCCCCTCCGCTTCCTCCTGGCACCGGACATCTGTCCTGGGCACTTCCTACACCTGGGCACGGCTGTTCCAGATTTGTGCTGGAGAAGGGAGATAAACAAATCTTGCAGCTGGAACTGGGGCCACGAGGCTGCTGTTTGAGGTCCTGGGGGCCTTCTGCAGCTCCAGGAAGGCTCCGTGTCACACGGAGCAGCGTTTCTCTCACTGCAGATGCTTCTGTTGGGCCACAGTCACAGAGGAGGCCCCTCCATCACGCCACTATCTGTAGCTGTTTGGAGACAAGCTTTAGATCAGCGAGAGGAGAAACAAAAAGGCACTGGAAAAATGCTTGTGAATTCAGCAAAATACACCCCTTGGATCATCAAACACACCCGTGCCCAGGTTCGGCTTCACCTCAGTGTTCTTCACCCAACAGGCTAGATGAGGATCTCCTCTAGCACTAGTTACAGGAGTGGGTGTTGATGCACAAGCAGAACTCCAGGTGAGCTGCTGGCCGCTGGTGTTTCAGCCCACACTTCCCTTCACTTTATGGCACCCCCACACATGAACCCCACAGAGCAGACCTCGCGGGGAAGGTGATGATCCTCGCTCCCCGTTTGTCCCTTCCTGGCTGCTGCCGCTCTCACGGTATCGCACGGTGAGTCACAGGCACAGCTGCAGAGAGGCAGGAAACCAACGACAAGTTTCTTCTCAGCTACTGACAGGAAACCACTCATCAGTGCTACTAAATAAAATAACATTAAAAAAATAAATGCAATACGTAAGTTTTATGATCAAGGTCCTGCCAAGTGCAGGATTCTGTTTTCTGCTCTCTGAGCTAGCAGCCTTTGGTTCAATTCTTTGGCTTTACTGAGGACACAGAGTTGATGGCAGCAGCTGTTGATTAAAATCTAGTCCACGGAGCATTAGCCAGACTACAAGAAATCTGAAAGTGGAATTAATCACTCCTTCTGCAAACAAGATACTGGCTATTTCTACTTAGGAGAAGTAATTACTCTCCTAAGTAATCTTAGGTCTGAATCTTAGGTCTCTGAATCTTAGGTCACATCCTAAATTAAAATAAATCCTTATTTGATTCCACTAGCACATCCCCTATATTTTTGTAGGTGAATATACTGAGCTCTAAAGCTGTTTGGGAAGTTGTCCCCCTATTTGTGCTCTCCCTGATTCTTTGCACTCAGCAAGCCAGGCTGAGGAGGCTGTTCCCCACTCCAGAGAGCTCCTCTGGGAGAAATGCAGCAGCTTCAGTAAAAGCAGGAAGATTCTCCAGCCTGAGATACAACCCCAGGACAGACCTTCTGGGTACCATTATGTTACTTGCAGGGACCTGAATTTTTGCTTAGTAGCCAGAGAACAGCATCAAAACAAAGCCCGTGTGTGGACAAGGAGAATGGCCAGGCGAAAATCAAAGCTAACGTACAGAGATCACAGAACCACATACCAGATCTTCCTTTCCTCTCCTGCTGGCAAGGTGTTGCTTTCTTTTAGTGAGGTCAGAGTATCCCAGTCCGTAAATCCTTGCTGCACCGGGCAGGTGACTCTTTCCTAAGGGTTGGGAGCTGAAAAGTTAGAGTGAAAGGACAGACTACTCAAAAATCACTAACAACAAGATCCACAGCGGAGAAATCAAAGCTGGAAATGAGGTCTATTAAACCACCGGTGCTTTTACTGGACCAAAGATGACTGGAAGTCTCAGGATTTCCACGTCTGCAGAGAATCAGGGAAGGTGGCTGCATATTGCACAGTACTTGTCCCTTGTGCAATGTAGCTGACAGCAGAAGCGAAACTCAGATGTGGGTGAAACCTCAGTCACCGTTTCAGCGGCCTCGTGAGAGGCACCTACAGCCCCAAGGATCGTTCGCTCTCGGCAAGGCACAAGATGGGCTGATTTGAGTGGCACTGCTCACTCCGACGCTGCTTACACTGCCAAAGGATTTGAAAAGGACACAACTGGAAGAAGAGGCGTTATATGCACGAAGTAGAACAAGAATCTTTTTTATTATATACAAAGAATGGCTGAATTTTTACACTTAAATTTTGATGCACAATAGGTGAAGAGTGGAATTGTTCATATTGAATTTCATTTATGATCATCTGAACTGAGAAAGTCACTTCTTAAGAAAAAAGAACACATTATTCATCCGTGATTTTAATTGGGGAAGACTTTTATGAAGGGTGCCTCTTTTAAGACAATGCGAGTTCTCAGTGTGGAGAAACAGCTGGTTGTCTCCTTGCAAGTGAATTTGCATTATAAAATAGCATAATTTTCTTAGGGGAGGTAAAAGCAAAGTTCTAAAATATTAATTTTCTCTTCTGATAGGAACTGTCACTAGAGAAATAATATTCACTGAGAGACACATAGACAGGAATCTTCCTGACAAACATCTCCACTGGAGAAAAAGGGCTCAAGGACCTCCCACCTCCATACATCAGAACAGGTTATGGGGAAGAATCTCTTTCAAAAGGGAGGTAGAAGCCTGTCCCAAAGATTCCAGGAATAAAAGCACTGAGTTTCTTATCAAGAACAGTAAATATGTTGCAAATTTGTGTATTGCTGACTTCAGCAGTTTTGCAAAAAATTGGCAATTCTATGGCAGACAGCACTGGAGGAGCCAACCCTCTGCTCTGTCCTCAATCCTCCCAAAGCACCTTCCTCACAGGTTCCCCCCATGAAAAGAGGCAGAGCACGGTGCCAAGAGGGCCTGCTCCAACCCAGCCCTCCTACCACGGAACCACTGCCACTTGATCTCTGCTTAAACACGGCATCTCAGCTAGGTGAGCCTAAGAACAAGCGTTTTAAGGAATCGACTGTCACAGCAGCCTTGGCTTGTACAGCCAGTGGCATATTGCTATTCCTTAAGTGATCTTCGAGGACTTGTGCTTTAAATAGGACATAAATTCCAAATTACATTCAGTATAATGACAGAACTGGCTCCTAAGGTCCTCCCAGAAGAAGTGATGCAGTTTTATACTGTCATCTTCATTTTTTTTTCTCTCTAAGCTTCTTGAAAATCATTCAGCCATTACAAATGACAGGCTTGACATGAAGATCAAATTAAAGAAAAAGCCAAGATACCTGCACAAGAGAGATCATTTTCTTCACCAGCAAATTTCTTATTTACAGAAGAAGCAGCATACATGAATGAAAGTGAACCACACAGATGCAAGTATTTAAAAAGCCACTTGTTGAAAACAAATTCTAAGGGATACGGTTGGTTTAAGATTTTTCTTTTGCCATGTCGAAACATTAGATTAATGTTTTATGCATCGCCTTTAAATTTTTAAATGATTTGGTTTCTCAGTGACTTGAAAAAGAAGGAAAAATAAATCGGAAGTATCAGCAATCTTGTGCACCCAAGTTTGCAAACAAACAGGACATCAAAGAAGAAAAAGTTACGACACTGCTGAGGCTCCAGAGTGCACTCCATTTTCTGGGACGGATTTGGCTTGGTGCAGGGCAGCTTGAATTCTGAAATGTGTTCTTGTTTCCATGGAGTAATTCTTGTAGTTTTGTCTAAAACAAAAGCAGATCCACTCCGATGAATATATATAATTTTAAACCTTTTTGAGTTATCTCTACATTATTGTTCTAAGCAAGACAACTGCAGACAGCAAAAGGCTTTTCTTCACAAGCTCCTTTGTTGCCTACGCTAAAATACAGGCATGTGCTGCCAGACAAACAATGCAGCTCTTTGTTCTTTATTTGTAGTTCCACCGTCTGCCAATCACCAGAGAAAATATAGCTTAATAGGAAACTGGATCTGTTCTACTCAGTCAAAATATTGAGTCCATATTAAATATCTATAACATTCACTTAATTTACATTCAGAAATGAGATACTTTTTTCCTCCCAAAGTATGACTGACACATTTGCAAACACACATTTTCAGGCTTTTTCCCCTCATTTTAGTATGATCGTTGCTGTGTGCTAAGGGTAAGGATTTAACCATTTGGCATCAGTGATAAGAACTGTTGTTAGCTGGAGTATGGACACAAATGAGAACAACAGTCACTGCCGATTGTTAAGCAGTGTAGAATGAAAATTACAATGATTTAAGTATTTACTGACTCTGTAAATTCAGTAAAGAATGGACAAAGACTTCAGCTGCCTGTATTTGGCACAATGGTAAAGAGAAAGATATGGTTCAGGGGTATAGCTTCTTCTGGATGCTTTGAACCATCTGCCACTTATCTTCTAAACCCAGTAAAAGAATTTAACAAACATGTTAAGAGCAATGTGGTGGAGGGAAGGGGAAGAATAAACCCTGGACTTCCAAAGAAACCAAATGTGTGTGGAGAGATCTTTCTCAGTCTCAAAGTTACTCCTAGGTCATAAGTGGGCCATCAATCCCTGCTGCCAACCAAGGCAAACAAAGCAAACCCAGTATTTTTCAAGTGCTTCCGAAGTTTGGCAAGTGTCAAGCCTGCTCAGTCATGTCCTGCTTACAGCCTTTCCTGTGCTACCTACAAAACACTCCCATGAAAAGATGGATCCTGAGATTATCTTAATTCATCAGATACATTTCAAGGAAAGAGGGGGGGGGGGGGGGGGGGGGGGGGGGGGGGGGGGGAAGAAAAAAAAAAAAGAGAGAGAGAGAGAGAGAGAGAGAGAGAGAGAGATAAATCCTGAACCTGAAGAGGGAAAGGCTCTGTCTCCATCCTGTGGCTGCCAAAGACAGGAGGCTGGCTGCACCATGCGAGGGGGAATGAGGCCAGAGGATCTGATGGGCTGCCTGCCTTGGAAAGAGCAAGAGGGGCACGCAGGACCCCACACAGGCTTTCAAGGAGCAGCACTCCAGCCCCCAGAAAGAGGGGCAGAAAGAGAAGGAATTCTAATTCCTTCCCCCACATGCATCTAGTGGCTGGCTCAGCGATACCATCTGCCCACAGACTCCAGCAGCTAAGCTGTATTCCAAAGAGCCTCCGAAGAAAGTATAAACTTTCTATGGATTATCATTTCAACTCATGTAGGAAAGGCACAGAATCTAGACACCAATGTGAGTAAGACATTCCTAACTTTCTTTAGCTGGTATTTGTCATTTTCACCTTTCAGAGACATAACATCAAGTATTAAATAATCTGTATATTGTAAAAGTATTTCAATTCAAAATTCATAATCTGAATCAAGCATGCAGGTATCTGCCCCCTCAACAGCCTCTTTGTGAAAATGGAGGGATTCCTCAGCCATCAGCTGGTATGCAGCACTCCAGAAGCTGGCTGAGTAGAAGAAATGAACAGATACTCCCCTATGCTGATCTTAAATCCTTTTTGTTTTAATTTAAGTACACTTTGTCACAACGAATCTAAAAACATTGCTTGTTTTTTCTCATCAGCTGGCTGACATTCTTATGTATAATACAAATGGAAATGATCCTGCATGTGACCAGACAACTGATTATCATCTTCCCCTCTTTCTCCTAGGGCTGAGGTATTCAGGTCAGGCAGATCATGCATCACCCACAAACTTGGTGCTCATCTACACTCCGGCCAACTGCAAACTTAATTCTGCCTTCCCAAAACCCATTGAGGACAACACGTTCTCCCTCTAGTGGCTAAAAGGAAAGAGAGCGTTTTGAAATGAACACTTAGAAAATCCGTGTTTTTTAAATTACAACTTTGCTAACCACAGTGCAGCTTCTGTGGTTATGCCTATTCATTTGCAGAAGGCAGAAGTGCCCTCTGCTGACAGACACAACGTACTGTGACTTAATGATGCTACCTGCGAGTTGAGCAGCTTCAGTGTGGAATAAAAATTGTGTTTGGACAGTGTATGGAGGACAGGTAAGGATACTGCCCTACACAAAGGTCTACTCAGAAATTAAGGGTGAAGTTCGAGTCCCACCACAGGTGCCTACACTGCAAAAGAGCTACATGGAGCCAAACTGTGTCTGAAATACTGGCACCTCTAATCAAGTATAACAGTCATGAGAGATCATTTAAGGATTGTATTTTTCTTAACTGATAGAAACAAGACATCTCTGCTTTGCTCATCATTTCGGTTTCCATGGGTTCTTTAAGCACGGCCAGCCTGGGGGTTAGCCACTTTACGTAGGTTGTTACCGAGATCTACAAAAAATTATCTCCTGTGTTCCTCTTTCAGCTCAATTTCTTCCCTTGAAGGGTCTGTGTGCTAAGCCACACAGAGCACCGTGCAGGAACACAAATGCCTCAGCAGGATGGGATAAAAGGGTTAGACAGAACGAGAAGTTCTGAATTATTAATTTCTAGGCCTCTTTTTATGATAGATTTGCACAAAGAAAATGAAGACAGGAGGAAATGTGTGCTTTGAGGAATGTGAAGTTGACTGAAACAGTTTCCACTGCATTTTCTAATAAAATTTTTGCTATTGTTGATATCTTCCATTGGTCTGCAGAGTCACAAGCATAAGATTAAGAACTATAATGTTTCAATTTTTGTGTTGACAGGCTTTTGGCATAAACTTTAGTAGATTGATTCACCACTACTCTTGCCTTGGACTAAATGATCAGACAATGTCTATCATTAGAAAGGCCCCAACCAAACCCAGAGCTTTCAGTGAATAAACAAACAATGAGTTCCTGTGGTTTAAACCAAATGGATTTGCTTCCTGCTTTTCAGTAAACTACCATATCGACCCATCAGACATCAACACAGGCTTTTCACTTGCTTACTTGGCTCTCTCCAGTAGTTTTATTGCTTCTTCTCTTCTTCCCTGGTCCAGGTATACTATTGCAAGCTCCAACAACGCATTTGGAATTACATAATGGTCGTATTTTATCTTCTTCTCACTGCATTGGAAAAGAAATATCATTAGAATCTTGAAATTACATTTTTTTTTTTCATTTAACAGTCTCAAACACAATTAAGTAAGGGATTAGCTAAGATATGAAGGAGTAATCAATTTGTATTACAACACTCATCATGTTCTCTAACCAAAACTTCCTTTCAGGTTATTAAATGCGTATTTTTTTTCCCACAAGCATGCTGTGAAGTATGCTATTTCTCAGGAATATAAGACATTACTCTTATTAGGGAAGAATTAGAAAAGGTGACAATACTATGAGCCATAATACCAAGAGATGCCATTGACTGCATGAGGTAGAGAAGTTTCAAGTACAACTGTGCTGCCATCAGTCTCTGCAGACTGCATGTGGCTCCCTGGGCAAAACTGCTTCAGGACCAGCACCGGGGTGTAGGGAAGCCCTGGTAACTCACAGATTATATGCAGGTACAGTCGCCAGAAGGAGAAAACATCCCAGTAAAGACTGAAGATTTGCAATCTTTCTCTCTCACATGGCTAACAAAACTGTCAATTAAAATTGTGATCCACTAACATCACAGCAGGTGAAACAAACAGTAAAGATTCTGTTGCCTTCTCCCGTAACAACGCTCATCTGCCACTGCTTAAAATGAATAGATACTGAGAGATTCGGTTTTCCTGTATGCCAGCTATGAAAACTTACTTTAAATGGATGTAAATAAAATGGTCTTCTGCCTCTGAGATCTTGCCCAAATGCTTGAGGCATAAACCTTTTAACAGCTTTATCACGCACTGGTCATCTGCTAGTAACTCGGTAGCTGCAAGGGGAAGTAAATGATGAGATGGCACATTTTAAAAAACTGTCTTGAGCAGGGAAAAGCTGCAGGGAAACTTACACAGGTCAGTATGAGGATCATGTACTTACTAGAACACAGGGCAGAAGCAACTAACTAGTTTGTTAATTCATTTAGTACAGGTTCTTTTCTCCTGACTTTTTCAAGGAATTAAAAAGGAGATTATTTTAACCCCTCTTTCAGGCAACACCTTCAGCTCTAAGAGTACCAAAGTCACACATGGAATGTGCATAGGAAGGCTGCATAGCATTGATTTAACCTAACAATCCTTTGCCAAGACGGGCTTGATGCTTTTGCAGGAAGGACTAGGTGAGATCATGTTTAGCAGGAGAAAACACTGTGAGGAAGTCTGGACACTCCCCTATGGGAGTGTGGTTGCACTCGTATAGGAGTTGAGAAAGACTGGCAAGAAATTGTAAGTTTGCTCTCTCATGGATGGCTAATTACCAGCCTGACTGAAAATGTGGCAGTAGAGTCTGTTCTAGACCCATACAATCCCACTTCTTGTGCTAGGACTCCTTCATAGTACCAACGAAGCCCATTCCTGATGTCCTCGCTTCCCACAGCACACTCTTCACTGCTCTCCAAGGTCTCATCATAAGCAAATGGCATTTTTAAAACAAGACTCATACTTTGTCTTCTTCCATTTATCCTTCAGAACTGAAATACGTCCAAGTAATCAAGTCAATACCTATGTTAATTTTGATCTTTTAAAATTAATAGATATAGTAAAGCAAACAGGCCTTTAATACACGTCACAGACTACTCCTCTCACATATCTACAGATATAAAATAGCTTGCTACCATTATAAGTTACTGCTATGCTAAAAGAGGAAAATTATTTCTATCTGCATTTATGGCTTCATAATTTGTCTTCCACCCACGATCAGATTAACTTTACTAATGAGACTTTCTCTTTATACACAGATAGTATCTTCAGTTCTCCCACTGTAAAATAACTGCTTAAACCAGTTATACTGATAACTAGTTACCTGAACTTCTTGCCAATGCTGTTTCTGCTTCAATTAAAGTCTCTAACATTCCTTCTGTTAAGTCTGGGCATTTTCCAATTACTGCATAGCCATTCCAAATATACATCATTTCCTAGGGTCAGGGAGAGAAGACAGCATCATCAATTACAGCTGCATTTATCCAGTACAATCAAATACTTCAGCTTACCTCTATCCATAGTGAGAAAGTCACAAAATCCTTCACTAGAAGCTCAGTTTGTCAATATAGATTTTCACTGCAACCATCAAACAAACAAGCAAAAAAGCAACCATCTTTATATAGAATTCTAGAGCAGAACTGTAAACCTCTTTTTTTTTCAGGATGGTTTGAAGCTACCTCAGAAAATAACTTCTTTTGCATTCAACTGTAAACCTTTTTCAGATTAAATTCTATTAAGAGCTATTAGCTTAATTCCTATTTGTTGCAAGGGAATTCTCCCTTAGAATGTCTCACCAGACCAAATGTACTAAAGGGCTCATTGCTACTGGCACTCACAAAGTTAAAGATGGAAGCAATATAGAGACCTACTACAGGTCCTCATCATATGTTTTATTTTGTATTTGTTTAAAGTTTTTCTATAAAGATCCTGTACACAGTAACTGAGTTCTGGAACTACAGAACTGAAAATTGTTGGTATAGAATAGAAAAAAGAGTATTTTAACTTCAGTCATGCTTGCCATCACAATCTGATCTGCAGAATCTGTGTTGTATTTGATGTAGATTTGGTAAAATGGCTTAGACATAGAAGTACTCAAGCAGTATTTTTGTGAGTACTACTTCTTGTGTACTTAGAAGTACTCAAATTGCACTTATTCTAGGTGTAATTTTTGAGTTGAAACCTCTCAGCAAGTCCATTCACAATGTAAGGAAAAACCTGAGAATCTTCAGTGAAGATTCTGCTCCCTAATTCCACACATCCTCGGAGCGTTTTTAACTGTTCGGCTGCGGCATCTGCTGCCTCTGCAAAGCAACCGCAGCAGGAACAGCCATTACAGGGTGCCCAGCCCACCACGGAAAGCCTTGAGCAGAGAAAGCTCTTCTGCCAATAATCCCATGAGAACAGCTCAACCAGAACCCAGAACCCTGTACATTTCTCACTCTCCATGATTTCTGAGACCTGAAAGGCAAATCAGAGTAACCGAATTAACTCTCTCCTTTCAGTCTTAAGAACTTAGTAGAAGGCAGCCTCTGGTGAATGCCCATGCTACCCTGTAGTTCATCCACAGGAGAATAAACTTCTGTGAGCAGCGCTGTGCCACACCCCCAGCTTGCGGGCCGAGAAATCACTGCTCACTGGTATCTTCACCAGCTCGCCATGTTCCATCATTTTCTTAAAGAGTATATACTATCACTCATCTGTTCTTCACGCACAAAGCTCAGAGCACTGCAAATGTCAGCTCCGCTGCACTTGGCAAACCTGCAGAGCCAAAAGCTTTTGATGTTCTTTCATCCCTTCTTTGCAGACAGACGTTTGTGAATACAGTTGGCAATGAGCACGTTTGGGAGTGGTTCTGCCTGGCCATGGGTAATTTCCCAGCATTACAGGCACAAAAATGAACAGTATGGAAGAGCCTTCTGGACGGGAAAAGCAAAGAATTTGCTATATTTCATCCTGCCACCCATGGAGGTGCCCAGGAGAGCATCAAACTGCAAACATATAGGGGCATATAAGCAGGAACTCTTGAGCTGTTTCTTTTTTTTTTTTTTTTTTNGGGTCTCATTTGTACTTTAAAGACTCATAAGTGACATCCATGACAGAAGAGACCCAGGGCAATGTTCCTCAAAAGGTAATCAATGAAAGCTGTTAAAGGCTTTCTCATCTGAAGCTGGAATAACGGGTTACACATGCAACACATTGGTGTGCGACACACAGCTGGCTTAGTTCCCTGTGGCTGGTGCATGCCCCAGTTTTACAACATTCCTTGCATTCATTTGGCTTTGTTTTGGGAACATTCCAGTCCCTTGCAGAGGTTTTACCTTAGAAACAAGGGAAGATATAATAATCAATCTCATATTCATTTCCATTTTAGAAATGAAAGAAAAATTTTAATAAAAGGGAAGGAGGAATATTTCCAACTTACCAAAGGTGGAACTGGCAAAGGGATAGGGTTTGAAGAAAGATATCGTCGAGCTTTACGGATGGCAAACTTTTCCGTAGGCAGCGATTTCCCTGCAATTTTCAGTTTCAAACTGGGAACACTCCTGAAGGTTAAAATGAAAATAATTTTAGTCTATGAACCTCTGGGGAAAAAAATATTCAAATAAAAAAGTCAAATAGAAGAGAGCTTCTAAAAATCGTTACACACTGAGTTATTGCCATGCCTAGGGAAGCTGTGCAATGCATATTCATCAAAGCTGCTTTGATGCAAGGGTGCACATCTCTTCAGGTTTCCTTTCTAACCAAGAATGAAAAAGGGTCACTTCCCCCCTGCAGTGAATAAATTGGATTATGAGACCAAACTATTTTAACTTGCACTGATGTGCTGCAAGGTCCATGTATTTCACAGACTGAAGAAAAGACACGCTAGATTTTGCTAGTCTTGCTCCCATTTTCCCAAATATCAAATTAATTCACTTCACAATGGACTCCAAAACCTACGAAATGTGCTTGTAACTAGATAAAATATGAAAGGACAGAAGAGTATCACTATATTGTAAGCATAAAATGTGATACCTAAATTTTATAGAAAAAAAATAGTTTTCTTAGGCCTCAAAGTCAGCTCCAAATCATTGCAAGTACATTTAGTTTATTATGCCAATAGTACATATCTTCAGGTGTACTTTTAACTAATTTATATTCCTCTTAAATTCAAAACCCAAGAATCAAATTGTATTGATTTTGTCTCCAATACTCACAGGAGCTACAAAATGTAGCTCCTATATGTGCGACATTTCGTAGCACAATCTATTTAAGGCTTTGAGATCCCATATTGCACTAATTAAAGGAAACAACTGTAAAAGTTAGACATGAATGTTGCATACAATAGCTGCAGCCACTGTATAGCTGCTATAACTGATATCCTGCCTCTTAAGTACTTGTAGGTCAGTAGAAAACTGCTGTCTCAATTCAGGGTCCACACAAATCTAACAGGAAGGTTTCATTCCTCATTTACCTACCACTTCAAATGCTATTTGTACAGACGTTTCTAACTGCACAATGAGTAATTTTCCTCTTCTGCCTCAACACTGCGGCTTGAAAAGAATTGATTACTGTCATAATTGGGGATTAGCAAATTTTACCTAAATAATTCAACTTCATTGTCTCCAAAAGGACTGCAGTCATCAGGTCCAAACATACTGAGGTAGGCAGCTTTCATGTAAACATAGGTAGCCTGCAAATGCAATCAAAAATATCTGTACAATAAAATGAGTTTACATCATCACTGTTACTGAGGTAAAGAACAAAGCAGAAACAGAGGAAGATATTGCTGCTTTTGCTTGCCAGCATAAGTAATTCTCCAGTATTCTAAGCAGAAAATCTGCTTTCAAACATTGGTTCCAGTATTTCAAAAAAAGGAGAAGAGCAATTTACTAGTCTGATTTTGTTTTTTAATGTCTGCATTTGTTTTCTGTGTACTAGGTCCTATTCACATTCCAAGAACAAATGTGCAATTAAATGTCACACTTGTGTAAAGTGAATTTTTTTTTATTACTTTCAAGAATATTCACTAGAGAGTTTATGAAAAAGTCAGGCTCAGAGAATAAAAAGGTATCACATGGTCTGTGTGTTCAGTCACGACTTGGTAGCATATCTCAAATACCAAGGCTTAGAGAACATGAAATGGTTTTCAGAGGCTTTCAAGACTTGCAGTTATGAAATGTACTGATCTCATAGGGATTCCTGAACAATCATATATTCAGAAACCAAGAAAGAAAACAAAAAGCAGCAAGACGTGGCAATATTTCAGTAGCTGAATATAAGAGTTGGCTGAAATATGCTATAAAATTCCACATGCAGTCTCAAAGGGTGCACACGTTAATACTGATACCACAGTGTTTCGGGATAATAAAGCTCCTCCAGGCTGTTCTGCTAAACAGCAACTACTGAGACTAATGCAGCTGGTCTAATGGCCTAATGCAATGCTGGAATCCTCTGGGCTATGAGGACTTCTTACTGCAGCTTTTAATCAAAGGGGAAGCATTGCAAGTCTCTCACCTGGCTGTTCTGAGCTTTTGTCAGCTTTGAAGCAGTTGGCCAATACATTCAATATAAAAAAAAAAAAAAAAAAAAAAAAAAAAAAAAAAAAAGGAAGAGGAAAAAAGAAAAAAAAAAAAAAAAAAAAAAAAAAAAAAAAAAAAAAAAAAAAAAAAAAAAAAGAGAGAGAGAGAGAGAGAGAGAGAGAGAGAGAGAGAGATCTCTCCCCCCTCCACAATATACACACACTGCAACCACATTAAGAAGAAACAAATCTATCAAAACCCAATTAAAAAATATTCCCAGGCTTTTCTGACAGATTTCCCTGGGGTTGAAGTAAAGGTAGAAGAAATAAAACTACCAGGATTCTAGATGGGAGATCTTGTCTCTTTCAGATGCACAAGGCAAGGTACCTCTTCTAATTTCATTTATTACCTTAAAGGCAATATTGGAGCTAGCCTCACTCTCACCAAAAGAACTCAGGTCCCTAAATGGCAGCTTGCCACTAACTGCAGGGTGCACTACAGGACCAATCCATCACAACAGAGCATTTTATCAGGCTGCTACCAATCCGCCCCCAAACATACCAGTTTTCTCAAACAGTTCAGATTTGAATGCTTGCACTTTACACTGCTTTAGAAGAGTCAAAGCAGATCAGCTTTTGTTTCATAAACTTCACTCAGTTCAAAGCTATAGAAATTCAAGGCAATGAGACTGACAATAGATACATACAATAGATAAAGGGCTTTCTACTCTTCTTTAAATATTTTGTTACTGTCCTGCTTCACTTACCTTGGACCAAGTGTTTTCTTTGCTTAACAGGTCTGCATAGAAGAAGGCCATCTTCCACTGGCGCTTGTAGGTGAAGCACCACATGAGCTCCCAGTAACACATGTGATGAAACTGCTTCCAGTATTGCTGAGCCTCACAGCATTCCTCATACCTACTGACCGCCTGAAAAAAGAAAATTCCAAAAATGACCCTGATCACCCATCAATGCATATACTCCAGCACTGTGACGGACACTGAGACTCCATGATCTTTCTCCATAGATTCTGCAACTTCCAAATTAATCAGGGCCTAACATTCCCCCAAATCATATCTGTTGGCTTCACATAACAGCATGAGACTTATGGCTCCCGTCATCTCTGTGCTATCAAGTCTATCCCTACCACACAGCTTCCCATTTTTAGAAGTTACATTCAATACTAAGTGCAGGAAAAAAATAATGTTTGTTCCTAGAGAAATTAGGAAACCAACATGAGAGGAAAAAGACTCAGCTGACTTTTATTGCCATAGCTTCAAAGACTTCAAGAGAGATACAGCACTGCACACCAGCTGGTTCCCTGTCCCTCAGTATTTTGCACAAGTATTCTTCACTTCTCTAATTCCCTTAAGTCCTACATTAATTCATCCACACTGGAGGCAAAGGAATGGCAAAAACAACTGGTTATTGCTAAAGGCACCACTCAATTCAGGATGGAGAATATTGTGAAAACTGTATTACTCATACTGGAGGATTAAGTTATCACCAGAAACGGAGAAAGGTAGGAAAAGAAGCTGGTCAAACTGTTCAAAAATATTTTTCAAAAATCCTATAATTCATAAACTATAAATTACAGATCAACCAAAGACACAAGCACTAACCAAAAAATAAATGAAACATTTTTATTGGAGGAGTTTTTCCTAAAGCTTTCAAGACTTATCTTTCCAAGAACAAAGGACAACTTACCGCATCAATATTACCCTTTAGGGTTTCTATCCTGCCTGCGAAAAACAGGAATATGGCTCCCTGTAATAAATAATAAATACATGTATTTTTTAAACAATTTTCACACTGATCATACCATCTAGATCTATGCTATTTGGCAGGAAAACACTACACTGTCATATCAAACTAAATTATGATTTATTTTACCTTTGGATAGCGAGCCAAGTAAGGCTTCAGCAGTCTTTCTGCCTCTTCAACGTTTCCCTTTCCTGTCCCTAGATTGCATAAAACATGAAAGTGATAAAAATAGTCAGAAAATAAAAAGCACAGGAAGAAACTGTATTGATTAGCCATCCTCATCTGGCCAACACATAATTTGCTTTCTCTAATAGCAGTGAGGCAAAAATACATATTGGTGCTGTAACAGTCAGGCATAAAGGAAAAAAACAAGGGAGCTTCCACAGGTGACCTTCCAAAACATTTACAACAGTTCTGAGCTGCTAGAAACAACCTGTTCTCCCTACATTACATCCTCAGGTCTGTTCCAGTTCTAAATCTTGGGCTAGAGAGAGAAGAAAATGGAGATCAGGAAGGGTCTTGGCCTGACAGTGCTGCTTGGCTAACAAGGAAGCACAGGGTATCTACCTTATGCATGGCAACTCCGAAATAATAAAAAGTATGAGGACCAGTATGGGACGGAATAAAGAGCCACTGGGCAACAGTGAATCACTTGTGCTGCTGTGAAGGGCCAACATTCAGGAAGATCCTAACAACATTGTAGTTGGGATCTTGAAAACTCACTATGTGTGGACCAACAGATTTTTAGAGTGCTCTTAGAGTAGATGACAGGCAAGAGTGCTCCTATGACGGGAAACTATCGCCTCCCCCCAGAAAAAAGACAAGGATGAAAAACAAACATGAGCAAAGTATTCAGGAAGTCTTAATTTATCACCATTATATTTAACATCCCAAATAATGCACCTGAATAAAGAAGATAGCAAAATAAGTCTACAGAACTACATCTATCCCCAGCTTCTCCCTTATGTATTAAACCAAACTATCTTGAAGGCATCCGCTTCACTTACAATCACTGTTGTAAAATCAGCCATAAATGAGTCATGTTTAATCTGATCATCAATAATTTACCAATAGATAGGTGATGGAATCACCTTCTTTTTCCCCTGTCTGTGTCCCACAAGAACTAATCAAATCCAAGAATTATTATAAACAATCTTACCTAACACAAAGGTCATGAAAGTATGATAGCAAAGCAACAGCATGGTACACAGCACCGACCTAAAGCTGTACGACGACGCTCCTTCTTGAAGCTGCAGCAGACCATGCTCCTGTGCAAAGAGACAGGTGGAGCACAAAGTATTGAAAAATAATCAAATTGTATTTTGCTAGTTTTGTAACTTCTGTAGTATCATCAGATACTACACTCATCAAATATTGCTCACTCACCAAAAGAGCTGGCAGAAATAGCTTATATAGCAATCAATGACAAAAATGCACTAATGAAGAGCTTTTCAGGGAGTTACTATTTGGCTTGAGACTGTGACAGAGTAACAATTTGGGGGTTATTACCTCATTAACATAAGAGAATGCGAGACAATTTATAACCATGCCTAAATGCTGTTAAATATCATTCTAGATATAAGTAAGAGTTGTGAAATGCCTAACAATAAGCAAGTATCACCCTTGTGCACTGTATCCCTGTTTGCTCTTATTCACTCCAATTTCAAATTGAGTAGCTGCACAAATTTGGGAAATCCAATGATCAAGTCAGGTCGTGCAGTGCTATGGCTATGATTCTGTTTTGTCCTCTACAGTGATTACAGGATGCTTATTTTTCACTCTGTTGCTCCAACACACCAAACTTTCTATACTAGAGTAATAATCAGAAACACAATCTGAAAAAAAAAATCTAGCAGTATTTACTGTTATAACACTTGTTTGTTAAAAAAAAAAAAAAAAAAAAAAAAGACTGCAACAAAATTCATCCCTCAAAATTGCTGCTATTATGATGAGCTCACCAGTAGAGCAGGATCATGAAGGGTGTACCTGGGAAGGATGCGGTTTTAGTCTGTGAGTCTCCCTGGGCTCCCCGGTGGAGCTAGATGTATTCCTCCAAGGAGCCATTCAGCACAGAAGCCCAAGTCAGACACTATGAATCATCTTTTCAAGCACCTACTGTTTCTTCACATGGAGCCTATGGAGATTTGTCAGCTAAGCTAAGCGAGGTGTCATGAGGCAACACTATTATAACCTATACAATTTTCTGTGGCAATGAGACTGAACATCCCAGTAGCAAAGGCCTAAGTAGTTATTACTTCAGCTTAGAAGTTATTACTCCAGCTTAGAAGCAACTCTGTAAACAAATTACACTTACTGGTGCCAGTCACCAAAGGAATAGACTCTGTAATTGTTAGGACAACTTGTAATGCACAAAATCACTTCTCACAACTAAGCCACAGATGATATGAGCAACCCAAAACACCAAGAATGTGATTCCAAGCAAAGTCTACTACAGGACATATTGCTACTATATAAAACAGATGCTAAGGCAAGAAGTGTTATTAATTTCTCCAAAATACTGAAATGACACATTAATAGATATCTAGTTTTTGTATCCGCATAGGACTTACATTGCTCTGAAGAGCAGCAGGTCTAACACAAAGCTGGAACTGATGACACACATTTATCACAGACAAATGTTGTGATCCCACGTGACAATATTCAAAATTATTAGTAGACAACACACTGACTGGTTCATACCTATCTCCGCTGTGACTGACTAAAATCCCTCTGCTTTCCTGAAGCAAAAAGTCCACACTGATACTCTTAAGTCATTTGTTTAAATTTTGAGTCTTCTACTAAAAAAAAAAAAAAAAAAAAAAAAAAAGCCAAACAAGATCAGTGCCCATATGCCATGACCTCAGGTTTAGCAAGTACAGTGGATGTTACAATTAGTTTCTATGAAGATATAATTAAGTTGGTAGACAGATTATTTGAATGCATCCAATTTAAATGGAAGTTAAATCTGAAACCCAATTTAAGGTTACAGAAATGACTAAACTATTAATAAAAAAGATGCTTAGTGGGAACATGAAATTCATTTTATTACCATTTATTGCATCAAAAATATTCTTCAGCTCAGCTGCTTTGGGAAAAAATGCACTCCCCCATCAAACACTATAATTTAAAGAAAAAAATTCTCTGAAAAAAAAAATCTCCTGCTTTCTCCTGCAATCTTGCTGTCACATAATCCTCTGCCAAACTGCATTTAATATAAGGAAGACTCAAGTCAAACTTTTCTATGTACAATATTTGTAGTATACTATAAAATAAGAACAGTAAATAACAGCCCAAGAGCTGGCAGAGGATCAGTGAGAAGGGCTGGCTGTTTGGGGAGGATGCAGAAGCGATGGCACAAGGACTCTGCATTCCTCTGCTGTGCACCTCAATTCCCAAAAGCAGGGGAATGCCATTAAACACCAACAAGCTCTTAGTTTAACTAACAACACAGAGAGAAAAGGGGTCTTGAAAAATGGCACAACTTGTAGTGCAAGGCACCAACAGTGGCTTCAGGCTATTTTTACACTTTCTGGATCTCCCCTACCTACTGTCTGACTGGTGTTGATTATGATGTCTGCAGTGCCCACAAATGGCTTAGGAAGTAATCAGGCTTTGGGCATGTTCTGCTTTCCTAGCAGACATGAGATACTGAAGAAACAAGGAAGGACTCTAGGGACAAGTCGGCTGGCTTCAAGACAGATTAGTGCTGTGGAAGCCATCTCAATGCAATTTTAAATCCAATTTCAGTAAGCACATAACCCACACCAAAGGCAAGATGTCGTCCAGTGTACCAGAAGAACTATCAGCTAAACTACAAGCTGCTCAAGGTATTAACCAGGGTGATCCTTTCTTTCACATGGCCTGATAGTCATCATGAGCATTTAAATGAAAAGATGTGTTTAAATGATCAAACACATCGTCAAAATTCCTCTCTTCTGGATGGTATGCAGCAAATATCACACATTCTTTCCCTCTCTTGTGTTAGTGTTTCTTTCACCTACAAGTCCCTTGTCTGTACTGCAGAAACAGCTTTCTCTTGCAAGCTTTGAAAAAATACAACTGGAAAGGATTACAAACACAGCTGGAATTCTGGGTCTGGTTTTGGGCATCTGATTGACAAATGTTAAATGCAGAAAGACATTTTTAGCATGTCAAAATAAACACCTGTCAACAAACTTTGATCAATTCCTTTTCTATAGTGTGAAGAAAGAAGGTTTTTGCTTGTATTTATGGTAGCCTAGGTCATGCTTCTGTCAGTTACCAAAACCTGGGAACAGCAGCTGACTCATCAGCACAAATACTAGCCCACCCAAAGCCACATGATTCAAGAAATTCAATTAGGCAGGTAAATCTTTTGTCAGCAGTATGATGATGATGAGTGTTCATAAAAGCAGTCTAAACACCCTCCTGGCATGCAGACTACACACTTCCTAGGTGAATAGTTTGCTCTTTGTTTTATTGGATACTAGGTATGAACTATTTGACTGTTACCTCTAATGCATGCAAAGCTGGCAAGCAATGCTGGCTACCTTCAGTGAATTTCCACATTCTGCCAAAACTTCCGTGGTTTTAAATAAGACATTTTATCTTCAGATCTTAGATGAAAACTTTCCTGAAAACTAATAAAATGGTGACAACACCTACCTACCTGTCACCTAAGGGTGCAGCTCTTGATTAAGGACACGTTCCTCCTTGAAATAGGCTTTGTAAATAGAAGGTTTTATAAAAAGAGTTAAGTTTAAAAATGTTTTTATAGCTTTTGCTGTGTTTGTAGGACATTAAACATTATCTGATTCATCATTTATGAGGAAAAGAAGTAATTTAATCTACCATGTGTTCCTATAATCCAGGAACTCAACTTTGAGTGAATCCCATGCTTTGGTGTTAGAACCAGACAAAGGAACATGTATGAAATATCAAGGTTAAGAAGTAAAGAAAAACCCATCGACTGAAGTATACTATTTTGAAACAACAAATCTGCAAAAATCTAGCACAGCCGAAGTATCTCTTTTCTATCCTGCATTGAAACTGAGGTTCATGTGAGTTTGCTGCTGTGTCTTTGCGAGATCTCTGACTCTACTGCATGCACAGACAACACAGGTCAGATCAATTACTCTCTACGCACAGATTCTGGGGAATTTGGGTACCACATTCAAATTATCGGTTGCTATTAAAGACATGAAGAAAAAAAGATTAGAAATGAAATTGAAAGTCTTCTCCCTTCTCCGACCAGATGCTATACAGGGACACTCAGATAAGGTCATGATTGTATAATTTACTAAAGGTTAAGAATACACATTTGGCTATAACTTTCTAAGAACAAGTATTTATCAAAGACCACTAAGTAGAAGTACATAAAAAATTAAAGTGTGTCAACATCATTGTATTAAGCCATCACCTTACATCATGTTTCATCCCTGTTCACTGAACAGCATCAAAGACTTTGAAGTGTAGTAGTTCAGAGAGAAATGCAACAGAAAACGGAACTGCAAAAAGCATCAGTGCCAACAATGAGCACACCTGCAATACCCATCAGAGCATTTCTGACTACTATAGAGGAAGAAGAGAGTGATTCCTGCTCCTCTGTTTTTTGAACAACAGTGAGGGAAATATATTGATTATATTTATTTCATATTTACCTTGTTTCCAGAAAATCCAACAAACTCCAGTAATCTGAGAATTCGTGCAGGAAACATGGACAATGTCTACAGAAAGAAATGCAACAGTTACACAATAACAGTTTCCACCTCCCAGTTGCAGGTTGTCTGATACAACTTTTCCAAATACAAGAAATCTGATATGTTTGAGGATTTTCTGTGCAAATGTACACAAGTGCCATGCTTTGCATATGACTTAGGCAGAAGTACCAGTTTCCTTCCCCCAGAGTTCCTGCAGCTTTCTCCAGGAGTCCCTTCTCAGATATATCTTGTACACAGCACATGATTAGTAACTCCAGTAATCCTGGGGAGACTCAGAAATACTGGACACATACTGCACAGTACATGTCTGTTCTCTGAGTGTTGTAAATCTGGTTGCTGTATTTGGATACAGACCTGACTCTCACATACAGTAAGGTGGGCCAGCACTTATTTAAAGCACTAATTCTATCATATATGAATATATGTTTACGTGCAGCACTCCAGCTCAATCCAGGCTTCCAACCCAAGTGTATGATCGTATTCTTCAGCCATGCCTGTGATTCATGTATAAAGCCAAGACCTGTGTATAAGACTTACAGCAAAACAAAATTATGTTGTATGCAGAGTTGCACCTATTGCTGCTTACACTTAGCACTGTTGCATACAAGCAGTCAGGTCCCACAGACTTGCATGCATCTTGTTTGCACCGCTGCACCCTAACTCAACCATGCTGTATTTCGGTGGTTTGCCCCACCTGCTTGGTTGTTGCTTAATGGCATAAAGACCTGGGGGAACTTTACTCAGGACAACCAAAGCAAGGAAGGCCTGGAGCACCTCAGCCTTTGGTATGCTGTTTGTAGCCAACCTGCCACCCCACCCATTAGCAAAATTACATCTTCCTGGTACTTCTGCTGGTTACATACACCTATGAAGTCTTGTTCTTCTTGAGATCTCTTCATAGCTTGAGCTCCAGCAGGGATTTTGCTTTCCTAACTGCATCTCTGGGTGTCCAAATAATATTTCTATATTCCTCTTTGGGAATTCATCCCCTTTTTCATTTCTCCTGCACGTCTTTTTCACATTTGAGCTCTCTTGGTAGCTCATTGTTTAACAAGGTTATTTCTTGTTATGCCTGTTCTTTTTCCCACACAGGCGGATGGATCTCTCTTTTGCTCTGCAAAGGCCTTAGAAAATTTCCTAGCACCTCTGAGCAACTTTGTCCTTCAAAGCAAACTATAATGGGATACATTCGTACAGTCCCCTAAGCAAGCTGAAATCTGCTCTTCTGCAGCACAAGATCTTTATATTGCTACTCATTTTCCTTAAACTCAGCTGCAGTGACCAGAAGATTGTTAAGGATGCTGTTGATGGTCATGTTTCCCAACACATTTTCTCTACTTACGTGCAGTAGGCCCAGAAAGGGCACATCCACCACTGGATTAAGATGGAGGTACATGACATATACAATAACTGCATCTGCAGGCTTTATTCTCATGAGAATTTCCACCTACCCTCGTATTTGCTGGGAAAACAACATAGCTGTGCACAAGCAGTTGGGGAGTATCTCAAAAGTACTGAGGAAAACTTTTTAATGCAATTGTTGCCTAAAGACTTTCCCCACCTTCCACAAGGCCTCCTTGATGGCAGTTTTACACCCAAAGGCACTCTACATATGTGTCAGATCCTACAGACCTGTGGGAGCCTTCCTCATTGCTCTGTTCCACATAGACTTTCACTTTGGCACCTCTGTCTCTCTCTGCCTCCAGGCTTTGGACACCACCTCCTATTAAAGCTAGTTTAAAGCCTGAGTCACTAAGTCAGCCAGCCTACAGGCAAAGATGTCCTTGTCACTCTTTGATAAGTGAATCTCATCTCTTCTTAGTACAATCTTCAAAGAGCACCCCCATGGAAACTGAAACCCTACCAGTGAAACTAGTCACATCTGCCAGAGAAACCAGCCACACAGCAGGGTGCTGCTCTGCACCATACATCTGTTCCTAACTGCTTTTCCCCTTCTCTAGCAGGAATGAGGAAAAGGAACAGCCTATGCACTTGTACCCTGGGCTTTGGGATCCAGATGTCTGTACTCCCATTTGACCTTTTTCAGGTCACATTTTGTAGTGTTACTGGTGTTCACACAGAAGAGGAAAGAGGTAGTCACTTGTGCAACTAAAAACCCTTGCAGTCTCTCCACAGCAACATGGATCTTAGCTCGAGGCGAGGACGTCAGGCCAACAGAAGGGAGCTGCCCATTACTAAGACTAAATGCTGCTGCTTCTTTCTCCCTACTGGTTTTGACTGGCTGAGCAGGAATTGTTTGTCCAGTTGTCTTTTCCAGCAGAACTAGAACTCTTTCATCCTTCCCTCCTACTACCAGGATTCTGTATATGGTCTTTAGCTAAATTTCAACAGAATGGGCTATTTTCTGGTTGAGATGAGTCACAAGCTTCCAGATTACATGCTCAGCAAGTTGCTGTCCTCCTGTTCAACCTTACATCACCCTATCCTGTCTGCAGCCTGCAATCTTGACTCTTGCCCTTGCAGTACTGCTGCCAGCATCTTATGGATCAGCTCCTCATCCTCTTCCTTACGACCTTCTCCCTACAGCTCCTTCCTTCACCTACCTGCTCAATGACAGCTCTGGACTCACCTCCCACAGGCGATATTCACCTCCTTCTCAGTCCTAGGGAAGAGCACGAAGCACTTTCTGCAGCCTATTGCCTCAACAGCCATGTCTCCGCTCACGAACTCTAGGTCACTGCCTGTGACATGCTTGAAACTGTCCTTTTAGCTGCCACAAAAGACCATGTCCTGTGTCACGTCACCATCACCGGACCATCGTTTTCCTTATCAGAACACAAGTAATGGCACCGAACAGCAGCCAGAACAGCATCCTGGGGCCCCTGCATAAACCCTGCCCTGCCAACTGCTGAGTTCCCATTTGCAGATCCCCCTAAGTGGTAGCTAAAAGGCAAAAGGAAGCCAGGCACAGGCACTTGCTTTCTCAGTTTTTAACTGCTCCATGAGGATGTGCAAGCAAGGTTGTACACACACAGCTGCATTGCCCAGGTTTCAGGTAGCATTCATGTACTATGTCTAAAGTGAATTACTATCTGATCTTGTCAGACTACAGACTTGGAGCCTGCAAGCATTAGAACACATACCAAATTTTAATTGCATGATTAGTTTTCACTGATGTCAGTGGATCTTCTCAGGTTTTTAACCTGAAGTATTTTCAGGAGTTTGCAGGACTTCACCTGAAGTGAAGAACTGCTAGTACATACCAGATTAAATGCTCCAACTCCAAGTTTTACACCTCCCTCGAAATGATGATGGTTCTCGCCTTTGACATAATGTGGAGATTGTATGAGACTGTCCAGCTCCCTGAAAATGCAAAAGACTGAGTTACAATGTGAATGAATATAATGGTTTATACTAATCACAATTCAGTAAGAAAACAACCCAATGACCTTGAACTATATAGTAGTTCAAAAAAGTCTTTCTTTTTTTTTCTTTTCCATCTCACCCAGCTCAAACACACCTACAACATTTTGGTGGGTTAATCAACAAACCACTTCATTCCCCTTATTCAAAAATATGGGGTTCTGGAGGTGACTTTCTGTCAAAACAGAGTCAATTTATAACTACATTTCTGCTTTAAAATGTTATAGAATAGCAGCTGGGAGTAACATCTTCCTTCAGTATCACAAAAGGAGATAATGGACAGTGCAGGAGGGAGGTGAGAATTTGGTCATTTTTATATTACCAAATCTGACTTGAGCTTCACATCATCTCCCCCTCCCCCTATTCCCCCCCCCCACCACCCCAAAAAAAAAAAAACACCCTTCAGTATATTTCTAGAGAAAATACACTGGATGCAGTTCTGTGTAGGCTGCACATGCGACTTTTCATGGCTGCTCCAAATTTAAACCTAAATAAAAATAAATAAGATGACCTAAAATGAAACAAAGTATGATGCATATTTAGCTTTCACCTTTTTAAATTATTCATACAGTCCGTACTGCTGTGCAAGTTCCTCATACTTTTAATGCACTGACAGCATGCGTCTCATTTTCAATTATTTTAATTCCATCTTTTTATAGTGTATGGTATTTTTTCTAAGAAAAGAGCTTTTAAAACTGCATCCTTGCAACTTTTACCCTTGCTGTCTTTTCCAAGGAGGCCACTATTGCAGATTACCAAATTCTGCTGGAGGCAGTGGGGGGAAGGAAAAGGTAGCTTTTAATAGTGTGAAAAATACTTAAGACAAAGTCTTTGTTCTATACTTCACTTGAAATTTTCCCTGTAACTTGCTGCACCAATTACTCAGCAAAACTACTACGAAGAGTATTTCTTGACACCAAACATACAAGATCTTCACTTAACTGTCTCTTAATTTCGTGTTAGTTTCATGCATTTATTATGATTTGTGCTTCAGCTACTGTTTTTGAAGGTTCCAAGAGCTCAGCTGCAGCCCAACCTACACAGAAATACCATTTCATGTATCTTATGACCTGAGTCATTCAAATTCTGCTGTGGGACAAAATGAACATTATACCATTTAGACATTTAGAACAGCTGTATTTGTTCACACAATGTTAATGAAACTATATTTAAAACAGGCAAACCTTAAGAAATGAGCAGGGATAGAGCCCAGTATCTTTTTTTTATACCATTCACTGTATATCTAAAATAAATTTACAAACTGAACCAAACACAGCATCCCTGCCCTTTCTTATGCCCAGAATAAATTAATACAATAGTAATTAATTTGTAAATTACAGAATTCCACCAGCGAATACTTTTTTATTGAAAGAGTACGTTCAACTATACCATCACTTTGACTTACCTGTATGTTTGGTAACTGTTTCGGACTTTGATGCCTCCTTTTATGAAGCTAACCATATTCTCATCCTATTAGGAATGAGACACATTACCAATATGAATTGTGAACATCATGAAGGGCTTTTGCTTTCTGGTGATTAACAGGTCATGAACACCAACATCATGAGACTGATAGTGTCTTTAAGAACAATATATGGATTTATGATTTCCTTTCTAATTAAAATATTTTTATTGTCTGGAGACATATTCACTTTATTCTGATGTGATAAGTTTATCCTCCATGGCCCTCTGCGGTAGGCACCTACCCATATTTAAAGGCCTGGTTATATCTTCCTTTGAATGAAAACTATGTTCACCTTTGAATAGGAGATGGAAAGAGAAAAGATCATGTTTTAAAACTGTAGTATTTACTCCAGTTTCTGACTAACAGCTCAGAATACACATTGCTACCAAAAACAGAGATAACCAATATGAGTATATTCCAGTTCCTGAAAAATCCTGAGACTAATTTCTATGTGGGTTTTCAGTAGGGTCTGACCATTTACGTTAAGCATCAAAACTAACCCACTTCAATAGCTGTTGGAACCTAGTGCCTTTGTTTAATTTTTAAAATCCTTTCATGAAAAATTAAACACAGAAGAGGAAGCATACACACAGGCATCCTGCATGCAGGGGAAGACAAGAAATTATTCTCCTACTCTTAAATATCTCATGTATCTATAAAGGATTTTTTAAAAATAAAGATAACTGAGAAAACAGCATTTAAATCCAAAAGATCTTTCAATAAATAATCTATTCTTAGAGCCACAATGGACAAATTTTGAAAAATATGGCTGTTGTAGCTTAAGATGCCTTCAACTGTGCCCAGTGCCAGAGGCTACTAATTCCACAGCAGCAGAAATAGTCATGTCAAAGTCCAGCATCTTCTCACAGAGGCACCATTATCACCACTCTAAAAGCCTTCAAAAGTTGCTGTTTCTATTGCTGACCTTGCTGTGAAGTAACAGGTCCCAGCAGAGGGGTATGGTACACAGCTGAGAAAGCTTAGTTCATAAATTACCACAAGCATTTATTAGAGCTCATCGGGCAGCTCCCAAAAATAATAAAATTACCACCTGCACTTCTTTATCACCATCATTGAGCCAAGAAGCACAAATCCTCTCCTGAACGTGGCTTCTATTATCTTTTCCCCATAGATGAAGAGGCCCACTGTCATATAGCAAGTACAGCCAGATCAAGAAGAAAAATGAGTTATTCTAATTATCACTAAATGCTTAAACTGCAAGCTGGAGCCCAAGTAACTACTGCCAGTGTTAACTCCTGAGCAAACTGAACTTCTGTATTCCAGATGGACAAAGAGGGAGCATTCCCTTTCTTTTACATGCAGAAAGCTCTGTCTAGTGAAATTCATGTGTGGAGCTGAACAGCAAGACAGATTAAAATACATTTGGAACAAAGCAGTGAGAAAGCAGTCTTGGGAAAGCAAACATCAGCCTGAAACAAGATCTCCCTTGCATTCCAGCACAGCACAGCTAAGAGTGACCATTTCTTTTTTATCTGATACCCTAACACACAATACGTGTGGTGATATTTCACACACCCAAAGGGTGGAGAAGTATTCAACACTCTGTGTATTAAGCAGTAAATAAACCAGAGAAATAACAAGACATGCTACTATCTCCACATATTCAGAAATGGGATCCAAATGAAAGTCTAATATTAGGCTAGGACTTTTTAGCATTTTGTTTACTTTAATAAAGTAAAACAGTATATGAATGTTCTGGTATTTATTTTCCAAACAATTATACAGAAATCTGTACCTGTAGGAATGTGAGTGCTGCTCTTTGAAGTAAACATTCAGCATAGCAAATTTCTGCATGGATTTCCTCTAGCATCACACAGAGAGAGGAAGAAAGAAAAAAAAATTAGACAAAAAATATTTAAAACATATTTGACCATCTGGACATATTTTGACCAAAAATTCTTTTCCAGATGCAGTGTTCAGTTCTAGGCTACTAAAGTAATATAAAGAGCAATGACACGAGGTCATAGAACCTTCTAGAAATTTCCCTGGTGCCTTCCAGAATTTATAGAATCTGGAACCTCTATAGACATTTCCTCAATTCTTCCTAGTGACCTAGCAAGTTTTGGAAATACTGAGTCAACACTGAGCAAAAAAGATTATTTTTGAAGTGGTGATATTGCAAGTAACCAAAACAGCAAACCAGCCATGCTGGTAATGCCAAGTCAGCAGTTCTGTCACCGACCTGACAACTTGCAAAAAGTTGTTGCTGAGTTGGTAGCTCTAGACAGTTCCAAGGAAAAAAACATAAAAGCATTAAGAGCACATCAGAAATCATTAAAAGCAGTTTACCTTCAGTAAAATGTTCAAGACTCTGTCTATGCACAAGGTTGTTGAAGGAATCAGCTACTGTAGATTTCTTCCTAAATCTACAAAAAGACAGCTTGGTCATTCTGACAAGAAGCATAACCAACAGAGAGAACTGAATCCTTCAGCTGCCCAGCCACACAGGCAGTAACACTCCTCTATTGCTAACAAATCCTCTGCTATCCCACCACCTGTGCAAACCTAAGCATCTTTCACACAGTATTTGCCATTATGGATATCCTGGGATGTTTTCCCCCAGAAAAATGTCCTGATGGTTGAAGGAGATAAGATGGCTTTTTGATTTATTTTGTATATGTGTGCAGAAAAGCAGGAGCGTGGCTGGCTCAGGAAGACAGCTGGTTACAGCTAATCATCCCCAAATGGGAAGATTTTGCTGTTTATAAATGGTAAATGACCTCCAGACACTGCAGAACTGGGAGTAGAGATAGAACTAGAATCTAATTGACAAGAAATATCAGATAGTGCAGTAAATTGAGGTTTTCAAGACCAGACTGGTGAAAACTCTGGGTAACATCACACAACCCCACAGATGACTCTCCTTTGAACAGAAGGCTGGACTAGACAACCATCCGACATTCCTTCCAACCTCAATTTTCCTACAATTCCTATGAAATGACATGTCCTCTTTTCATCCATATATCTCAGAACTTTTCCCTGAAAAGACTACATTGACTGAACTTCCTTAACTTACTTCTGACAGGTGGCTTGAGCTTCTTTCATTGTGTTTCCTGCATTCAGTATGTCCTGAGGATCAAATGTCATCATAGCTTGCATTTCCAGTATGGTGGCATAGGTGAGTGCATGGTACATACTGTCTTTAGTTCTGCGGGAAAACATAAAATGCTGAAGCATAGCTGATATTATTTTATTTTTACTTTAATAAGTAGAAAAACTAGTAAAGTTCAGTAGTAAAAGAAAAGTCTTGTAGTAAAAAAATTAGAAATCAAACACAAAGGACATGCAAAAGGTTAACACAATCAAGAAATGCTAACAGATTCCTATTTGTGCAGCAAATCATGTCTACAGTTCCGAAGTCAATAACTGCTAAAATATTCCAATTCTGAGCAGAAGACAGGTATTTATCATACATAACAAAAAGTACTAGAATTAACCACACAGATAACCATCTGGGGGACAAAATAATCATGTTTTTTTAATGAATTATCTAATGAACACATGTGACAAGAATTAGATATTATTCTTCTGTTCTGGAGCAGTTACTTGGGACAAAATCAAGGAGATAAGTAGGACAATACTACAACAGGGGCCAAAGCAGAACCTTCATCATACAGATCTTCCTGTCAAAACTGTTCCAGCCTCAGCCAAAAGCTACAGCTTTTTCTTCCTCTTCCCTTCTGCCATCTCTCAGCTCTACTTGTCCAATTCAAATATTCTTCTGGAGGAGTTCAGATTGTGTCTCTTAAATAAAGCTCACAACCCTGGCATGAATCCAGGGAAAACAATTCCTATCTGCAGACTTCTCTTTCAGCAGGAAGAGGGCTTATGGATTGCACACATGGACAACATTTTCCCTGCACCCACCTATATTCCCCTGAAAATGAATCAAATTATCTTCCAGCCTAGAAGATCCAATAAGAAAGACTTGGGAAACAAGTTAAGGTGAAATCTGGGATGAATTCCTGCCATAGAAACTGTTTGCAGACCTTGCATTTAGTTCATCCCTGACACACAGCATGATTTATAAAAAATATTGCTAAAGCACAACTATTTTTATTTCAATTGTTTAGATCTTTAGAAGGTAAGTTCTATATAACATGGAATATTCAATAGGTATGCAATAAAACAAGATGTCCTTTCAACAAAATCTCCAACTTTGATATACCCATTCCTGATATGTGCACTCCACATGTTCATTATTAAGATGAGCTACTTCCTTTTCTTTCTCTTTCAAGGTGAATGTGGCTTTGTTTAAAGGAGAAAAAGCCAGACTTTAAAGACACCTCAGTCCATTTAATTTCTCTCCCTAGGAGAAATATACCTGCCCATATCCCACATGATATTTGGACTGAATTGAAAGAATAAGGGTAATTTTACAGTCCTAAGACAGTCCTAAATTAAACAGTGATTCAATATCTTGCTGTGCTGACCTGACTCCCTTTAAGCTTTCCAAGTACCCATATATTATCTCACATTAATTCCTTTGCTCACTAGTGCGAAGGAAATGCCCCAAATTATCTTCAGGAGCCCCTGACATTTGGTTAACTTTTTTCAGAGCCAAAAATTAACCTTTGCTACACCTACAGCAATCCTCTATCAATGACACTAAGCAACTAAATCACCAAAGGAAAAAAAAAATGATATGATCCAAACTTATTTTACATATATATTTCTTGAGATATATATATATTAAAGCTTCATTCTCTTTGCTATTTTACTGCTCTTTGTTTCACATTCACCTATCTTCTCAGTTAGAAGATTTCCCAGGGAAAGTCCCTTCACCCAACTGAATGACCTGATTTTTGCTTTTATTTTGCAACGGCAAACATATTTCACCATACAAAGATGGCAGTTATTATTTCAAATGAGCATTTCCATTAAAATTTTAATTATATCATTATTTTAATTGCAATGCACACAATAACATCTAATATTGTAATCTGAACCTATTTTTAAAATACTAATGGTGGTTAACTAGTACAGAGAACTCCAGTGCTCCAATAATGGTTACACAAGTCACTAATAAAGAGGTAATATACCTCCCCACACCTACCTGTAACACACATACATACATACAAGGGCTGAACTTACTTTTTGAGACATCTTGCTACTAGAATTAACATCTGGATTTGTTAATCCAGGTACTTTTGGGAGATTATTTTCAGAGTAAAGTCAATTGTCGTATGTTTGTCATTCTCAGGACATATAAACCTGTAAACTGCAACACAGACGTGTTGCATCTCAGCCCATGATTCACATTACTCTATGTAATGAATTTATCTTTGTTATTTACCACGCTTCCAAAAGGTTTGTCGTCAGCAAACTATCAGGTAATTATTTCATGCATTCCTTCAGAATATTAAATTAAACAATATTTGTCTTGGAGAGGGAAAGAAGAAACCTCACCAGAACTGACTCATTGAATTATGATATGTTTGCAATTAATATGAGTGCAAAAAATTTATTCAGATTTAAATTCTGTAGGCATCTTTGGGAATAGGAAGAAGATGAGATTTTTCCCTGCCACAATAACTGGACAGTTTTACACTGTTATTCATTGTCACAGTTAATAGGATACATATTGAAAAATCCCTGTTGTGTTTGATGATTGAATTTGAAGAATTTGTTGAAATTCTTAGATTTAATATGAATATTCCATACAAGAGATTAAATTAATTAGACACCATCCCAACATATTTAAGCTGCACGGGAATAGGAAGATCTGAGGGTGGGTTTTTTTTTTTTTTTTTTTTTAACTCTCATACACTGCCAAAATCAGCTCTCAGTTACATATGGTACAAATCAGCTGGAGGTTGACAGTAGAAGCCAAGTGTAATTTACTGAATCTGCAATAGTGTAATACAAAGTAGAGTATGTCCTACAATGTATGTGGAAAAGCTGCAAAATCTAAGACACAAAAATTCTTTGCAAGTAGGTAAAAACTGAAAAGTATTTTTTAAAACAAAGATAGCATGTTTATCGACTGTGAAAACTAATTTCAAATCTCAGCATGCTAAAAGGCAACAGTGAGGAACTGATGATTCCCAAAGAAAATACTCAATATTACCACATGTGCCTACTTTACAACCCTTGTCATTCCCTAAGGAGAGGGAGTGTGTCTGTAATGGATATCATCTGTAGTGTAGCTTTCTGTTTCTGCATCACACACAGAATTCTGATCTTAGTGAATTTCCCTCACTGCCAAGGGGCTACAGGAATAGGGCTGTCTTCTTAACAAGAAGCTAACATGAAAAAAACAATTTCAAAATGGTTTTGCAACGTGAAATACATTCGTATTCCAGGTGCAAATACAGAAAGTCAGCCCACATAATGAATTCTGCAGGACCTAACAAAAGCAGAATGGAAACCACACGGAATAGAATAAAAACGGAATGGGGGGGGGGGGGGGGAGGAAGACATGCACAGTCTCAGCAGTTTTTTGCTGTACTTTGGAAACTGCTTCCAATTCAGTATTTCCCTCATTTTTGCTAAGCCCTGAATAACTGTTTCCAGATGGGCACAGGGGCTTTACTATCAGAATTTAATGAGAATTCAGCTATTCTTACTGTCATTTTTATGATATTTTCTGATGATATATAAACACTAAACACAACACTGCTGTGAATAAAACTAGTATGAAGAACACATCTGATTCCACAGTTTATCAAGAATTACTTTGACAGCGTATACTGAGTCTGAGGTTGATACTCTGGTAAACAGATACACAGCATTTACAGAAGGATGCATTTATTGACTGATGACTGATACATATACTAAGTCCTTTTTGGTGGCTCTTACCATATCAGTCACATCTTGAGGAAGACATGAGAAGAGGATGTAGAAGAGGGAAGGAAATGAAGAATACTGATGACAACTTATATGCAATGCATCTGAATGAGGTGAATAAAAGAATAATTGGGCAGAAAAACAGCTGTCGCAACCTGCAACTCTTGCTACTTTTCAGGATATGTGAGGCCTAATCAGACAAGGATGAATGAAGTTGCTATGAGCCGTAACATTTGCAGTAAAGCATGTGCATGCGCTTTCACTGAACTTGCATGCGAGAAACCAGAGTTCAGATTTATGTGAGTTCAGAACAAATGCAATCAAGGATGGAGGAAATTGTAAAATATAAAGTGAAATTGTAAAATATAAAACTTGCATTACCTATGAATTATATTTGCTTGATATTTCAATGACCTAAAAGACTGCATGATGTAGTTTGCTGACGGATCAAAAATAAATTAAGCATAACTTGGGGAAGAGATGGAAAATAGCTGATTTATACAACACTGCAAACTCTCCCTGCATGCAGGAAACACATGAAAAGCAGAAAAAGACAGGAGGATAGACTTTTTTTCTTTCACGAATAAGAATCTCACATATTATTCTACAGTTAAAGGGTATTTCTTTGGACAGCAATCCAGCACTTTCTACAGTTATCTCTGTTCAATCATGTTTCTCACTTACTCAAGTGTAAAATCTTTTTTCTGTCTTCTTAAGAACTTAGTGTATTACTTACTACCTCTTTCTGAACCCAAACCACACAGTTTAATGCTTACTGAGAGAGTACTAGCTGCCTAGTTCTCCATGAAAGACGGAGAAGTGAAGAAAACGCTGTCAACTTACTTGGCTTGTAAGGAAGCCAAAGCATCCGAGAACTTGTTGTTAAGAAATAGATCCAAAGCTGCCATACATTCATGCAATGCCATGTTGAGGTCGGATGTAGGTGACCTGCAAGGAGAGAGAATATATTTAGTACGTATGTTTTCCTTTCACTGATAAAGTACTACTATATTTGAATTTGTCACCTTCAGTGCTAACCTTATATCCATGTGAATAATCTGCTCTTTCATTTCTAATACTTGCAAAAGATGAAAGTGTCTTCCATAGCACGTATTGTGCTTTTTTTTTTTTTTTTTTTTTTTTTTTTTTTTTTTTTTTTTTTTTTTTTTTTTTTTTAAAGCCAAATCATAATATTACAGCCTGTGGAAATTAATTCAAACTTCATTCTTTCTGACAGAGGAGCAAGTGCTGTAAATAAGTACTGGTACATGTGGATGTTACCATGCGGAACACAGTAATCTGATGAGCTCAGTTGGCAGACACACCGAAGCACTGGGTGACAACCCACACCTTGACTGTGTTCAAATATGACAATAGGCTAGTTGCATTGTGATTAGGCTGTTGCTTTGTTAAGGGCAAAAAGTTTCTGTACTACATCTCAAGATTATACCCATTGCTACTGCAACAACTGCTTGACCTCAGCTCCTACTCCTTATGGTTCCTGACGAATAAAATACCATGGTCTTGTAAGTTGGTTAAAATTTTACATTGTGCCTGCTTCGGAAATACGCTTTCCCTAAAAAATGCTGCAGCATTTCCAAGTCAGAAAATTATCTTGGTAGCTTACTCTGAATTTTTCTCCTGTACAATGCTCAGATGTCAGTCTGACATTTCATAAGGGTTCTCAGCTGGTCTCGGGGTTGCTGGCAATGGGATAACGCAGACCAGGTGAAAAAACCTGGCCCCAGTTCATCCCAGCAGAACTGCTGTTCTAAAGAAAAAATGATCAGACTTTGCACCGACAAAGTTGCAGTAACCTGGCCAATATCAAGACAGGTGAAACAGAATCTAATGACAGAAGAACCATATTACATTAACGTGTGATATATGTCTGTACTGGAAAAAAAAAAAAAAACCCTCAGCAATTTCCTGACTCCAACAGCTCAACAGCTCTAACTGATGTGGAAATTGTGTTATCTCCCTAAGAAAAAGGGGCAAAACACAGCTTGCTCAAAAATGCAGTATCATGTCTGCCTAACTCTCAGAATCTACTCCAAATCTTACTTATCATAATAATTACAACTTTGTCAATTATTGTTTGCATGTATTACGGTTCTTATGTGCCTTTTTTAAAAACAGATCCTGGCTTAAACCAGCTTTCCAGCGATTGAATCAAACAGCATATTCAAGATTGTAATAAACCTACTTTAATCTGCTAATGTCTTTAGACACTGCTGTTAGTAACATTTTATTGTTTTTGCTTACTTTTATCTCCATGCAGGAGAAGAACAAAATACAGTGCACCGTTTCACATTGTTACCTTTTAAAATAGAAAACTGATCAAAAAAAAAGGGGGGGGCGGGGGGGACACTGTAGAAGTTCAAAGCACAGATATGTTAACCATTTAACATTTTTTCTGGAATAAGAATAACGAACAGAGTGCTACTGCCAGTACCAGCAATAATATAAGTAGCATACTTCACTAATGCTCTAAGGAAATCTGACATTTGGTGTGGTTTCCCTGCAAAGAAATTAAGACCCGGACAAAAACACACGCCTTACACAATACTACAAATTATCATTTACTGCTGCTAACAATAGGGCTAAAAGAAACAGTTTTATCCACAGAATACCAAGGATTTTAGCAAAATGATTAGTCATGCCTCGGTGGGTTGCAGATTTTCTCCGTTTTCAACTATCAGAGCAGAACTACCTCTAATGCAAGTGGAAAAACCACGCGCTGGGGCTCACCTTTCTGGTAAGTCTCCTGTGTTTTCTGTCATAGTCATTTGGGCGCCCGGTGAGCATTTAAGCGAGACCATGTAGCAGCAGCAGCAGCCACACGGGGCCACACAGACAGTGGAGAGTGACAGTGTGAGCAGCGGCGAGGGCAGGGCAGAGGCAGCCTGCCTGCCTGCCAGGAGGCTACACACTCTCACGGGCCTTTGTGCATGTTATGATGACACCTATGAGCCTCAGGAGCTCAGCTACTGCATGCTAAGAATGGGTGATTTGGAAGCTGTTCCATAATACATTTTGTTCCTATATTATTGAATATCACTATAATCTGGAGGCTGTCAGTTGCTGCCAGTGTATCTTTGATCTGTGAGCTATCATAGACCTGTCAAAAACTAGTGACCACATTGGGTGTCTTTCATTCTGTGCAAACAAGGCAGAAAAATCGTCCTGTGATTACAGATTTGAAATGGAAATTATTGCATGAATTATTGAACCACATGAGAAACCTGTGAATGAGAACTGAGCATCAAATTAGACTGGCCGAAATGAAGGAGAACTGAGGCCCTAATTGCTGTGTATGTCAGCAGCACAGAAGACAAGAAAGTATTTTTGTCGAATCAAGGATTCTCTGCAAAGCAGACCTGAATCCATGAGCCAAAGTGCTGCTTGTTGATGGTTCCTATAACGTTGTGAGGTAGTGAGATTCTCCAAGTTATTTGTAAAAATCTCTCTTTAATTTTAGGCCAAAATTAGATAAGTGGGCAAGAACAATTTATATCACTGGAGTGTGCTCATGTGGCTGCCAAAATAAAACAGTGTGTGCTCACAGCTGTACTATTGCTATACTTAGGGGCAGACAAGAACAGCAGACACAATCTCTCCATTACAATAGTTGGAATGTATAAGTTGATTGGTTATAATTTGATTCTTCTATGAACTAAATTAGTTTTTCCAAAGGGTCATAGCCTAATGTTAAAAATTATACCTGTCTTTTATCCTACATGGAACTATTTGTTAGGTTATACAACACAATTCCAGTAAAGGATTCATCAACTATTGAAGAAAGATCCAAAAGTGATCAACAGGAGAAGGCGAATTTCAGGCAGATACTCTGAAGATATTAACATAATAGGTTAAACCTTCTACTGTTTTTATGGTGTCCTGCACAGATATAAAAGTTATTTTAACAGACCCACAGGCCGTCCCTTTGATAACTCTGTTACAAGTTCAGAACAGCGGTATACGCTTGCACTACTGCAGGAGACAAAAGGCATTACTGTTTCCCCCGGCTGGCCATAGCTACTCCTAGAAACTTAAAATTAAGCAAGGTGCTTCTATGTCATGGCCATGAGCTACTCTGAAAGATTATCAACTTTTTCCACTAGCTGCTTATATACTTTATAACTGATCCTTTATTTCCCAAATTAATCTTTAAAGTTCTGCATGGTGAATACTCCAGCTGTTGCTAGACTTGGCAGTTTTGGGGTAAAAATTACATGCTCAGTTAACCTTCACCGTACCCACATCACCTCTATCTCTCTCTCTCTCCTCCCTCACTTTTTTTTTTTTTTTTTTTTTTAAATTAAACCAAACAAATCTAAAAAACTACGATCAGGAATGTTTCAGGCTGTTTTCTCCATTGTTTTAGAAGGTTTTCTTTCTTGCTTGCCTTTTGGCAGCAGGTTGAACCAGGACAAGCATATGGTTCTCATATTTTACTACTTACGAAATCATCTTCTCTGCCCTGGAGCCCACAACTGGAGGTGCTTCATAAATCGTAATTAAAGTATATCCTATGGCTTAACGTAAGGCTTGGTCTCTGTGCTCCACTGCAGCCCCATTGCCTCCAGTCTGAAGCACAATTATGCAGGACATTGTAGACGATGTTGTTCCTGCTTAAATATCAGATCCCTTCTATTGCTGACAACAACACTTAACACCATAAATAAGGAAAGTATATGATAAATTACTTTTTTTGAATATTAATGAAAATCAAAGCATCTTCAGAAGATTCAGAAGAATCATGATTCTTTCTGTGATCAAAAAGAAGCCAGATTTACAATACCTTCAATATTATTTCAATAGCTTTTTCAATATTGTGAAACACTGAAAGCGAGTTAAATCAGTTCATACTCTAAAATATGGGAACATTTCTCTGATAAATCTCCATTAACTACAAAGGCAGTTTAGGCCATATGCACAGATAATTTAATTTGGAGGAACACAGTAAAGTACAAACAGTCAAGCACAATGAGGCTGAATAGGACATAGTGAGAAATCTCCACAGAGAAGCCCCAGCACTGGTGACTCAGGAGCTGATTCTCTGGGAAGAGTCAGCATCTTGGAGTGGGCAGAAATAGAGGTACCCGCTGTTTTTACACAAACAGCCCAGGAACCACCATGCAGAGCAAGTAAGAGGCAGGATCAGAGAAAAGCACTGAAGGGAAAGATTATTTTTCAGCCCCAAGAAATGTCATATCATAATCTCTGCAATCATACCAGGATCATACCATCAGAACTGGCACTGTTTATTGCTATTCAAACACACCAGCAAGTCACTCTAGAGATCAGCAAGCAGGGTTCCAGCTCCACTGAGGCTGTTCTCTCTGCATAGCACAGTTGGCTTCTTTGCTGGGTCAAGCCACCGAAACATATTTCTTAGGCAAAATAAAATTCGTAACAGTTTTGTATTGCCTGCAAACTTCCCCACTGCACATTCTCAAAAGTATCACCACTGAACAGATACTATTTCTGTTACTGTAGCACTGGGCAATTATAGGCAGGGGACATCAGATAACTGAGGTTATTTTCTTTGCCTTTTCAAGTTTGTCAGGTCCTTTTTAAAACAGATGACTACTCTAAGCAACTATCTTCTGAACCCAAGACTGAAAAAAAAAATGCATATTTAAACAAAATGGAAAGCACATCACTTAGGAAGCATTCTTTTTCTACTTTGTATATATTTCCAAAGCCACATGAGATCAGAAATAAATTCACATGAATACCTATTTCATCAGATGAAAAGGAGAACCATTAAATAGTTCTCACAATAATATATTAACACTAAGATTTCAAACAACACAGAACTTCTTCATATTCAAAAGTATGTATGTTTATACAAGTAAATATGCTTTATTTAAGTAAAATCAATTCTAACATACCGTTCTTGTTTTATGTGCCAGGCTAGCAACAACTTAGTATAAGTTCCATTTATCTTTTTGCTCTTCATATGTAGTCTCTGACTAAGGCACTTTGGTACCATGGAAATATCAATGCCTCTGACAATGACAAAGGAACAGGAAAGGATTTGGTATCCAATATTTTGGTTACCCAAATATTCGGTATAAGAATACAAAAAGTGATGCAATTCTGGAGCTCCAGAGATCTTAGTCACTACTTCAATATTGTACGTGGAATTTGGCAGACTTTATTTTTGAGACTAACTGCTCTGAAACTACCACGGCTGTCGAGGCTTTGAAAATGCTGAAGGTCTTTCATTAGAGAAAAATTTACGCTTTTGGCCCTTATGTTTCAGGGAAAGGTCACAAGACAATGGGATGTGACAAAACAGTCAAAGGAACAGAACAAAGTTCAAAGAATCAGTCGATTTATGTTCTGCCTTGGTTCCACCACTGTTTAACCTGCACCAAGCAGGATCTACATTGCACTATGCTGACAGTTCTCATCCTGTATTTGAATTGGCAAACAATGCCATAAATCAATTTAGGTAGATTTGTTCAGCTAGATAAAAATGTGCGTGTCATTTTGCACTTCCTTTTCAGCAAGCAACAGAGTTTTAGTGCCATAATCGCTCATAGGAGCACACCAGAAGTACAGAAATGCAGCAATCTATTATTCCCATTTATTAGAAGGGTCTACATCAAACAGAAAGAAAAAAAAAAAAAAAAGACAATTTAACCTGATCCAAGCATCTGGAATTGCATTAACCTATTGGAATGTACAAACAAAACAAAGTAAAACCCACAAAGTTCAAGTTAAAAGAAAACAAACACATTCAGCATTATAGAACCTTACATGCAAACTGCAATTAAGGAGCTAAATCTGTTGAGTAAATTTTCATGGTAAGACAGTCCATATTAATGCTCAAGTTTTAACAATAACTTTTCAATTCCAATGCTCAATAACCTTTATCATTACAAAACACTTTTCTTTTTTTTTTTTTTATAAAGTCTTAAGGTCAACATTTACTTAGTCTTACCTACCCATACGTTCTCTTCTCTAAGCCCTCTAAATTCTTCCAATACCTCTGGACAAACACAGTTCTGTCATAGTTATTCTCAAATTTTAAAGGTTCAATCCTGTTTACATTAAAACTAATGCAAATTCAACAGAAGCTGGATGAGGCCAACATTTTGCAATGGTACTGAGTAGACTCAGGTACAAACTTCAACAACAGCAAAAGCAAAAGGCTTTACATTACATTCCAAGATAAGTTTCCAGGGAGCTTCCAACACATTGAATTATTATGTAAGAAATCATCTGCAAGGCACAGTTCATGCTACTTTAGCCAAAAACAATGTCACTTTCCCTCAAATTAAATAACAATTCAAACTGAGTAAATTCAATACAACACCTTTATAATATTCTTAAAACTACTGAGTTGATCAATACACAAGAACAGAAAAAAAAATGTTTCATTAGGATGTTTTCTGGGCACTCAATAATTTTAAAGCATTTCTGAGAAGTTCTCTTTCTTAGGCATTGGTGCTTTCAGAGGCAAATAAGTAGTACTCTCCTCAATTCACAGAGTGAAATAACTCAAAAAGCGGCATGAGGATGCATGATGAAAAAAAATAAATACATACACAAATAAACAACCTTCCCCTCCAAAAACAGTGCTGGCTTAGGATTCAGGCATATGGCAGTCTGGGAACTTTTTGGCATTTTTCTTCCTTTCCTGATAGGAAGTCCTGATTTATTAAAACCAAAAACTTTGACTACAAGATTCCACCAGTTCAGAACCACATTTTTACTCAGAGTCAAGTAGGGAGAAAAAAAAAAAAAAAAAAAAAAGGCAAGTTCAGTACTACATTCTGCTTGAAGATTGAAGATTCAACCCATTAAAAGTCCAAATATATCTGAATGCCCATCCTAACATTCAAAATTTCTTCCTGCTATTGATTTTCTATAAAAGACAACTGAAATCTTATTATCAAAGTGAGGACAAAATCCAAAAACTTGCAAAACAGCCAGACTCAACAACTCCGGCATTTAGCTTTTAGTTCAAACCAGTCCACTAAACCATCCTGTCTTTCAGCTATGAGCTAATAATTTCAGCCTGCTCTCAAACCAAAGAAAGTTAAGCTTAGTCATAGAGAGAGAACAGNAAAAAAAAAAAAAAAAAAAAAAACCATAAAAACGCTCTAGAATTATCTACAGGCCAAAAGAGAGATTATTCCAATATTAATGATAAATTTAATTAGCAAACAAACAAAAGATGTATAACAGAAGGGTTTTTTTGCAGCATCTTTTAGGCCAGGAACCAATAGCACTGTAACCAGAACATCCCAAGTATTTGGTGTCCCAGTGCAGTTTTGCTCCGGCACACGAGAGCCAGGCCCGGTAGATGGAGCTGCAGGAAGGGGAGGAGGACCAGGATGTCGATCGGCCTCAGCAAGGCTCCTTTCAGCACCACCTCCCTCCCTACTCTAAGAAAACCCCAACGGCTGCTGGCTGCTCCAGAACATCTTGGCAAACGTTCATGTGCGCACACAAGATTTTCTCAAGTGTAACAACCACAATCTCTTTATCTTTGTTGCTAGTAATCTGCTATTAGTACCGACATGGGAGCACAACAGCCTCTAATAATGTCAATTGAAAGCCCTAACATAAACCACCTTCCCACCCTAGAAAGTGGGAATATGATCAATAATACTTTATTGGTCCCTACAAAGGTCCCTATCCAGAGACAACGTGATAACAAAATGGACAAAACTACTGCAAACACCAATACTCACAGCATTTTGGATCATTAGACAGATGGGAAAGACTGTTTTTTAACCCTATAGTACTTAAAGCAGTTTAGTTCCGCCAGACTCGTTTACAGCAATGCATAAACAGGCCTTTAATGCACTTGTGTGCAAAATTCAGTCCATCTCCACCAAGGGAGAATGTTATTTACACACTGATTCAGCTTTTGACGAAACCGACTCCCTCCCATGCACACCGCATCACTTTTTGTATTCTAGGGGCAGCGGGAGCACACACGTGGAGGGAAAAGGAAATCCCCCCCCCCCCCCACAGTGGCTTCATAAGGCAAGGCAAGGATTTGGTTACAATTCATGTCAACATTTCCGTGTCCAGGTGTGTTGTAAGCTCTGTAAACATCAGCTCGAGAAAAACGTCCGGGTCTTGCAAGCTCCTGTACTGTTCTGTGACATTATATGGCTCATGTAACGCTTCGATGGCCACTTGCACACAACTACGAGGGGAGCGCTGCATAAATACAGAACTTAAACTGTCTAATAATAAAATAAAAGATGTAACCCTGAAGCAGTAAAAATGGAGCTTCTGCTCCTTCTGCAATTTATTTTCAGGCTGGTGAACCGAGGAGCAGCTGGACTAAGTGACATGCCCAAACTTCTGTGCAATCCTGTGGCAAAGGGGCTGGGGGCGGCCGTGCCGCGCCTGCCCCTCCCGGACGGCCCGGCCGCGAACCCGCGCAGCCTCCTCGAGCCGCACTAGGCGGCGGGGGCGCGGGCGCTGCCCCGCCGGGAGGCGGCAACGGGGCCGTCACAAACTCCTCGCACAGCCGGAGCACGGCAGGGGCCCAACGGTCGCGGCCCCAGCCCAACGGCTGCCCCCGCCAACAGCCGCCGCACGGGGTGGGCTTCCTACCTGGCTTCGCCGCTCCTGCTGTCGCTGTCGCCGCGGGAGTCCATGAGGACGAGTGCGGCCGGTGCTCCGCGCGCTGTGGGCACCGGGGGCGGGAGGCGCGGGCGGGCGCTGCTGTTCCCCGCGCGGGCGGCAGCCGCAGCCGCCTCGCATGGTGTAAAGCGGCGGCGGCGCCGGGGCTCGGCGCATGTTCGGGCAGGGCCGGGCGCTGCCGCGGGGCCGCCCTCGCAGGTGAGCGGCGGCGCCCGCCCGCGCGGCCCGCCCAGCGGCTGCGGGGAGCGCGGGCTGCCGCTGCCGCCCCCGGCGCGGCGGCTGCTCCCACAGCGCGGAGCGGGGTGAGGCGGTCCCGGGGCGCACAGCACCCACATCAGGGGCTGGGGGCAGCCCTTCAGCTTAAGGGAAGCCTGTGATGGTCTTAATCAGGTGCCAGGAACGGCTGGGGAATAACAGAGCTTGGGCTTTTACTGTGTGCTCCCAGCTGCAGTGAATTTCTTCATTTACCTTGTTCCCTAAAGCACAGGAACTGCAATGTATCTCCCACAGCTGCCTTCTTACCCAAGCATTTTTCACTTCCTGCAAAAATATTTTAAGACATGCAATAATTCTTACATTTTCCATAAAGAAACATACATCCATAAATAATAATTTCTTACATATTTTTCCTTAAAGATTTGGCAAAGGTAAGAAGCAAAACGCAGCGGTCAAACCGCATGTTCTAACTGGCATAACTGCAGTGAGCATGTTTCACTCGTAAGGTTTCACCTCACAAAGCTGATGCCTTCCAAAGACTTGGAAGAAAATTCAAGTGATGCTCATTGTACGTCAGTTATATTAAAATATAAATTATCCATTAGCAATACAATTAAAAGAAAAAAAAGTCTTTATCCAAACATTTAAACACTTATCTCACTCCACCTCTTTCCACTCGGGGCCTAGGCCTCTGCCCTAGCTGTAAATATATTTCAGCTTTCTGGCTCTTGCAGCTGCAGGTCTCCAGGCCAGAGCTGGCACAGAGGGGATGGAGGATAGCAGGGATGAGAGTCCTGCCCAGTCACACAACAGAGCTTCTCTTTGCCTGCAATGGGTTCCAGGCCTGGAGAAGACATTCCTGATACCAAGGACAAGCTGCTCTTAGGGCACCATGATCCGGAGCCTTGAGATCAAACCCTGGGAGACGGTACCCTAACTGGTCAAAACAACTCCCTTTTGGTTCCCTCATTCTCTCTGATGACTCCTGCCTCTACTCAATCCCTGCTCCCACCACTATACCCGCCTCTCTGCGCCCTCGATAGGCGACAAGTTTATTCACTCACAGTGCCAGTTGCGCTGAAGGTAACAGGAAGCTATGGACGCGCCTAGTGTAAATAGTCTTACTGCCACACACACATGGTATGATACAACACACGGTGTGATACAACACACAGATGGAAGCAACTACAGCCTGAAAGGAAGGGCAGCCATCCCGCAGCTGCCAGCGCTGCCCAGGGTGCAGGAGGTGGCAGCCATGTCACAGCAGGCAGAGCCACAAGATGGCTGCCCTCCACCCCCTGCCCCCCACCTCCTCCAACGGCTGCAGCAACTGCTGAGGGGAGAGACCCGCTCCCCACCCGGGGCACCCGAGGACATGGTGGAAATGGGCAGCGAGTTTAGAACTAAAAACCAGACCATTGTGAAGTTTGGACCCAGACCCCAAGTTTTCTCTGGCTCTAACACTTTTTGGATACAGCAGTTTAGGAAAGTTGTTTGTTTTTTTTTTTTTCCAGAGATTTGTTAAGAGTAGCTGATGTTGACAAACAAAATTCCCTATTTTTTTTCCACAGGAGCCTAAAGCCACAGTGTTTATTTGATGATTTGGATCCTCTAGTCACATTTCCACCCTGCTTTCCTAAGGAGAAAAGAAAAGCCACCCGATTGCTTTCTGCCAGACTGTCCCAGCAATTTTAATGGGAGTAAAAATCCCCTAAGCAATCAAGATCCTCTGTTTCAATGGAAAAACCCAAAAAGGGAAATCTGCAGGTGAGCTGAGAGGTCATTAGATGCCAGAGAAGCTGCACCATAGACACTTTACAAGTATCCTAATTCAGGATTAGCCCAGAGCAATCAGGAAATTACCAGACATAAACTGATAAGAAAATGTGCGTAGTTAGTGGAGAGAGTCATTAAAACAGAGCACCAAACTTGTTTTTTTACATTACTGATTCCATTTGTGCTGGAATTACAGTCATTAGTTAGTGCTGAGAAGTTACTGGGGCCAAATAAAATTTGTATTTACCTGGCTTTTAAATTAATCTGCAATCTGTATTAGTCTGCTCCACTGAAAGTGTTTGCATAGGTGGAGCCATTTACTCCAAAACGCAGTTGTCAATGAATTACGCAAAAGAGCAACACCCAACAGTGCACACTTATTTCAAATTTATCAGCTTCAGTTTGTGAACAAATTAATTTCAAGCACAGAGTCAAAACTGCTAAACCACCCAAAAATATAAACTCTGCACAATACTGAAAGCCAGCTGTTTTAACTTAATGTGACCATTGAATGCATAACTTATCAATAACTCATTTTCTGATATACAGGGATAACAATCCTGAGATTATTCAGCAAAACATGTGTTTGTGGAAGGAAATGAACAGAGGGAAAGAAGGCCAGGGTAGGTGCAGGAGAGGGAGCGGCAGGACAAACAGAAGGCCTGGCCTGGTGCACTGAAACAATGGCCACGTTAATGAGAACAGTGGGTGCATAGGGCTAAGTAAGGAAAAAAAAAATGCTAAAGAATTTATTAGCTGAACACCAACAATGCAGTTAATGGTGTGAAGAACGCAGGGCAAGCAGCAGCCCCACCTTCCTCCACCGCTGTCAGTGGAGCTGTTTTGACAAAGGAGCTAAGAAATGGGCAGAGAGAAAGTATTTGGTCAATTTGAGCATGATAGTGTAATCTGAACACAAAAGGAAAAAAGTCACGGTGGTTTTAGATAAATATTTTAAATAAGTGAGAGGTGTCGTAAGGAGGGGTGACAAGCTTTATAGGCATTTCTTTTTACAGATGTAACAATGATCCACATTTTTCTGCATAAAATACCTGTTACATACAGATTTCTTCATGATGAAACTCATGCATTTTAGCTGAATCTAAAATGAGAGCAGAAAACAGCTTTCGTGTCCTGAAGAGTATATTTCCATGCAATTCTGCACTTGAAAGCAAATTTTCAGTAACCGATTGCATTTAGTATTTAGAGCTTCTATTAATAACTACTTCAGCCTATACTATAAATTGCTTTTCAAAACCCTTAGCAATTTTATGTTGTTGGAACGAAGCTGGAAACACTAAAATAAGTCCAAGCTGTATCATTATCTTCTATAGCTAATACTAATGAAAAAAACATTAACTGCAGTTCAAATGAGTTATTCTCCTGAGCATATTATATAAATATAGAATAAAAACAGATTCTATAATTGTATATGATATAAAAGAATGAAGTCTAGGTAATTTTAGTTTTCATTACTCCACTTTCAGAAGAGCATTTGATAATGAGACAATAATGAGAATGACAAAAGCATCTGTTGTTTCAGGACTTACTGACCTACACTTGATGGTCTGTCATTTGACAAGTTGAAAGTCCTTGCTTGTTCTTTTCTGGGGTGCAACCGACACTGGCCAGAACTCACTGTCAAGCATCAGGAACACACCTTGCCACCACAAGGGAGGTGACACACAGGTTTCAATCATACCCAAGCCAGTAACTAAAGCTCCACTTCTTCAGTTACTAAAAGAATGTGTTTTGAACTTAACACAAGTTGGATCATCTATGGGGGGGAAGATTACCATCTATTCTCATTGGTAACTATTGACCATCAAAGTTTTGATTTGAGAGCCTTGTGCTTTGTATTTTATAGCACATAGTGAGTGGGCTTCAATCTTAGGATAACAAATGGATGCATCTGAAGGCCAACCATCCTATTCACTCTAATCAACAAAGGAATTAAATTCATGAATATTCACAGAGTGGAGAATGGGCTGAAAGTAGCACAATCAGAAGCAAAGCACACCCACATGGAAACTTGGCAGGGCAGACCTGAACAGGGGGAGGTGAAGGGTGGAGGAAAACAGGCAAGCAGAGGGAGTTTGGAATTGCCTCAAGAACATGCACAAAGCTGATAAAATTAAGATATATAATGCCTAATTCAACTGATGTGTCAATTAAATGATGATTGGCAAAAGGATTTGGGTCTATGTAGATGAACATAATAAAATTTAACACTCCTGGAACAAAAGGGTTTGAGACAGGTGCTTACAATCACCGAATTCCTAAACCTCTGATGGAGCAGTTTAAGGCCAGGCTCTTATCATAGTGACAAGCATATTTGAAAGAACCATCTCTCCACCGGATCAGACTGAAGATCAGTCAAGCCCTCCTTCTTTTGAGGGCAGCCACTAGGGGATGCTCATATTCATCTTCAGAGATGAATCCTAAGCATTTAAAGCACTTGGGTTCTGTAACCTTTGCACAGGCAAGGATACTTAGGCAAAAGCTGCCTAATTTTTCTCTGAGGATGTTACAACTCCTCATTACTCCCAGCTGTCACCAACTTCAAATGCACTTTAACTAAAAAGCTAAGCTCAAGCTTAAAGGAACTTATGTTTCTCTGAAAATAAACACACTTCCAGACTGCAATTGCAACAATTTACTTGTATATATATTTACATGATATTTTTAACTCACAGCACCATTTTGAAAAAAAAAAAAAAAGCAGGCAATTTATACTTATGTACTTAAACTTTATTTCTTCATAATTACAGGCTATTGTTAGAATTTTTAAACAAAAGGGAAGTCTATAAATAGAGGCTAACCCCACCTGAACAAGTTAAAAAAAAAGTTAAAACTTCATAAGTAATGCCATTTAGCTCACAGCAGTGGTTTATTGGTAGTCTGAGTAGAAGTATTATAGTCAGAGTCAGTAACATGAAATGTAACATCAAATGACTCAAAACTTTAAATTCCATAAAGGAAAGGAAAGAATATATATATATATATAATATATACATATAATATTGTGTTGGTCCACTGAGTATACATTTTTAACAAAAGATAAGAAACTATGTAATCCAGTTAAGCATACAATTTGCAAGATTAGTGTACACTCATTACAAAGATGTATAGATAAGTTATAATACTTGCAAAAGTTTTGTTACTTTTTAGAGCAGATGTTTAAATGCTCATTTCCCAGTGCAAAAGAAAATTGTCCAAGTCAAGTTACCCATTTTCCTGAAAAACTGAGAACTACTCTCAAGATTCTTGCAGCAGCAGCACTGGTAGGTAACTGGAAGAGATTAAATACATGAAAACAAGGCCCAGTACTTCCCTACTCCTCACCCCCCAAAGAGTTGGGTCTTGAAATTTTTCTGTTTCCTCAGCAGAAATTTTACAAGTCAAAAGTGCAAGAAAAAAAAATCCTAAAGGTTTATGCTGCTGCCATACAAATGTTCTTAAATAGGGCAAAAGATGATCCTTTTTGGAGCTGCTCTTGTGAAACTGATTCTCCAGATTGGAGTTCTCGTAAAATGAATAATAAGTTACTTTCATTAAGTTATTTTCATTAACATTCTATCAATCTTATTTTGACTCAGTGACCATAAAGAAATCATCATTCAGTTTTTAAGGTGCAACTATCAATTGGCATTCAATAAATTACACAAACAGAAAAAAAAAGTTGTAAAAAAAACTCTACATGTATTCTTTCTATTCTTAATCGTATTTCAGATTCAACTTACTATTTTGCCAGTTCAGCTGCATATTTCATAGGCAAAAGTGGCTCAAATAGCAGTGGGGCCTCATAATTTGACAGTCATCTTGCCAACAAGAAATGCACATAAATCTTCAATTTAGTTGCTTTATAAAACAGTATCTGACTGTCTTAAAACCTAAAACCATGCAAGAAAAGCAAGAAAAAGGTTTCAGTAAGATGCAGTCTTTCCCATTTAGATGCCATAAAAATTATTATTTCAAGTCCAACAGTAGAACCTTCATTAATGAGAAAAATATATATGCATACATATAAAATAAAGCACTCTACAACTCTGGCATTACTAAGATTTCCTTAGAAGTACAAAAGGTTTTAAATAACTAACTGCTTAATGAGAGAGTGTCAGCCATGGCAGAACAATTGCTTTATGCCACTTTTTGCTCAATTTGCAGCTCCTGACCAATTACAGTCAAACAACTATCTCACTACCTGCATTTCGAGCTGACTTACAGGTGGGAAATGTGCTTGATTTTTCTGAAAACATGAGAATTTAAATACTAAAATAAGCAGTTATTTAAACAATAAGCAGAAAATTGAATTCAGCAGAAACATTCACACATCTTTAAAAGATATTCGATAAGAATAAGCTATATAACATTCTTATTAGACAGTTCAAAAACCAAACAGGTGTTCTCAGTTAACATCTTGTAACTAAAAATCTGCCAAATAGACCTAAAAGGAAACAAAGCCATAAAAGAACAATCTAAATACAAAAACATGGCCATGGAGGTTTCATCTTCGGTACTGTGCTACTTTCACCAGCATTCTTTCTGAAGGAACTTGATTGGGACAATGTTTTCTCATCTTTGAATTTCAGGATTTGTGGTAACAAATGCTCACGAAAATCTTTTCATGCATGATTAGAATGACAATCAGTGATCCTAAAGATGATCTGCAGACACTCTTTCTGTTAAACAGATACTTTGGTGTGCTTGGTTTGCAGCATAAAAATAGCACAGGCAAGAAGATCAAAAGTATACATACTAGAGCAGTATGATACTAGTTGTTTGATAAAGTTAATGAAATTTAAGGAAATTACAAGTCAGCATGGGAAAAAAGTGTTCAACCACTTTCAGAAGTTTAAAACCTTTCATATTTTCTTGCATCCTGTATATATGTTACTTCTGATTAACATTTAAATAGGTTAAGTATTCAGGAAAAGAGACAAAACAGCTGATATAAGACGCAATCTTATTCTAGACTTCATGCTTCTGATATTTCAGATTTACTGAGTGCAATAGCCAGTTCCAAATCCTCTTGCTCTTGCTGCTTTAATCTTGCAAGTCTTTCTTTCTCTTCTCTCTCACTTTCCCTCTTAGCCCATTCAATCATGTCTTCCTCAGTAGAATACTGTAGTTTTAAAAGACAAAATCATCACATTAATAATAGTGACAACTAATCCTGTCCAAGTCCTTGGTTTGAGGGACAATAACAGTTCTTCAGAATACTGGACACACTGTCTTGGTTCAATTGGCCAATTAATCTCAAGGGGATATTAAATGATTTGCTTAGTTTAGTTATTGAGAATGGCACTTAAGCCGTATTTATTATTGTTCATTATGTTCCAAAATTCAGTATTAAGTTTCAAAAAAATTTACTGAAGTGTTAGTATTTAAACTATTTTGGGTTAAGGAACAGTTTATATAAGAAGAAAATGCAACTAAATCAGGAGAATATGTTGCAGAGCACCCCCATATCTGGCTCTGTGGCCCATCCTGATTAACCCTGCTGTCATTAGAGATGGTTTTTCCAAGTGACAGTGACCGCAAAAATTAGTTACAGAATGTGTCTGTTTAATTGAAAAACTGAAAAATGCTTCTGTCAAGAAGCAGCATAATAACAAGTAACTGTGCAAATAGAAACCTAGAAGTAACAGAGTAAACAGAAACAGAAAGAAGAGTTATTTTCCCTATGCATGCTTTTACACACACACGGACACACACAGAGTGAATTGAGTTGCTTTGATATAATGATTATAAGCAAGAGAGTTAGGAAGTCAAAATATATAAAGTTAGGGGAAATCTTATTTTTATTCAGCATGCAAACAAGTAAGTGAAGCCTATGTCTTCATGAATGTCCCAGTATGAAGTCTGAAATAGCCATCACTTCCAGCTAGTGTCTCCTTTGAGCAAACTTCATGGAATAAAAGTAGAGAAATTGGATTTCCCTATTCCTTCACTTCCCCATCCCATCCCAGCTCATTGACTATTCTCAGTAACTAAAGCTGGTGAAAAATACTTTTTCCCCCCTCACAAATGATACAAATATTTTTGCTTTCTCCTCTGCATTTCACATTCTCTTGAGAGCACCATACAGGCTTTCTTTGTACCTCTATCTAATTAAAAGGGATCAGTAAGAGCATTTCAGGAAGTGTCATGCAGCAACACACATCAACCAGTGCAAGTCAATGTTGAGAGCCTGGCAATCCTCAGTTCACTTCAATCAAGCACACAGTACTAAGACAAAAAAAATAAAAACATCTGAGCAAAACTACTGTAAATACAAACTGCATTTCCCAAAAATCAAGCTTGAAAGTGAAATGATGCCTTCCCAAATTCTTGCTTGCAAAAACACAAAAGAAAAAACATATAGGCATGCACAAACCTTCCGATTTGCTTGTATCGCTTGGACACCACGACTTCTATGAAATGGATTCTGGTTATAAAGAGACACTTGCTACCTTCTGTATCACACTCAAGTCTGGAACTTACTAGCCATTCAAAACTCAGTGAATATTTCATTTAAGTAAATGGTTATGAGGCTGTTTTTGAACATTTCAGTACATTGAAATTATGATCAAACAGTTCAGTGACAGCTAAATTAAAAATCACACCTTTCATTTTAATTGGATAATTAGCACTGTGTGCCATGGGTAAATGATTTATATCTGCCATATATTCCAATAAAATGGATAATCTCAAGAACATAAGATATTTAAAAAGTGACCTATTTTCTAGAAGCTAGGAGGCCTCCATAAATAATAATTAAAAAAAAATCAAAAAAGCAATGCAACTTAAACATTAACTGTAATATTTTGCAGTATTTAGTTTTAGGACAGCCTCAGCTGCAAACTAAATGTAAATATTATTTTAATTGGAAGTTGCATCTCTTTTGTACATGGGATATGTTTAAATATAGTAAATGAAAACCGATTACTTCAGTGTGAACAATTCAAAGCTGTCATTATACTGAAACAAACGTAAGAAATGTTTACTCACAGTACTGAAGTTTGCAAAATTGTTGGGGTCAGCCTCTTTACTGATGCTGGTGGGAGCAAATGGATCACAGAATAGATCTGCTTCTTGTTCTTTGGGAATGTCTGGGGTAGGGAAAGGCTGAAATGGATCGGTCGATTTAAAGGAATCTGAAGAGTCTATTTGATTGATAGGTCTTTTCCCTTAGATTAAAATAATTTAAAATGAATTTAAGATAGCAGGTAATAACATGCCAAAAATAGAAAACATGCTACTTGGAATATATCCTTTTCTGGTAAACCAGTGGAGTTGCACTGATTTCAGAGGAGGGGTTGCTAATTTAAGAAGGAAGGTTGTGTCCCTAGTTTCTTGAAGTACAGTCATATAAAAAGGAAGACACATATGTTCATATGCTGATATAACAGTATTTGGGAAGAGAATTTCTGGAAGCTGTGAGCACCTGTTCTATCAGCACAATGTTTTTTCTTATGCTTATTGATTATCCATGATAACCCCTCTGAGGTTTTTTTATTATTTATTTGGATCAAATTAGCAAAATTTGAGTCAGTGAAAAGAGGCATTTCCAGATTTCAAAACACCAACAAAAACCTCCTCTGACTGCTGATACCTGCAACTTCTCTAGTTTTTAAGGTATGAAATAAAAAAGAAAAGAAAGTGTGGTAACAAGCAATTGCAAGCTCAACTATTTTCTTAAACATTGCATAAATAGTTGCAGATAACACAGAATCAGATACAGGCCCCCACCTACCTTGTTCTTTTTTTTTTTTTTTTTTTTTTTCCTTCCAGCTTAACCAGTCAGCTTTCAACACCTTTAAGAACTCAATCCTTCCAAAAATAGTTGAGCTGAATTTCAACCCACCATTCTCTCTATATGTTATTAGTTAGAATAAAAAGGTTTAAATTCATTTTATTGAATTTGACCAGACAATTTTGTGTATTTTACAAATGGTTTGGTACTTAAAATGCTCACATTTCAATACTAGTTTCTGTTGTCATTTTAGATGAAACTTGGAGAACTGAATCGCTATCCGCTTATTATTTTGGATATAACTTTCCCAGGTTAGGGGAAGAAAAAAAAAATCTTCCATAGGGCTAAAGGGATTCTAATGCAGCAGTGATTAAGAGTCTTCTAGGAATACCCTCAGGGAACATATAATTTAGTTAGACACTTCCCAGATCATTTTCCCAGGACAGCCCTCCTGTACAAGCAATATGCTATTACTGACTAATAATGCATGCCTTCCACTTGCTTGAATAATGCAGGAAGAGCAGCTTCCAATGACATCCAGGGAAATTTATTTCTACAGGAGAAGGATTAATAACTGTAGTAATCTGAGATATTCAATCTGCAAAGGGCCCTTTCCTTCCTCCAGCCTGGAGGTGAGCGGTGCTCGTCGCTGTCTGGAAAGGCAGCGTGGATCAAAGGAGGCGAGTTACCCACTCTTCTGTGCACTTTCCAGTACACGGAGAACTCTTAGTAGGATTTCAGAGCATTTATTTGAAAAAGCATTTACTTGTTTTGAGCCAGACCAAAGGAGTCATTAAAAACAAACAGATCTAAATATCCTTTTTTAATTTCCCTTACAAAAACAATTTAACATTTTAGTTTTCAAAGTAGTCCACTAACTGTATATACAGTTACATAAAAAATTTATAACAAAAACAAATGCTTTCAACACTGCATCATATAAACAACCATTAAAATCCATGTGACATCCTTATATCCACAGTCATTATCGAGATAATCACAGTATCATTTTAAGATATGCAAATAAACAGACTATTTTTTTCTAATCACCTATCAGTAAAGATGCTGTCCTGCCACTAGAAGTTACATTTGAAAAGGAAATCTCTATATCAGCTCATTGCCACTTCCATACTATAAATTTAGAAATCCCGAATTGGTTTAGGACCTCTATTGAAAAATAAGAAACTTGCTAAGCAACCAACTTACCCCTTCCCATGTTAGCCATTCTAATGTTAGTTATCAAAGTACTAACTGATTGTTTGCAAGGCACAAATGAGAGCCAAATTTCCACGAGTCAGTATTTGATATTAAGTAGCTGTGTTTAAACCTTCATCTATTATGGTCCCTCATTTTTGGTGAAAATATGAATAGATGAGATAATCTTAAATTATTATGCTGCTTTAAAAAAACCCTCAAAATTCTTTCATGTAATATTATAATAGAAACTGATGCAGTAGAGTTTCTAAGAAATTGAAATGAAGGACAGAAACTTAAAAAGGAGTATTAGTAATACATTTTCAAATCTACTAATAAATGTTTGAAAATTAAGAGGCTGTTGTAACTACTCAGGTTTGTTGCAACCCCTAAATATGTGCATGTTTGATATCATGGCCTTTTCTGGAAAGCAGTACTTCATGTCGGGGAGCAGACCAGAGGATTCAGCTGCTATTCAAACAAAAACAGAGTAGAAGGAATGGGGGCTTCATAACTATTATAACTATTAAGGTTTACTACTATAGACCTCTGGCAAGGCCACCTGGAAAAAATTATCTGAAAACTCTGAGACAGGCATCTTAACCGAGTTTAATTCGTTTTTCTCCAGGCATGTGAAAACCTAAACAGTTCTAATACATCCTCAGAGATAGAGGGAACATTAAGGAATGGAGGCTTTGCAAAGAATAAAACACACGGAATTCTCACTTTAAGCATAATTTACTGTAAGAAGGACAATGTACCACATTAGTAGCCATTTCAGTTTGCAGCCATGTTATGTTCATAATTACTCATAATTACTGTCCAGTTGCCAATATTAAAGTGAAGATAATTCTTAATGTCCTCTCAGGATCAGTTCTTACCAGGTGGTGGTGGACACGGCCTTGTGGGAGTTCCTGTTTTAGGTGGCAGTGCAGGAGGAACATCCTCATTTTTGTCTGGTGATTCCTCAAATACGTTTTTAGTTACGATCACATTGTTGACAGAACCTGATGCAGAAGAACTAAAGGGATCTTCGTTGTTGGCCTTCAACATAGAAAACAGAAGTATAAAAAAAGCAGTAAAAAGCTGAGTACAGTGATGCAAACAAGCGATACTTTTTATGCTTTTTCCATGAGTGGCAGTAGTTTCAGATTACCTTGGACAACATGCTGAAGTCAGCAAAGCTGCTTCCAAATGATTCATTTCCAAACAGAGATGCAAAGGGGTCTGTAGCTAAATGGAAGCAAATAAAGTAAATGGAATTTTATTAAAAAAGTTAAATGGCACTGAACAGCACACAAACAGGAATAATAACCAAGTTCTGACAAGTGTCCACTAGTTTTGAATAAAATACCTTACTTCATATCATTAGCTCAAAACCTGAAGTCCAAAAGCAGCCTTTCATTCGTATGTGCCAAATGTATAAAAACTGCTATTCTACTATAAAGCAAGTAACAGTCTCTGTATCTGCTCACCTAAAGTGTCTCTAAAAAACAATGTTTAGTGCAGTTAAATTGAGTAGGCTTACAGTCTGAAATCACACCAAGGTTAGGATCATGTTACTTTGGGAATTCTTAAGAATTTAAAGTGCTAGATTCCTCTCCAAAATATCTTTAACCATTAGTTGTTAGAGGATTATAGCAAAGCAAAGCAGCAAAACTTCTAATACCTAAAAAGCCATGATCTGGTACTTATTATATCCTAGCTTTGTATTATCTGACAGGAGACCTATCTGCTATGTTAAAGTAATGTGAAAGCCCTAAAATCAGCCCTAAAGGAAGCAGTAAATCTCATTCAAATTATCCAGTTGCTTAGGTCAGGATATTTTACTGGTCTCACATAAAGCAAGAAATATTTTTACAGAATCTGTCATCAGTGATAAACACTATAGGAAATGAAGCAATTTTGGTTTGTAATACCAAAAAACACTCCCTATCAATTTACGTCCTTTCATTTTCTAAATTTTCCTATCAAGCACAATGTAATCCCTAAAATGCTCCTGAGTTCACAGTCAGAAGCCTAATGACATAAAAATAATCAAAAGTAAATAAAAATAAAACCGAAGGTATTTGGTGTATATAGTCTACCATTACCTAGATCGTTTGATGTCGTAACAGTCGTTCCACCAGGAGCAAAAGGGTCATTTTTCTTCAGTGATTCTGTCTAAAACAAAACAAAAAAAATCTTTTAGAGGAAAATGTTTTTCATTTGGTTTTGTTTGTTTTTTTCCCCATATTTAAAGATTCCTCATTCTAAGAATACAATCACAATTTATTTCAATATAAGAGTTTTTAAAACCAAATACTAATTTTCTGCTGCTAGGTTTAGTACAAGAAGCTAAAAGGTCGAGTTAAGTATGCCATGTTCTTCATTGCATACATGAAGAAAATCAGACATTTTAATGGTAAAAGATCATGCATTTTTCCCCCCAACAAACACCAAATACAATCAAGAATCCATGATTCACATTCGTGTACAACAGGCAGATACACAAGGTTTCTTCTCAGAGAGGATATGAATTGTGATATACAGTCCCCATCTCCAGACTCTGATGAATATGATTCATAAATCTTTAGATTATAACTGCACAAGAACAGAAGACATTTTACAATGGTAAAAATCAGCTCATCTCCCACCTAAGCTCTATAAAGAGAGAGCCCTGTTTTCCTGTCAGGATCAAGAGACTCATTTCAATACAATGTATTCCTGGAGAGAGTTTTCTTTGCATGACCTCAAGACATAATATTCTTACAGTTAAATAGCTTACAAATAGATCAAGTACATGACACTCCTCCTGGCTTACTTAGCTTAGAAGTGCTACTTAGAAGTAGATTTCTAAAATACATAATATGAAATCTCAGAATCTTATGCATCATTTTTAATATCAATTACACCTCTGAGCAAGCTTAATGCTCTCATGATCATTCCAAGTATCTTCCAACTACTCCTTTTAAAAAACAAAACGAAAAAATGACACAAGTTCAGGGATACCTGCCATTTTTCTTTATACTAAAATAGCAGTTTTGGAAATAGCTTTTATCAGTGTAAATTAGTCTGCTAGCAGAAACTCTTCTGCAGAACCATGATTTCAAACGGATGGAAAAAGAGGTAATTACTACTACAAGATATAGAAATATCTAATACCCTTGTATTTCTACAATCAGACCAGCTTTATAAAAATCCAAATACAAGCTATCAGTACATAAAGGTACAGCAAGACACTCAGGATGAAGCATAGCTCAGTCCCGTCCAGAAATGCAGACCTCAGCAACCCTAACTCCTGCAGACCACATAACCCACACCACAGGCCCACTCATGTTCTCTTCTGTACTTCCCTTAGCAGACCTTGATGTTATCAAGAATTGTTTGCAACAGAAAATGTAATTTGGAAAGGGATAGTCTGCTGAATTAATAATGAAGAGTGTAGAAAACTCCTTTTTAAGGCTGTAGAACATGAGCTAGAGATTTGACTAACATGTACATCACAGAGAAGACAACACTAGAGAAAACATTAGGCAAAATGAGTTTGTGTGGGTTTTTGTCAGGTACATTCTCTACAGCCCCCTAACTTGCCTCCTAACCATCCATGTGCATTTAACACACACACAGACACACACACACAGCAGTTGAAAGGAGATGGCAACAGGATGAAATCAACCCTTTGGTATGAAGAATTTTAGCTTCTTAATATAAGTGCTTATCTACCAGCCCAGAACATTACTTTGTCTTCATCAGATTCTACCCTACTTCTAAGACAGTTTCTTATCCAGCTCTATCTTATTATACATTGAAGACTGATGGATAGATGTTCAGTTATAGCATGAGCAGCTTGAAGTTACACTTAAGCACAGCTGGAAGAGAGATTCAAAGTGCATCTACTCAGGAAGCATCCAGGAATGATAATTAGGCTTCAGTGACTCATGGAGCAGGTAAATGGCCAAGAAGGCCAATGGCATCCTGGCCTGCATCAGGAGGAGTGTTGCCAGCAGGTCAAGGGAGGTGATTCTGCCCCTCTACTCAGCTCTGGTGAGGCCGCACCTGGAGTACTGTGTTCAGTTCTGGGCACCCCAGTATAGGAAGGACGTGGAGCTTCTGGAGAGGGTCCAGAGAAGGGCAACCAGGATGATTAAGGGAATGGAACATCTCTCGTATGAAGAGAGGCTGAGTGAGCTGGGCCTTTTTTCTCTGGAGAAGAGACGGCTCAGAGGGGATATGATTAATATGTATAAGTTCAGGAAGGGAGAATGCAGGGAGGAAGGGGACAGGCTGTTCTCACTGGTGGCCAGCGATAGGACGAGGGGTAATGGCCACAAACTGAAGCATAAGAAGTTCCGTCTCCAGGTGAGGAGCAACTTCTTTACTGTTAGGGTGACAGAGCAGTGGAACAGGCTGCCCAGGGGGGTTGTGGAGTCTCCTACTCTGGAGGTCTTCAAAACCCGCCTGGATGCCACCCTGTGCCACATGCTGTAGGTGTGCCTGCTTGAGCAGGAAGGTTGGACTAGATGATCTGTAGAGGTCCCTTCCAACCTTAAATATTCTGAAATATTCTGAAATATTCTGAAATATTCTGAAATATTCTGAAATATTCTGAAATAAATCCCAAATATCTAAAATAATCCGACTTTTCAGATGGTGACATCCCCATACGATTTCAAAAAAAAATAGATACACCAATAGATTCAACAAGTTTTAAAGGACAAATCAAATATCTTGACATAATCTGATGAAATTGTATCTTCAGTTTCATTCAATGATAAAAATTTTGCCAGCTACCAATAGTATCAGTTCACTATCTTAATCATTCTAATTTGAAGCACAGTGACGCTCCATACTGGAGCATTTTAAAGGGTTTTGCATATATTTCATATATTTCATATTTGTGACTATTTCTAAAAAGTAGGACATACAAGTAGACTTATGATTTGAGAATCATCTTTTCAAAGCATGACCAAATGCACAACACAGAAGAAATGAGAGGCGTGCTATCAAACTTACTGTGAGGCTGCTGTTGCTTGCAGCGCTAAATGGATCAGTGCCTGCAGCTACAAATGGATCAGTGGAGGATTGCTTGAAAAAACAGTCAGCTGCAAAAGGATCTGAGCCTTTGAAAGGATCACCTCCAAAAGGATCTAAAGAAGCAAACATCTCATTAATATTTCTGCTAGCTTTATTCAGCTTAACATCTTAAAAATAAAGCATTTTATATTGCTTATTTCATATTGCAGAAAAGTGACAGCTAGGACCAAGCATCTTTCAAGAATGAGATTCACCTTTAAGTAACTTACATTCAGTGATTTAAAACACTGGACAAGCCATTTTCTGCACGTGATGCAAATTCTAGATAGTGATAATGTTTCAGCTCTGGAACTATTTAAGCACAGATTCTTTATCTACCCCTCCCTTAAAAATACTCTATTTTACAGAAGCTAACATTTTTCTCAGAACTCTCCTACAGTCCTCTCCTTAATTCCCCAAATACAGCTAATGTTTTCTTATTTGGCACTTGGTACACAATGTTATTTTGCTCCAGCCTTATTATAATCCATTTTACTTTTGCCAGCTGGAAGGTCATCCAGGAACAAGAAAGCAATGTAGTAATACTGCCCACACAGCCAACTAAATTGAGAATATTCACTTTTAAAAAATGCTCAGCACTAGAGAAAGTTGCTAAATTGAAAAGTTCAAGGATGGAGTGCTTCTCTATAGAGACTGAATATAAACAGCTAACTGCTGCTACTGTTTATCCATCCTAATGCAACTTTGAGGTCATTTCCATCTTTGCCACACTGAAAATGGTGACTTGTCTTTCCCGTGTTCCTCTACTATGAATCATCTATAAAACCAGACATATTAATCATTAAAAAGTTCCTTACCAATTTTCCCAAAAGGGTCATCTTTGAAGGGATCACCTGTTTATTAAAGAAAAAAAAGCTTTTTTTAAAAAACATAAAACATCTATGGAGGTGAAGTCTCATGGGATACAAACTTATTTCTGCAAGTAGAATCAGCAACTCCCATTCAGGAGAGCTTTACTAATTTCAGCAGAACCACATATAAGCACCTACCCCTGAGGATATATGGCACATAAACCCCAAAGACTGACTAGTAACAGGCATACCTTTCACTTCTGAAAAAAGCTGTGTTATTGGCTGTACGTAGGTCAACATCAATATAAATACAAAATCAAACAAAATCTGCACGGAAGCATTCAAGATAAAAGTGTTTTAAATTATAGTTTAATTAATTTAGTATTAAACTTGAATGCTGACATACATTCAGAAGCCAAGTCATCCTAAGTAAATTTAGCCTATTTTCTTTCTGAAGCAATCTGAGCTAAACTGATTAGACCATCTTAATTCTGAAAGTATGTCAAGGCACATTAATGTGGCTTAAAACAGCTGCTCTAGCAATTAAAGCAAATTAACTCCTCTTCTCCCACACTCCAAGTGTCTCCATGCAGATCACTCTGACAAAATCAGTGCAAGAGCATTTGTGTTGAGTTCCTAAAATACAGCACTTGCACTAGATGAACAGATGGTGCAGTTCTACATACCTTTTTCTGAGTGCCAAACTCGCCGTAAATAGGCCACAGCCATTCATTCTCAGCCACCCACACCCTCCCCACAGCACAGCTCACTGAACCTCTAGTTGAGCTGTTTGTGATCTCTGCTGTAAATTAGATGAGTGACATGAAAGGCATCACAAGTCTGCCTGCACCTTTGATATCAAATGCAGCCTCAGAGGCGGGATGGGGGAATACTAAGGAAGTGCAGTGGGAGAAAACTGCAGTGCGGGAAAGTGCAGAGCTAACAGCTAATAAGGAAGTGCAGATAGAAGAAGGAAAGAAAAAAAATCCTGGGACACTCATTGCTGGTTTTGTGAGGCTGTTGGCTCCACACTCTTGTCACTCAAACACCTTCACATTTACTCTAAAAGGACCAGTTCCAAGTCGTAAATTAGTCTGACATACATATGTTCAGACAAAACATCTTTCTGCAAATCCACACTTAGAAAAGTTTACTTACTGCCAACAAAAGGGTCAGACTGGAAGAAGTCTAAGCTGGCTTCAGAAACTAGGTCAGGTAATGGATGAGATTCAGCATCGAATGGATCTTCCTGGGTCATGTAAAAGTAGGAAGAGACAAGTATGAAACTGTTAATATGCAAAGGAGGGAAATGCATCTCATGTCTTTCTTTTTACCTTTAGGAAACTTAAGTGTCAAATAATCAGAATTCTACATAATTCATCATTGGGCATCCAAAAATATTTCTAAACAGTCTGCTATATGAGAAAATAAATTTGCTATATGACAAAAACATCATATTCCAAATACAATGAGTAAGAAAATTATTATTTGATTTCTATGCTAGTTTATAACCATCATGTAAGTAACTGACAAGAGGTAAACCTGAACAGTTTAACAATTACTTAGTTTAAGGTTTGCCTCCATCAAATCTGAACAAACTCACTTGTTTTGTAACAGTTGCAGCTGGGGTTTCTTTTTTTTCTTCCACAATAGCTTCTGTTGTTTCAGGACTATTTCTTATCTGCATAAGGAAAAAAAAAAAAAAAAAAAAAAAAAAAAAAGGAATTCTGCTTATATTTAAAAACAAAAAACAAAAGAGTTACCTGCTATGTATACCATTCTTCATATCAAAGAGTTAAAAATACTACTAAAGCTATTCTACTTCAAGAGAATCATAATTATTAGAGAATATACTCAAAATATTCCATGAACTCTGTGAAAGTTATAAACACACACACACACAAGAATCTACTTGGACACAGGAGGGGCATCTAATAGGCAGGACAGATTTTCCATATTATTCCTCATTATGTTCTTATTGTGTCAACTGGAGATGCCTGCTCTCCTTAACATCAATTATACTATCAATTTCTTTCTTTATTAAGTATTTGTTTCAAAGCAAAAGGTCCTGTTACCACTTTCCATCCAAGTGAAATGTCTCCTTTCCTGACAATCAACTTTCAGATCAATTCAATATACTTCCTAGGGTAACACCACTTGCGCAAGTGTTTCAAACAAAAAAATCAGTCTTGACCCACTTTTACCATATTCCAACTTTACAGCTGCATCACATCATGATCAAGCAGGCAAAACACTTTACTCACTGGAGCCGCATTGCTTATTTGTTCATCTTCTGCTAAACTTTCCCTTTCAGCATTATCATTAAGGTTAGCAGTTTCACTGCTGCTGTTGCTAAGACTAGAGTGATCTGCAGTTCCATTAACAAGAATATTGTTTGGCTGGGAGTGCCAACTGAATTGGTTCTTTTCCAACTCTTTCAGCTCAAGAAGTTTTGCCTGCACCTGTAAACAGAAATAAACATATTCTTATTAGAATGGCAGCGCATAGAAACTAATACATGACCAATACTAAGGGAAAGGTAGAGATATGAAATAATTATTTTTCAAACAGAAAAACTGTGTTCTTTCAAATCAAAGGATAAATCTCAGATGAGCACAAATTTGACTTAAGAGAGACCTCAGATTATCCAGGAGCTAATCCTGTCTAAAGCACGAAGGCCCCTATTGCTAAGCCTCTTTTGAGCCAAGAAAAATGAAACCAAGAGTAACAATATAACCGCCCCAAAAAATTGGTACAGATAAACATGACCAATCACCTATAATGCCTACCTTAAATCTGTTTATCTCAAGCACCTCTTGCTAATATGGAGAAATATAGAAACACTGCAACTTACCTCCAATGAAAAGATGGACAACATATATAGTAATATACTATACATCTTTTCAACAGGAAAAAATAGTGTCTCATGAACACACCAACAAAAGAAATGGCAGAGCATGAGCCAGCTACAGCTGGAGAAACAAAGCTTAAATAACTATTGCATATAGTGAATTTAAACTATCCATTTCTTAATTGTTAAGTTAACACAAATTAAGTATAATGAACGAATCCCTTTTGTAATCAAAACTTGGAGAGATATTACAAAGTATTACCCTGTGACTTCAGTCAGCCTCTAAAAATCTAAATAACAGTCAGCACAAAAAAAATTTCTGAAAGCAACTGTAAGACATTAGCAAACAACAGTAAAGGTAACACTTTTCCGTAAAAAGAAACATCCCTTCAACCCAAAAGATTGTCAACTAAAATGTTTTTTCATATTGCCTTACTAAATTGATTTCCTGTTGTGAATCTTGCAGATGTTGCTGAAGAGGTCCCAGCTGTGCTTTCCCAGACTCTATGCAGTGCTCAAGCTCTGCAGTTTCTTGCTGCAGGCGACTCAGCTCCTCTTGAGCTTTGGTTAGTTCATCTTCATAGGCTGAAATTTTTGATTCTTGACTTGTAATTTCACCCTTCAGCACAGCAATCTGAAGCATAAGCAAGTATTTCAAAATCAAATTTCAAAAAAATACACACCTAAACTATTATTTATGACCATAATAGGGAAAAAAAAAAAAGCTGACCAAAAACATGACCATTATAATCATACCTGACCAAAAGGCTAATTCCCTATAGGCATCTAGGTGTCAATGAGATCATGGTCTTCCTTTCCCTGCTCCACTCCCATCAACATGGATATCTCTAATATTGGAATTTTTTTTTTTTTTATACCACAAAGAAATACTGTAGATATATATGAGAGGAAAAAAATCTGTATGATGCTAAGATGATTTTTGGGGGGAAAACAGGTAAGAAAAAAAAAAAGTCCCACAAGTGCTTCAAATTATATCTATAGTTTGCACACAACCTTATGGTTCTCACTATATTATTGGCACATCAATACTAAATTAGGAAGTCACTTAGGTGAGGGACATTCCCTACTGGTCACAAAATGCAGAAAATCATGATGTATTATTTAAAATGTTTTGTCTTTCCTCAGCAGTAAGACATTGCAAGATTACTTTCTTCAAAATGAGACATTTGCTTTGCCATGGGTCTGAGCCACTAGGTCTTACCAAATGGGCCTCCTCTGCACACTTCTGCCTTATATCATTAAGTTGCTCTTCCAGCTTAGCCTTCTGCTCATCAAGATCATTAAGGATTTCCTGGGCTTCCTGTTTCTGAGCTTGCAGCTTTTGCAAATTACTGCTCTCCCGTTTCACTTCATCTTGTAGATCCTACAATAAAACAGATTTGCTTCAGGTTGGTGTTTTCCCCCCTCCCTCTTTAGACCACTAAATTCTGTAGTAATTCTTTACTACAAATTACAATACCAGTCCCTCAGATTTCAATTGAATAAGAATGCATCTTTCAAAGACTTAAGATTTATAAACACATCAGAAAAGCAGTAAAACTGTTGAGGTATGCTAGAGAAAAAAAGGGAAAAGAATTCAGGAAATGCACAAGATAGTCGAGAGAAAGAGAAATCCAGGGAAATAAACAAACTGATACAAAAGAAGAATTATTAGACACATAGAGAAGGTTGCAATCTTTCAGGAAAATACGTTAAATGAAGGAAGAATCATGAGAGAGGAAAAAGAAAGATAAGAAATCAAAGAGGCTTTTTAAATTAGATACAAACATTATTCTGTTGTTCTAAGCAAGAGATTCCTTGCCCTTTTAAATTATTTGTTTCAGATTATCTATCCATGTATTTTGATACACCTATAAACAATCAGGACAAAAAAGCCAAATGCTGTCAAATCTGGCACAAGGCAAACAGGCCACATTGCAGCAGTCAGGCACTAGGAACATGGCAAAGCTCAAGACAACTGACAACTGGGACAGAACATACAAAGAAGCATCTTTTTATACCTTCAAAGCAAAAGAAGATTTTTTTATGAATTAAAGAAAAGAATAAAAAATAAGTAAGACTCACTAAAGGAATAAGTAAAGTTATATGACTGATGTTGTACATTAGTCAGATTAAATGATTTGCTGATTATTTCTGATCTATGGAAAAATCAACACTGACCTCTAATAGCAGCCAGTGGCCTAGTTGATTAGCAGAATATCGTGATAAACTTATCTTTTAAATCGCTTTGAGAAGAAATAACCTCAACATAAGCATTGAGATAAAAAAAAACGAGCTTAAGGAGATTTTACAGTCTCCTTTTTTTCTAAAAGGAACAAGCATTTACATATACACAGGTTAAAAATAGACAATCCCACTCTTGCTACATCACCCTTGAATCCTAATGTGCGTCCTAGGCACAGCAGTAGGGTCACTCAATCTGACAGCTCCCAGAAAAGAAAATTCATGATCACATGGCTGTCCCAGAATTAACAACAGGTCAGAGTAGGTGTATTCCAGAGAACTAGAGATAATACTCCAATACATATGTTCATAAACTAAACAAGACTCCAATTAACCTTTGATTTCAAGTCATACCCTTGTCACAGGAAAAGGGCATCTTACCACTCAAGTATTGAGTGAGATCCCATAGTCACACAATGAACATAATTGAGATGGTATAAAAAGTGGCATTTTTCTGCTAATAGCAAACTTCATATTAGATTTATAATCATGATAACCCTCCATAGCTATATGGCATAGGACAAAGAAACCTCTAAAGATCTGTATTTCCACTAAAGGATAGACAACGGATTTAATAGTTTGTCAGACTGCTCCTAATGATATGATTCAAGTGCTAAGAACCTACATGTTGGCAGGAGCACAGACAGACTGACAGACTGTACCCATGTGTGTGAGGTGCTGGGTGGGCAATCAGAACTGCACGGATGTGGCCGGGTCCCTCTGCTTGAGGCAGTGTCTCACTGCTAATACATTGTACAGAGAAAACTGTTCTTTCTCTTGTAGAATTAATCCTCAGCTTATTGTTATTTGTGAAATTATAATTAGCGTTCATGAAAATAATTCTGGTATCATAAATCCTGGAGAAGGATGCCACTAAATTAGCCTCATAAAAGGTGGTGCTCATATCATGGATGGTCTGTATACAGTCTGTATACAGCCTTTAAAAATGCCACTACTAGAAAAAAAACTGAAGAAAATAAGTTGATGTGAAGATATTCTTAGCCTGTCCCTAACATTGTCTGAAGTTCTAGAAAGTTTCACCAAACAGGTCCTCCAACATTAAGGACTAACAAGGAGATAAGACATAAAAGGCTACAGCTCAAACACAAGCTGCAGCCATACCCTATTTAATGCTGATGGGCTGTTGTTTTTCATAACAGCCAGTAACAGACTGTCCCTTCTCTGAAGACTGACAGAACTTGACATTTAGCAAGGGACAAATAGCTTGTGTGATCACTAAGAGGTTAAGGGCGTGTGACAGTGGCTTCCACTGCTCTGGATACAATGGTTGCATTGAGTCCAGGATGCAGCTGACTATCAAACACTAGATGAAAAACATACACAGATCACACTAACGCTGCCATGTGTTAGGCCTTCTAAAACAGGAACTAGATCTGGGGCTTTTGATTTAGCTTTATGTATCTCTCGTGAAAAAGATGCCAGAGGACAACCCTCACACGAGCACACACAGAAATTGCAGAGCTCACTAAGAGAATTATCATCCAATACACAGTTATTATCATGCAGTATGCACACCCAATAAGAACACTAATAAGACTTTTTAATAGTGTGAAAAGGTAATCTGCATAGTGAGGGGGGGAACGATCACTGCGTGCACAGACAGAAATCAGGGCACAGACAACTTCTCTCTGCATTTCTTCAGCTGCTGTAGCTGGCTGCCATTGTGACTAAGAGGCCAGCAGCAGATAATCTGCTGAAAGGTCACACTATTAATTATCACCCAGGCTTGAAAGGTATTAAATATCCAAGCACAAAATTCACAACAGTGGTAATACGTAGGCTTCTTTTACCCCGAGACAAAGTAAAATGCAGCAATCTTGCATTATTTACTTTTAACTAAATAATTTATTTTCCACTGCTATTCTTAAAATAAATCTAGATCACACTGAAGTTTTTCTGTTTAATGCAGCAACGCCAGCTGCCTTCACAGCCTATGCTTTAACTGAAATACTGCTTTGCAGCATTTAATTCAGGGCTAGGCTCTTCGCATGCTGAACACCAACGTCTACTACATAGTTTTTAATTCATTTGAAATACTCATGAAATGAAGAGTTTTCTAATATTTATCAAAGTTCAATTCCATCTTTTTAATTAAAATAAATAAATATTTTTTAATTCTCCTACATCAGTCAAAATTAACTTGAGGCAAAAAACTGGCAATTATTGCAACTTAAGTAGTCCCATGTACAAGTCCATGCAATTCAATCACTTAAGAGTTTATTAATTTGCAATATTAGTGTCTTCATCTTCTTCAGTTTAAATTACATACTATATTTGCTTTGATTTAAAACTCCATAAAGCTATACATTCTAAGAGTTCATTATTTATATAAGCACCTCACCAAAACACATTCATATAAAAAATACATTCCAAAATACCCTTTTTCTTAGCCACCACTAAGTGATGCAATTCTAAAAGTCCATAATCTCATTGCCATTAAAACACCACATGATTCAGTGTCTGATACCTGAGCAGTCTTATTTACCTGAACCTCACTTGTCCTCTGTTTGATGGCATCTTCTTTCTCCTTCAGGTCTTGCTCTACATTATTCTTTTCCCTAGAAGACCAGCAAACAATGCAAGAATACTTCAGAACATCAGCTACAGCAGGTACAGTTATCCAGCTTCCTAAACCTGTATCTCTCTTTAAATACATAGTGAAACATTAAACACAGAAAAGAGGTAGGGGATTTCTGCTTCCCAAATTATTTACAAGTCAGAAGCCTACATAAGCGTTCTGCATTAAAAAAATAAAAAAATGTCTTTTCACCCAACTGCACTTCAGTGATAAGAATGGCTCAAAAATGGAAGGGGGCGGGAGGAGAAATCAATGAAATACCGTCTTCAGTGATCTCACTGTTGCTATGGAGCACTTGCCTAATGAAAACTGCTGGGAAAAAGGGGGAGGGATTGCATCAGATTCTGCCTATTAACCCCTGCAAACACAGCAATTCCTATGCTGTGAGCAGCTAGGAAACATTTCTCGGAGGCCAAGCTAGCTGATTAATTAACCTTGCTTATCAGGTTTTAGATATTTTTGCCGGTAAGCTCAGTCAGAAGAGACATTAGATTGCTGCAATCGGTATGTGCTTAGATACTCCATACATAGTTATTTGCTGCGTCATGTCGTCCGTCCCTATAGATGTTTGTTTGAGGCTAAAAGTGATTACTGCTGACAAGGAAATTATTACCAATAAATTCTTCACAGTCAAAAATAACGATAGCTTTAAGAAATGAAAAAGGAAAAGAATGGGAGGAAAAAATGTAGATACACAATTTAGGAAATGTTAATTTAAAAAATTGCTTCTCTCTAGACAGGACACACATTTCTCCTTTCACAGATGCAGAAGAGCACTAGGTTTTACAGTTGTAACCATAACTTTTGTATCAATTATTCTCAAAGTGCATGCTTACTTTTATTAAAAGTTTTCATTACTAAATTAATACACATATTACAAGTTAACATTTGTTTTATATGGTAAGCCTAACATATCCAAATAGTGAAAAGCTATTACTAAAATATCATTAAAATTAAAGTAACTTTGTATTTTAATAGCTAAAGCATGGTAATCAATACAAAATTAGTGGTATACGCTCTTATCTAAAAATAATTAAAAATAGTCCCTTTCTGTCCCCCAAAGGGCAGGCTCCAATACCCCCCTGCAGCTGGCTTACACGGGCCAAACAGTGGGCAAGCAACTAACTGGAAAGACTGAGCAAAGAACTATAGACAGACATAATAAGAAAACCCAAAGTACTGGTCCTGGACAAACGAAAATGAGTGGAATGTAAAGAGCCTGCAGACCTTTGTTTCAAAAAAAAGGAGAAAAAAAAAAAAAAAAAAAAAAAAAAGGGCAACACAGGCAACACAGAAGTCTACTCTATTCACAAACTCTTTTGAATGCTTCCATTTCTTCTACAAACTATCTGTTATAGTCCTATATAATGCTGTTCAATGCTCAATAACAGCAAATACCAAAAAAGAAAAAGCACAAATAATTGATTTATTGGTTAGGACAGACTTCCTGGCTTATTATTCCCCATACCAACACTCGAAGAAAAATAAAAATAAAAACAGAAGAAAACTTCTGGTCTTGCCAACAAAGGGCACTTCAAACCAACTTCAATCAATTTATGAAGACAAAACAATTTTCCTACATAATTTTAGAGGAATTAGGTCAGGAAAACCTCATAACAAATCAAGTAAAGGCAATTACTTTAAAGAAGCATAGATATTTTATGATTTACAAGCAAATAACCACAGTAAATCCAGAAATTTTATACTAATTTGTGAATGGAGTATAATCATTTGTGAATGGGAGTCATTACAAACGTTTGTGACAGCTGACAACTGAAGAGCCTTCAGTCCACTGATGCATTCAAGCCAAATAGGAGACAAGCCTGTCCAGACTTATTCGTTGCCAACACACAGAACCACATTAGCTACAAGAGCTAGAAAAAAAAATCATAGTCCTTTTCTATAATTAATGATGGACGACTAGAGACAGAGCTTGTAGCATCATCTTGCCACACATTCCTACTTTTCCATACTTCTATACGTGCAGAAATACATGCCGCAGTGCTTCAGCTTGGCAGTGTTGGAGGGAAAGGTTCAGGGTTTGCCTAGTTTCTCTTCCCCTTCTTTCTCTCGCCCTGTATTTTTGGGCTACAATTCTCAGTTATTTCCATGACAGAGGTTAGCAGAAAGCATCCACCACATATTAAAATTCTTATCACTGCATTGCTAAGAAGCCGTAGATCTCTGACCTTGAAAAAACACAACCTGATGTCAGTGTGTAGCAGGGAGAGATCCTGTTTTTCTGGAGACAATCTGCCATTTCCTTATTTTTGAGATCCTGACTTAGCAGCTTTACAGTCCTTTTAGATACTGGTTTGTATTTCATCACATAACTGCTGCTGTCCAGCACGTATGAAGGATGGCAGCTCTGGAGAGACTTATAAATCAAGCTCCACTACTTACATGCTCAGAGAGAAACGTGGCATTGTTAAAGTTGAAGAATTCCAACCATTAGTGGGTCAGAGCTAGCTTTGAATGCACAAAAGCAAAGCATGGTTGTTGGGGAACAAAAAGAGGTTTTATGGCCCAAACGGAATATTAAGAACATCTGGTCTAGCCTCCCACAGTACTGATCAAAAAAGCTTCACAGATAGACTTCTAAAAATACACTGTGACTGAAACTGAATTTAGAAGCCTTCTGAAGAAAGCGGCAGTGCTGACAGGCTTAAAACGATGTGGATTCCACAACATCCCTAGGCAAATCGCTGGGGAATTGTCCTCACTAGTAAGTGCTCTGCATTTTATTCATTTGATTCCCATGCTTCATCTTCCTGATAGTACTTTTTTTTATTGAATTAGTTTCAAAAAAAAAAAAAAAAAAAAAAAAAAAAAAAAAAAACACCCAACCTGTAAACTGTAAACATAAATGCATCATCTTTGATTTTTTTTGCTCAGTCTCTCAGAACTATGTTTTCCAGACACTGTCATTCTTTAGATTATCTTATTTGCTCCTCTGCTATTTCAGGTTGGTGGAATTTTTTTTTAAGCTGTACATCTCAAAAATGGCTCAAATATGCTACCACTAGACCTCATGAATGCAATTCTCATGGTGACGTTTCAGTGGAGTCATGGTATTATGACATACTCATTAAAAAAGCCAAACAAAATTTGATGAACAAAACAGGTTATTTCAATTACCTTTTTGTAAGCGAACTATTAAGACTGGAATTGGGAAATGCTGGAAGGAGGCATACAAAACCAGTCCTACTTAAAAACATGGATTGCCAAAAAAATTTTTTTTTAAATGCTGACATTCCTGTTAACCATCATGGTCACCTGTGCTTAGGAAATGCACAGAACAGTAATATTTACTACCAAAATAACACTTCCACATCTGCTAAAGAATTTCTAAGTCAAAAATTTTAATTCCTTCTCCTTTCCTTTTTTTTTTCCTTTTTTTTTCTTTACTAGAGCCACAGTTTATTTTATTGTATTGCCAGTCTGTCAGTCATTCTCAGTGCAACAGCACAAATCTCTTCTACCGTTTTACTTTGGTTTGAAATGAAGGCTTAAGCCTTGATTATTAAATGAGTCCTATTCCAGGGCTCTGAAGTATATCAAAGAAAGTTTCCCTCAGTTTAAAAATATAATATTTCCCCTACCTTACCTTCAAAGCATGCTGCAAATAATCTAGTATCGTCCAAGTGTGTCTTAAATAACCATCCAAATATATGGGCCAATAATGCAGTGGAAGCAATGACTATCCAAATGTCATGGTTCACTTGTACCACACAGTGGAAAGAAAAATAAAATAAAACCCACCAAAATATAACAGACTAGCTTGCATGTTATGTTGCAAGCACACCTCGTAAAAAGGTTTCATCTAAAAATTCATATTAGAGGAAAATAGATAATTTGCTAAGATACAGAGATCAAATTAATTCATCCCAGTAAATTAAATTTCAACTTAATATATGAGTCCAGAACTAGCACTGAAAGAATCTAAACAGGAACACAGGAAACCATACAAGGGTGAAGTGAGGAGAAAGTGGGAGTAATAACAGAGAACAAGCAGTCACTGAAGTTAAAAACATCTATGTATTTAGGAAACAGACTGTGCTTTGACACCTTGCCAAATTAAATCATTCCTACAAGTGACATGATTAAGACAGGCAAATTTCATCATGGTGAAGCATCCTCAGTGTAAGATTCTAGAATTAACTAGAATGTTAATGTTCTCAGTAGAAAAAAATCTACAGTGGATTTGTGATTAAAATCAGAAAAATACACCTGCAAGGACTGTGCAACATTAAGATGACGACTAAGAAAATAAAGTTCAAAAATTACCTTAAAAATTAATACTGGGATGTTTCAAATTAAAAAGCATTCCTCCTAGTATAATAATTTATTTAGCCAAGTAGAACAGGAGCATGATGATCATCTTTACCCTTACAAAAATCCTTGCAGAGGCCCATATGCAAACTGTCATCTTCCCACTCTCTGCCCGGCATATTTCTAGGTTTTCTCTGTCTCACCTCCCTGCCTCCACTGGAAAAAAAATGTCTTTAGGAGTCCAGAAAAAAAAGGTCACTAGCACCAATTTTTATCATGGGTCCAATACATTGAAGATCAGCTCTGTTCCTGTCTGTCAGAGATGAAAAAGGGAGCGGTTTCAATCTTGTGATGCTGGAATATGCAGCAATCACATGCCCAGAAGGCATAACAGGGAGCTTTCACAGTCGTGCTGCTATTACACGAACTCCTTCAGTGAGCAAAGAGCAGAAGGGTTAAACAGTGCAACACCAGGGCCATTCTACAGACATAGCTACCAGTGGCACTAGCAAAGCAGACTGTATTACATTCAGGGTTTCCCTTATGTGCTGAACTGTTCTTAGGAAAAACATCAAGAAACAACTGAATTTAAGAACTAAAATTATTCCTCCTTTACCTACCTCTGCAGGTCTACTATTTCATTGTTTAATGTATCAAGTTCCTTAATTGCAGAAAAGTCTGCTACAGAACTCAGTCCTTGAGTGCTCTGAAAAATACAAAAATAAATACTATTAGTTTAAAATTTATGCTATCTGACTGCTATCCTCACTTTATAACAGGACAGCCTATGCCACCACAGAAAGCAATAATTGCTTGCTACATTAGACTCTTGAACTTTTAAAAGCAGTTAATCTAGCAGATGCCAGATTAACAAAACACATCACATACCCAATGCATCCAGCACCTCAAACTGAGCTTACATCTCCTGTAAACACTTGATGACATTTTCACAAAAAAACAAGACCACCTGGTCATACCAAAGCATAATAAAACTAGTTTTACAATATGAATTTGTGGGGTTTTTTTGGGTTGTTTGTTTTTTGGTTATGTTAGCTGGCTTCCTTGCACTCATTTAAAAGTGGAAAAAACCTCTTCACTCTGGCGGTTCTCATGTTGCAGACAACTGACATTTGATTTGTGATGCTTGAGCCATATCAAGCTAGGTCAACAAGAACCAACAGAGTACTGACTGAAACCTTGATGACACAGACATAGATAAGGCATAAATAAGACTGACCCTGGAGTTCCTATTTCCTTACTTTATTGTAATAAGGATATATAAAGATAAATTATTTAAAAAAACAGAAATGATGCATAATAAACACCGAAGACACAAATTGAAAAAGACAATTTTTTCGAGTGTGCCTTATCCCAACTTGAACATATTTAGGAAGCCATACTCACTGCTATAAATAGATCATTTCCTTCAAGTCTTGAATAAAATTATCCAGATACTTGTACATATATGTATTATTAGTTTTTAAAAGCACATGAATTCTCAAAAGTATCACAAATATAAAGGAAGAAAAGAATCTTTAAATTCAGAGGTTTATTTGGAAACAAGCCAAGATATCACTTACTATGTTTTTATTCAAACTTATGCTTAGAAGAGGGGAAAAAAAATAAAGGAAAAGACCTAAAACAGTAAATCTAAGCACACTGTGGCAGGGAGTATTATTCAACAGTAGATTGTACTGCTATATTTTACTAAAGGGTATGAACTGAGAGCTAAAAACATACAGTCATTTTGTCATTCTTAAACTGGTTAATGTACAAATTGGCAAAACAGTACAAACTCTTTGAGTTTTCATCTATCAACTATTAAAAAATCTGTACATTAAATTAGCATAAAACCAAAAAAACATAATTCTGTTTCATTTTCAATTTTTTGGGGATAACTGGAGCAGTGAAAGCAGAAAAGCAGTATTTTTAGCTTCAATGTATAAGGCAATAAATTAAAAAGTTTGTTAAATGTCAGTGAATATTTCTAACTGCAACACATGCAAAAAATGCTTCAGAGTTCTGACTCAAAAGAGCAGGACTCCATCACAATAGAAAGCAGAAGAAAGACAAGTTATCACTCAGATGTGAGAATTCCTTTAGAACTTACATGCAAGCTCCTTTAAGCCTTAAAGCCGGCAACACAAATGCGAATTTGACAACTACAAACAGGACTGATCTGGTAAAGAAACAGCAACAAATACTGGACTGCTGCTATTTCTTGTTTGGGAGATTTGTACTCGAGACAAATATACTAGTTCAACCCTAATACAAGTAGTTCAACACTGTACAACACTAGTATTGTATCGAAACTCTGTAAAGAAACCATATATTAGATGATAGCAATATACATGGATAAACGTTCTGAACATCTACCAAGAAAAAAAATGCTAAATAACTTCCACTGCCCTAAACCAGAATCTATTATGTTTATAGTTACTGGTATTTCTGCTACTATGTTTATATCTCTCACGTCAGAAGAGGAAGCTTAATAGTTTTTACTCTTTAAGATACACCACTTAGAAAGAAGTTCTCTCTCTCTTTGATTCAATCCTTGAGCAATAATCTTGGGCAAGGAAGTTCTTTTATACTGAACGACAAGACAGTATCTCTTCTGAAAATGTTCAAAATGAGCCGCACCTTCGCTCAGTTTAGTAAAATGAATTCATGGTAAGGATTTCCAGAGCTAACTAAAAGACATCTCTTACCTTCTTTCAAAATACTCTTACTTTTATCTTGTATGTTAGTAAAGCAAAATCACTGCAAAATTCAACTGATGTCTTTAAGAGTTCTATGAAAACAATATACACATAGAATAGCAGTAAACAGTGCTGATCTCCTCTAATATGCTTTGATCACTACATTTTCTGCAATATGATCTGTAAAAGCAAGGTTATTAGTCCTAATTATCTCTCTCAACTGTCACTTTACATAAATACTGTTATGACTTCCCCAGCAGTTCCAATACGATAAAACATTTTCTCTTTTAAGTTTATGCAACACATTATCAGCACAACAGCCACAGACATTCACCCCACAAAACATTTTTTTGCACAGGGGTACAACAAATACACAGTGTCAGTCAGGATTCTTCCAGATGAACAGCACTGGAAACCAGCAATACTTTGAGATAGTAACATACTGTGACACTTCCGAGAAGTGCTGTGTTATTTCAGTGATTACTTAAGCGTCTTAGAAGGATGCTCATTATTAAACCAACAGACAGTAAATATTAGAAAAGCAAAGATTCTCTAACCTTGAGAAAGCAGAGTTAACAAACTGACAGAATAATAAAGATGAAAAGCAGAGTGGTGCAGAATGGAAAAAACAGTCCAAACTAGAAAAGAGACATAGAAAGGAAAGCAAACATACAAAAAAAGATTAGTAGAGTTGCAAATAAAGCAATTACTTTTAAAAAACAGAATGTAAAAAGAAATTAGATACCAATTACAGAAACTCAAAAGCAGTGCCAAATTTTGAGTTTCTCCTTTTTTGGGGGTGAAAAATTTTCATTCTGTTTAAGAAAGTTGTAGAATTAGGTCAATGTTTTGCACAACCAAGAAAAGGTAATCCACATCAGGCCTTACACATCGTAAAGCAAGTATGAATTTGCTGTGACCTCTATTATTCTGATAACTACAACTTCAACAGCCGAGATGTATCTTAATCCAGCAGTAGACTACGTGACAATCAATAGGCTAGGAAGACATTTTAACTGTCTTTGAACCATAAAAATAGTTGGATCATTTATTTTTGAAACTTTAAATAGTTGATTCCAACTTTAAGTAGTTCATATCATTTTGAGACTTCTTCAAAAAGAAATGTAAAAAAGGTAACTGTAAAGACATTAGGAGAAAACCATTAAACTTGTGCATGTTATTTCAGATGCAAACTAAAATTTCTCAAGACAGGCGGGAAGAGGATTATTCTTTCAAAATAGAAAATCATGCTTTCTCAACATAAGATCTCTCCGCTTGGTTGGCAGGTGCAATAAATGGCAACTTCATTTTAAAACATGAATGGAGCAGTGTTCTTTGTAATTAAGACTTTTTTTCCTTCTGGTATTATGTTAGATTTAAGGTATGCCAGTACTTGATCTGTTTCTTATGTAGCTTTTGGAATTAACCTTTTCTTATGTTTGAAATTTATGTCAAAATGCCAAACCCATCCTTACCTTCTGTAAACCGACACCCCTGTCGGAAGGTGGAATCATCTCTGGAGTCAGAGCCTGAGGTGGGTCGATGCCCTTTGATAACTTCTGATTAATTAAATAGAAAGCCAAGGCAAACTGTTCTTTTGAAAGTTTTCCACAGTCTTTTGTGTCACAGAGAGCCCTGTACAGACATGAAATAAATCAAACCCTAATTTCTGCAAGTCCAATCTTGCTTACTGCACTTGCTGTCATTCAAAGCTGTGAAAATTGCTAGTGCTATTTAAATAACGCGACGGAGGAGGTGGGCTTGGTAATAAATAGGAAGCATCACTTAAACATACACAACCCTTTTCTCTTTGCATGCTAAGGTGTATGGTTCCATTAAAGCTGGTTCTGAATCTTCTGAAAGGCAGAATTAGCCAGTGAATCATTAGTAATATCCAAGTACCTTTAACTGTTCTTGCTAATGAAGGAAGCTCTTACAGTCAACACAAACTTCTCTAACTTTCCTAAACTAGAGATTATATTAAGCATGTCTTTCAAAATAGATTTTTTTTCCTAAGAGGGCCTATGTTAGCTTGTCCTGTGGAGGCATGAAAACAAACAAAAAAAGCCATGAGCATCAGGGCTGGCGATGGTGAAAGACAGGTAATCTACAGAACTACACAGGCCTCATGTTTTGCACAGTAAGAGTTTTGCACTGACAATTCTCAACATGAGGGTACAGCTAGTGTATCAGGGCTCAGATACAGAGTAACACTAACACCTTAAAGAGGATTGTTTAGCCTAAGTGGAGCGTTTGTTCAGGATCCTCCTCTGCTCCAGCTAGAATATAACATAGAATGAATTTGTTTTCATCCATTTCATTTCAAAAGTAGAAAAAAAAAGTTACAGGTACTCACTGAATCACAGAATCATAAGGTGCTCATACAGAGCACCTTATTGTATAACCAATCCCTTCAATTCTCTGCAAATATCAACAAAGCACTTTTCATGAAAACTACTGAGAATGACCGAAATCCATCCCATTGTCTAAACAGTTGTCCCTGAAAAGATCCCTACCAGATATGGGCAAGCAGAGCAGAAGGCAGCCCCGTCTTCAAGAACAGTTCTCTGGCTTCCACACCCGACACAAAGCCATCCATGTCTTTGTCAGTTTTCACAAAGATCTCATCATACTTCATTTTGTCTGTAGGAGATACAACCCACTGCGGGGAAAGGAAACAAACACCCCATATTAAGATAAAGACAGGTCTGTTTTCAAATTACTGAAAACTGATTATCATTTCAGATTACTTCTTGGAAAGTTATATAATTCGAACACTACAATGCAGATTTAAAAAGTGATATAGGTGTCTAGCTCATTAATTATTTTTACCCTCCAAAAGAGAGATGCACAGAGATCCGCAAGCAACTCTAAATACAGAAGCAAGATATTTACATCACTAAATGCTCATGCTAGTGGGTACTGCTTTACCTCCTCGTCTATGCATCAAATATTCCCTGGAGACCAAAACTCCCAAAGGAGAACATCAAAAAGTACTAAAGAGGCACCAAATTTTTGTTGACTATTCAAACCTTTTTGCCCAAAACTCCAAGCAACATTTGTGAGGAAAAAGAAAAAAGAGATCTGGAGTTTAAGTGACTATGCCAAACCTTTTTGTCTCATTTCCTCATTGTTTGCATTTACCTTTTCTATTTTTATGTCTTTTTCAAACTCTTCATGCATGCATAGATATACAAGTACACATACACACCTACCATGGATGTTAATTTGCTGGAAGAACCTGTCTATATTCAAGTCAGTCTTCAACCAGAACAACTATATGTACTCCAAAGGTTTACTTGAACTATATTTTTGAACTGATTTCTTAACACTTTGACCTTTGTATTGCTTTGAAATAACTTACTACTACTACTTTGAAATAACTTACTGTTAAAGAATCCTCCAAGTCTTTGCTAGGTAAGATTTTTTTTTCCAAATCAAATACTTATATCTGAAGCCATTCAAGAAATGTAAAACAAGATATATTCATGTTAGTTATTCTCCTAATCCAGTCTTCTCATTGACCTCAATTTATCAACAAATCAACATGGCAAAGAACAGGAAATTAAAACAAAAACAAAAGACACAAACACATATCCCACCACTGTACCAAGAGTCTTCATATAGGCAGACTCCAAAGCACAGCATTAAGGAGAGAAATATTTTAAGCCCAAATCACTTGAGAATTTACCTGTGTTAATGGTGTTTTGGCAGGTAAAACACCTACAGGTGGCAAGGATTGATGAGACTCTTTAGCAGACAGTGAAGATGGAATTAATGGCATTGCTCCTGGAACACTAACAGGTTTTCGCTTGGATGGTGGCACCAAAGCAGCAGGCAGGGACATTGGCACTGGTTCCTTCTCCAGAGCGCAGTACACCAAGAACATGGCCTGAACATGAAAACAAGGTGTGGCTTTATGTATGTGTGTATACACAGGTATGTGCAGATACACATATATAAAACAAAAATATTTTTAAAAAGTTAACATTACTTTACAGTACCTTTGCATTAAGCTTTCCCTTTATAAGCCCTCTCAGCTAAATTCTATCTTACCGTTTTCTGACTTTTTCATTTTCATTTACCCTATTAGTTTGAATGTTTAGCAAAGTAAATACCTTCATAACTTTAAACTGATTCTCTTAATCATAGCCAGGCTTGTAATTAAATGCATCAATTAAATAAATAAATAAAATAAAAAGCAAGGCTTAGGTTGTCCATAAAGTCAATACTTGTCAACTAAATGTTTTGTTTTATTTCTTAACCTTGACTCTGAAAGGAAGAGCTTTCAATGCAGAATGTAAGGTATGGTGTTAGCCTAGCTGAACCTTTAAAGTGAGATTAGACATTTTTCTAACTACAATTAAAGCATCTCTCCCAGATGGACTGCATAACTGTTTGCGCTCCGTTTTATTTGCCTATAGAAAACAGCTGAAATTTTTGAGAAAAAGTTAATGTGTGGTTGCTATCACATTCAAAGTTTACAGGCAGCCTTCAAAAGGAAGAGTCTTCTACTCTTTCCCTACTATCTCCTGGGGGAAAGACAAGGTAGGAAGCACTAGATAAGGATATTTCATCTGGTTGGTCATAAGCAGTGTTCAAATTTTAACTTGCTGTGAACTTCTAAAGAGTTTATTCATACTTAAAACCCTCAAAGATATCTCAAGGCATCAAGAACACAACCATTAAAGGTTAAGCTAAGACTGGCTGTTCAGTGAAAACATGTAACAGATCAGTGGCATAACAGATCACAAGTCTAAGTTTTTAATGGATCATCTGGCCCACAAAGAAATTGGTGTGAAATGTGAGAGATTAACTGAATAAACTGACAAGAATATTAACTAACATTAGTGTTCGATTCCAGGTCTTTGAATAAAGACATTGAATGAAACCAAACTGTAAAAAAAAAAAAAAAAAAAAAAAAATCACACAATGCACCCATATCAAGCCCTAGGCTTTCACAATTCCAAAATGTAGATGAACAAGGTACTTACAACCGCAAACTCATCTCGATCCAACATCCCATCACGGTCAATATCACTTAATTCCCACACCTAACAACAAAAAGGAGATTGTAGAAATGTTTGCCTAAACTTTTCAGTCAGCATTACTTTTCAGTCAGAAACATATATTCATATACATTGCGTAAAAGAAAAGGGGAACGAGAGGGTTAACGGCGCTCTGTCCTAGAAAGTGTGCACAAAACAGACGCATTACAGTGAGAGGTGATTAACAAAACATCTAAGCATATTTTTACAGGTAACGATTGCTCAAAAGGGTGCAAAATGCTTAATATAGTTAGTAGTCAGGTTTATTATTACAGATTTTAAATTTGAATGAATACAGAGTTTATTGTAGTTTTGATTTTGTGAATTAACAACACAGTAAGAACACATTCTTACCCGTCCTAAGATATCCACTGGTAGTTTTGAGTTAAGGAGCACAGGTTTCACCTTATCACCTGACAAGAGTCCATTCACAGGATTGAGACTATCAAAAATAGCATCATACTTGGCCTTGTCTTCAAGCTGCATGGGGCAGAAGAAACAAATACTACTTAAGGTAGTGCCTAGTCACACTCACAACCTATAAAAAACAGCATTAATAGCATTAAGTTTAAACAGCATTAATTTTATAAAATAATAAAAAATAATTTACAGTATAAATAAAAATAATTTACAGTATAAATAAAAATAATTTACAGAAAAATGCCTAACAGAGAATTTCTTATAAGTCAGACTCATCCAAATCCCAAAGAGATTTAGTCTTCAATGACCTTAATAGGCTTCAGAAGATTATTTCCAATAAAACAAGATTCCCACAGTGAAGAGATTTCACAAGTGACAAGTGTTTTTAATCAGATTAGAAGTTCTACCAGCCAAATTACAGATTTGACATGAATGGTAATTCATCATTAAAGATAGCCATTAATTTTATATATAAGAATTCTTGATGAATTTTAGCTATCACCGTCACACTTTTCTTCAAGAAGAATTGTGTTTTATTTTAAACCACCTGACTGTAGCTGATAGCCTGATCTTTACATACTACAGTTTACCTTAACAGCCCATGGTACGTCAGCTGATGCTGCTCCACTGAGTAGCAAAGGACTACTGGTATCAGTCTAGTGAAAAACAGAACACACAAAAAAAACACATAAGGAAAATGGTTCCAACCACTCCCCGGTTTAAGGGGGCACTAATTTTCAAAGCCAGAACTGCATTTTTAACCACTTTATCGCAGTCAAGGATATCAAAGACGAAGAAATTTAAAATTCTTATTCCATTAAGCATAGAATATGCAACATCTATATTACATATTTATATTTTTTAAAATATACATTATATATGCTAATTTTACACAATGTGACACTTAAATCCCCACTAGAATGTTTAGTACCTTATTCTTATTCCACATGGCCCTCTCCCCCACCTTGTTAGGTGTTCACTTTCAGAAATATTTGATATTTACTTAAAAAATTGTTTTAAAATGTTCACTTAAAAGCAGTTATTATTAATTGAAATTTCCCATTAAAAAAAGAAATCTTACAAATCTTGGTGGGGGAACAGGCAAGTTAAGACTGCTCAGGGAAACATCCAATCCATTCTGTGCACATGCTACAAGTCGCAAAGCCACAAAAAATTCCTACCAAAAAAAAAAGATTTTAAAAAAGATTATCACATAAAAAATATTCAGATTTCCAAAGAATGAGCTTCTCTTGAGCTTTTGTATTGCTATACACACAAAAGGTTGCAAGTGGTTGCAAAAGGAGTCACAAAGTTGGAATAAGTAATTACAAGTTTTGCCTCTTGGAGGAACTGAGCACTTTGACCGCTGATTTCTCTAAGTGTTTTAGTATAATTAGCTCTAATTTTTCAGTACTCAGTTCTTCCAGGGCAGAGCAAAGTAGCAATTACATATGTTTATCTTGGAGGAACTGAGTTGATCTCAAAGGCAGTGCTTGAAGCAAGAGGGAAGAAAAGGACAGCACAGAGGTATCAGTCAGAGAAAGTTTCAAGAAAATGTTTATAAAATGCTATAGAACCTCCTTTTCCTGTCATTGAATGAAGCAGCTCTCTATGAGTCACTATTTAAGTATTCATGCTTCAAACCATCAAATATCACAAGTCACATTACAGCTTTTCAACAGATAACACACAAAATTAATAGACAAGTCTGACTGACATATAGGTCATACCCACAACTAAGAAAGAGTAACTGCTTCAAGTTAAAGCATTCTGCTATGTAATCCATCAAAATTAGATAAACAGCAATGTTAAAGATGAAGTACTTCTGCTGGAATTTATATTTCTACAGTAAGTTTCCTCCAGGATAACAGAAAGGTACCTTCATGTTAATATAGCATACAGTACATCAGTTTTTAAATTAATTCCCAGTATATTATACTGCACAGCAACATAGGGACTCACTTTAATGACTTAAATAAAAGATAGATCAGGTAGCTGAAGGCTGTATAATTTATTGTTATTTACCATTAAATGAAAATATATGTTCTAAAAAAAAGAATTCAGAATATATCGATTTAAAATTGTCCTTCTGAACAAGAGTTTTAAACATTTATTTTATTTCAAGGTTTGCTAATAATTGGAGTAACTGAAAGGCTTTCATTCATCACACAGACCATCTTACCTGTTTGTTCAGGATACCTTTGCCATCAGTATCAGCTAAGTCCCAAATCTAAAAATAGAGAACACAAAGATGTTCTATAACAGAGAGGTACCTGGCAAGGGAAGATTATATATCCTGTAGGACCACTTCAATTTATACAGCATACTAACTGAAGCAAGAGATAAGATGATTAAATAAATGATGATTAATTCAGCAAATACCTTTCCAAGCACCAAATCTGTCAATCCAGACTTTTTCAAGAAAACAGCTGCATCAGAAGCTAACACTCTTCCAGTGTTAGCAGAATCAACCTGGGAGAAGAACAAAAACATTGCATCACAATTTAAGACTTGAATTGCTGCAGTTTTTTCATGCATGCATGCTCTCAAATAGCTATCAGAGAAGCTTTAATTAATTGCAACTTTCTGAATAATCTTCAGATTTTTTTTAAGGACACTCATTAAAAAGAATTTTACTTTAGAAGTCACATTTTTGAACTATTTACCATTAATATGACAGGCTTTGAAATTGGACATCTTATTTAACATTGTCATTTTTTTTTTTAAAGATATCTAGTCTACCACAATATCCAACTATCTCTTACACTCTAATGTTTTATAGCATTCCAGCAAAATTATTACAATTAAGTTACGGTAAATAGTAAATACCACAAATCATCATCCCAGAATATTACTATTATTGTCATCTGTCAGCAGACAACTAAGAAAATGGGGGAATTAGAAATTTGCCAAGACCATGCAGTTTGGGGCTGATGGAAGTTACCCCAAATCTCCTAAATTGAAAGCTAATATCTCAGCACAAACTTCCTCTCACAAGTCATGTTAAATAAAAATTTAAATTTATTGTGCTTTAAAAGTGAGAAAAAACACTAACATATAGGCAAGCAAATCAAATGTCTGCAGCTTCATCTCTACAACTTTTGATTATGCCTAGATTTCAAGTTCTTCAGTTTCAAGTACAGACAAAACCCAAGACTTTCCCAAATTATAAAGCAGAGGAACTTGTTCACATTAGGTCACCATCTGAACTTCCCTAATTAGTCCTTTGAAATTACAGGTTTTCTCCTTGATGCCTACCAAACATTTGACTTGTAGAGGCAGAGAAATCCCACAGCTGGATTACATTTAATCTTCCATCTTAGAAAGCTCCAAATGCTCAGTTATATTCTGAAAAAGGAGGTTCTACTTGAAGATATCCTTTCCCATCCCGCTTTACAGTGATCATTTCCCTGTTCTAGAGGGAAGCTCATTTACACACTGAGGTTGGTCACAATTTTGGCAGAATACCAAACTACCAGCACACATTTCTCTGGATCCAAAGAGAGGTCATTAAAAGAGATCACTATTCAAGCTCCTGAAAGGAAACAGTACCTCAACTATATCTTCAAATGGAAAGAATAGCGGTAAAGCTCGTGTCACATACACAAGAACAGGAAAAAGACAGTTGTGTGCTCCTTAAAGAAGAGCAAAAAAAATGCACAGAAAGGGGTTGTACATTTAACATTGTTAATTTAAACTCAGAACTAGTCCCAAGGACTGTGGGACATGAGGACTGTGGAAATGTTTTAGACCAACAAATCATAAACAGGTAGCATGGAAAAAAAAGAGTAAGAAGGGCATCTTTGGTTGGACAGTCCAAGTTTACTATACCAGAGAGAAAGCTGTACAGGCTGTGAAATCTAAAGACCAAATTACAGCTTGCATTTCATATTCAAAAATTATATCGTCTTCAAAAATAAAGTCTTCAAATTGATAACGGACAGAGATGCCCTGAAATTCTGACAAATTTGAGACATGGCACTGTGAAGAACAGGAGAGGCAAAGGTTATTTACTTTCCCCATTTCCTGAGGGGAAAGAGATAAAGAACCAAAACAGAAACTATAGAATTAAAATGAGTAAAAGAAGAATTTGATGCAAGCATTGGTTTTTCCTCACTATTTTTTTTCTTTCATCTCTTTTCACTTCTGCAGTATGGGTACTTGTTGAACCTTAAGTCACACTTGTTCCCAGAACAGCCTGAGAAGGACCAGGTAAACTGGTGCTTCAGTTAGAAGAGCAAGTGTTGGGACTATACAGCAAAAAATCTTGTCTATGTTTGAAAGCATCACTTGTAGTCTCAAAATTTTGTTAAATCGAAGTCTGTATTTGATATTTTGTGTAGAACAAAGATCAACCTTTCAAAGTTCAAAGATAGAGCGTGCAAGATTCTCAAAGCAGAGAACTCCCAAAGATGTGTTGGTAATTAGTTTTTCAAACAACTACATAAGAGGCCCTGATAATTCCTCATTTCAAAAACATGCTACAGTAAATGAAGGCTGTCAATAGATATTTCCTGCTTCTAAAAGCACAAAAAAAGCTCCAAAATCAAATTAGAAAATAACATTTAATATTAAAGTGAAAGGATCTTAGTTTCCATGTATGCAATATAATTTTAATTGGGAGAAGTTGGTTCATATAATTTAGGATTCTCAGATCACAGCAATAAAATTATACATTCTTCAGTAATTATCCTTGTAATTAACTCACTGCTCAGATTTCTAAATACCAAATTCAGCCTGTATGGAAGAACTGTTTGTGTTTTAGGGAAGAAGTCACCGAGACGGTGCAGCAAGTCCCCTCTTGGTGCAGTGTGTTATCTATCACATAAGCCTAAAAACATTAGGATCCAGTCCAAAAAAAAAAAAAAAACCAAAAACCTTCAGCCTTGAGGATTTTCTGCTCTTTCAGGAAAGTCACAGAGCACAACATTGGCTGTGGCTACACTGATCTATTTTCTTCACCTTTAACCCAGAGGAAGGTGACTTTGAGGGATTTAGGTAGGCTTATTTGATTCAATATGTGCACAGTTTCTTTCTGTGTAGCTAATTCTCTAAGTTTTAATTACTACTTTTTAAAGGGCAAATCTCAATTTATTTATGAACTACTGAGTCTTGAATGCTGGGATGGGGGTATTTACAACATGCTGCAAACATAAGCCAGTTTTCTGCACTGTCACACTGAGAAGACTGCTGTATTTGCCAGTAATTTGTCAGTTTGGTAGAGATTTTTCTCTGATCAGCTAACAAACTGTTTTCATACCTGCACCAGCAGACAACCTTGCTGTTACAAGTTTTCTTTTGTGAAATCAGAAATGACTGTTTGAAAGAGTGTACCTGATATCCTTAGGTCACAAGGTAACAATCAATAATTCATCAACTCAAAACTCCTCAAGAATTCAATAGCAGTGTATACGCACTGCTGAAGTGCTGAGCTGCATTACAGTAGTTGCCAACTACTTTATCATTTATGTAAGCTTATACTTTAACTTCACCTTATTTTGACAAGTCTAGAGGTCAAACACAGAAAAACATTTTATTTAAAAGAAAAAAAATCTTGATTAAGAGGTTAAGATTTCAAATGCATTTCAAGTAATCAATCTTCCCAGTCACAAAGAAATATGTGTGTGTGTGTGTGTATGTGTTTTGCAATGCTTAATACAAGATGAATTACTTCATAAGCTGGTGACAGAACTGGAAGAGTACTAAGCATTAGAGCTATTTCAGGTGATGAATTTCTTCATGGAATGAGCAAGAGTATTGAATGCTCTTTTATGCTTCTAATAAAAGACATACTCTTACCAGCACCAAAAGAAATGGGGAATATCTTTGCAGCATTTCTATTCTAGAAGTTGCTACCTTCTCACAGAAGTGAGGGAAGGAATCTAGTGCAACTAGAAGTCTTCGACACATCTTTCAAGGGTTCCTCTTAGTACAAATGCTTTCAAAAAGAAGTTCGCATGAGCCAAGTCAGAAAAGCCAACCTGTGGAAATCAGGTCCACCAGCTCAACTTAACATTAGTAATTGTTGATACTAAGCTCCTTTCTTGCAAAGGAATGACAGGCTGATGTACAAAAAATAGTATTATATTAGCACTTTATAGTACTAGGCTATACATATTCCCACAAATGCAAGATATTAAGTGACTTGGGAACGAGCACCATACTTATGCTTGAATTTCCATATCCAACTTCTGCTTCAGATTTCAAGGGTTAAGCAATTGCAAACAGAAGGAAGAAATGTATAGGCTCGTGGGATGATTACGCAAGTCAGTGAGAAAGAGTCAATAGTATTAAGCCAAGAAGCCTAATGGGCAGAAAATGAGTCTCTTGTCCTTTCTCATGACCTTGTAATAATCTTCATAACATGGGAGTCTCCTAAGGCCTTTAATTCAGTTCCTGGAGATAGACATATACTGGGCTTGTCCTTCAGATTGAGTCAGAGAAAGAAAATAACTGTAAGAGTGACAACTATTTCCTATTTCTTCAAGCTGGTTTCTGGATCCAAACTGATTTTGATTAAACTCTCTCCTCTTGTTCAGAAACTTCAAAAATACTATTCTATACTGTAGAAAAAAAGACTTCTTCTACTTAAAGTAGAAGACAAAGTTCAAACTTTCCGGCTCATACATTTTATCTCCGATTTTATGTATATGAGTATCAGCATATTATGCTAATTCCCTAAACACAGTTCAAAAATAGTGTTGGCAGATGTCACAGCTTCTTTCTCCACAGCAGGTATGGCTACGTTGTAGTACAGAGATCCAGAAGTTCTAAATAAAAAAGTCTTAAACAATATATCCCATCACACAACAAGCAGACAGAAGCTTTAACAGGTTCACAGAGGAAGGAAAATAAAAGACCTCCTATCAGGTTTTCTAGACTGCTTCATAAGTTATTCAAAAATTATTTTTTAAAAAAGTGCAATTGCTTTATACAATCATTTAGATTTACATTTACTTAAAGGTGTTTTTGTGTATTTGTATAATGTACATGGTATGAAATGGATATTATGCACATGGTATGAAATACCGATTTAATATATTCGAAGCATCTTTGCTAAATCTAAATATAAAAAACAGGTGATGAATACAAATAATAAAATGGAATAATTTTTATCTATTGGTCGAGTTGGAAGGACTCATAGTCCTTCTGTCAGTGGCCTTCCATCCAAATTTCACTCCTTACAGCAGGATGTCAGAACCTCTGAGGATACTCAAAGAGATTTGATAGCACTAACAGGATAGTTAAAACAATTCAGCTTCATTCATAAAAGGAGTGGGGAAAAAACAACAGAAGAGCATACTATGTAGCAAAAATTTACTTCATCACAAGAGCCAAGTCTGTTACACTTGCAAAGCAATACAAATGATATAATGGATACCAGTGACACATGTCAAGGAAGTGTCAGCTACTATAAAGTACACTATAAAAATATATCTTAGAGCAGATTGTTTTTTCTGAACTTCCATAGTTTACACACTGCTGGCCATATTGAAGACTGCAGCAAAAGAATATTCTGTTTTTATGAAAGTAAAAATGTTTGCATCTTTAACAAAAACATACATACCTGTCGATAGAATTTCTCATACACAGCATTTGCACTTGATAGCTATATTAAAAAAAGAAAGAGAGAGATACAATTAAACCCTATAATGTTTATTTGAACGCTTTTCTCCCTAAGTAACTAATGCTGGAAGATATTTCTTGCCAGTGAAAAAAGTTTTAACATAATTCTTAAGATCCGTAATTGGTATTTATCCTGTAAGATAATGAGGACTAAGATATTTATACTGACACTTCCAGAATGTTCTGACTTCTTATTTGAAGTCACTGATCTCTTTTTTTCCCAATATATTCAATATATTTTTTTGCTATCAGAAATCATGACTTTTGTATAATTCTTCTGTCTTAAGCCCACTGTCTTTTGTTGGACATTCAGTTCTTACCTACAATTAGATAAAGGATAATAGAGTTTCTTATGATCTTACAGCCTTCAGTGACAGAAATGCAGCTTGGTAGAAAATGAAGACGTAAATGAAGAAGTAAATCTCGAGGTAACAGTGGGAGGTCATTCCAATACTGACATCTGCTTTTTGGCAAGTTTTAGCTTCCCCAGAGATGCTCAGTTTCTTCCAAAAACCACATAACTTCACTAGTTAGTCTTTTTATTAAATCTACTAATTAAATTACTATGAAATTAGGTTGTCTTTTTATTAAGTATGCATTATTTATCTCTTGTCTAGTCAGAATAAAAACTACAAATGCTCAACTACAAATATTATCACCTGTATTCAATGAAACACCTCCAATTACACAGATTAACTTTGTTCGAACTTTGCCCCTAGTACTCAAAGCCTTTTATTATTTCAGCCACCATCAATGAAGTGGTCATTTAAACATCTCATCAAATAGGGTGGAGAAATACATTTAAAGCTTTGGCAGATCAACTGTCATCAACTGCTGGAAAGCTATGTTTTCTAAACTAACCCCAAATGCTGTATATGCCAACTCATATACACTTTAACAGCAATGCAAAAGTTCTTCCTTTCCTAAACATTCAAATATTTTACTTAAATTTATTAATTCATTACAAAATGACAACATATAAATAACAACACCTAATTCATTATAAAGGCACACAGTCCAATTAAAGCTATGTACAAATACTGGAACACAGCTGGCCTGCACATATTCTAAAAGTATCAACTCTCATACATAATCCCTCTTGCCCAATATCACCCTTTGTTCAGCCAAATGTTTCATTTTTACAGCCAGACCTATCATTGTCACCCCTGGACAGGAAACACTCCAAGTCCTGCAATGAAAACACTAAATGCAAAACAATCTTTTCATTCAGTGCTTAGAGCACAAGCCAATAATTCTTATTTGCTTTGTTACTGTTTCCAATTTTCATTTAACATCAGTATCACTGAAATAACTGGAATTTCCTATGATGCCAGCCAGAATAATAGCAGGGAGAAAAGAGAAAAAAAAACAAAAAACCACACACTTTCTCAGACTATTTTACAAGTAACAGATTAGTTTTTCCTGCAAAACATACTCCACAATAAAATAAGAGATAACAGTCAAGGATATCCTTGATGTTCTTAGAAAAAAAAAACTATTTAAAATCTTCTGAAGTGTTGCTATAGAATTTACCTGGCAAATATCTCTTTTGGTTTATAACATACAGCTGCAGAGAGAAAACTGAACTTTTTTCAGTGCAAAATGGAGTAAGGGAGGAAAGATCAGATTCCATTCATGTTAAAATAGGAATACATTCCATCTAAAAATGTTCTGCTTGCAAAAGCATTGTCTGTTTTGGTAATTACAATCTGTGTCACAAACTTGGGAACTTCAGAACACTAACCTAGGAAATGAAAACCTTCGGGGACACCTGTCTTTTTCATCTTCTCGTGTCAGCCAAGCTTCTATTTCCTCCTGCTTTTCTCCCTCTGTCATACTCTCATTTCGGTGTAATAAGATACTACTGCTAGTCTGATTACCCCATACATCCAAAAGCTTCCTGCAGGAAAAAAAAGCTGAAGAGGGGGAGATGAGAAAATGCTATCCATTAAGAGAAAAAAAAATAAGTAACACTTTCATTTCATGGAAGACAAGAACACCTTTTTCTCCTCTCCTATCTTGTCTGCAATTCAAAATACTATATTCTGTCATAATACAAACCTACATTTTGGCATTTCCAGACTAAATTGCATACTGTTGTAGTAAGTATTCACTGAGTCATCCTTCCATTACTCTGTCTTGGAACCCAAAAGGACCCAGTATGACAAGGAATCCATTCCCCTAAACTGTAAAAAGAGTAGAGCATAGCTCCATTTCCATGAAGTTAAAAAGAGAACGGATGGGGGATGGAAGAAAAAAGTAATTACAAGCAGTTCTTCTCGTGCACTTCCATCCTTAGACCCTATTAAAGTTTGGGGATGAAATGAAATTACAAAATTATTAAAAAAATCACACAACTGTAAAAACTACACTATCCAGTTTGATGTGACTACTCACAGCTTTTGGCTGACATAGTATCAGGTAAAATAAGATTATCTGCTTTAAAAATAGCTATCTACACTCTAAACAATTTTTTTAAAAAAGTACATTTGTATTTCCGTATCTTTTGTAAAGGGCTGAAAGAGGAACAACTGTGCTCTCACTTCTGTAAAAAAAGCAAGCCAGATTCTTTTATTCTGTTGTTGATCCCAATCAAACACTAGAAGTTTGCAGAGGCCAGGAGACGGCAGGAGGGAAGGTTAGCTTTGCTTTGGCTCTATACCATGACACATTACTACAAGCCTGTCATTTATAAGTATTTACATCCTACATACTCCATAACAGGATGCAAGTCCTGGCAACGTACCACAGACAGGTAGTTAGCTTAGCCTGTTTCAAGATCCAACGAAACATAAAAAAAAAACTTCTCTCTGAGCATTTCCTTACATTCCTACCTTCAAACAACGAATCTTCCCAAATCCTGAAGTTTTTCTCTCAATCATACACAGGTAGCTTCTCAAAGTAAACCACAACTTAAATTTTCAAGAGCAGCATGGAGTTTTTGATCACTTGTATTACACCAATTTTCAACAAACATATCTTCCACACTCTCAACACACTATCTGCATTTTCAGTTTTCCCCACAACAAAATAAAGATGAGCAGCCATCCCTGGAAGGTCAAAAACAGAGGTCCTCCTATGGGACAGAGCTTAATTCAATTTTTTCCAACAGCAAATGACATAATATTCTGCATTTAAACAGTTCCTTCTCATTCATGCTACTAGCTTGTTTTCAAACTAAAGGCATCCACAACAAAACACTTGCTGAGTGAAAGTTTTCTTAGAAGTTTCATATTCAATTCACAGTTATGCCCAGACTGTAGCACTTACTGAGCAAATGCAGGTGGCAACAAGATGTTGCTGAATAGGCTCAAGATGGGGAGAACAAGATAATGCAGAGTATTACTAAACGGTGTGTGTTAGCAACACATTTCAAACATACTTAGCATTTCATATCATCCTGAAATATTATTTTACCAATCAGCCAACAGAATGAAGGCTGTCAGTTAAGCACAAGAAAGTTTCATGTTACTTAAGCAGTGTTACAATACCCAAATAGTGGATATCCAGCCCCCTCAGATACTACAGCTGCAAAACCATCTGCAAATACCCTAGTCTTATTTTGGAAACACCCAACTTCCTAGTTGTGTTAAATTGCAGACAAAACCAAGCAAGCAAAAGGAAAAAGAAAATCAGAGACAATTTTGACTTGACCACAGATAAATGTGACCACAACTAAACTCTTATTCCCTGCAGAAAGTCCACAGCAGAAAGCAGCAATCTGCTACAGTTACCTTTGCTGCTAGTCCCAACTATTGATCTAACTGCAGCTAGTAATCTTATCTGCTCCTCTCTAATATTAGCATTTTCACTTCTCATATTGTATCTAAACTGACTCAGAATACTACAACACTTATGATTTGTTACTATTTTTCCATTAGCTGAAAAAATCCAGAAATTAAAACACATAATGAAGAAATACTCATCTCTAGGAATCAAATAAATCTGAGGCTAGTTATTTAACACAAAATAAAATAAAAGACCCATAGCATCAGGAAGAACCTACTCAGTTTAACCAACAGCTTAACATGTAGTAATTACAGTTTTAAGAATATGGGTGAATATTCTACCTTTGTCAATATTAGCACATGTCTATTAATAGATTTTTTCCCCTCTTAAGGGTTTTTTTTCTTTTTCTAGAATTTGTTTTTGAGGAGGTAAAAAAAAAAAAAAGAGAGACAGAAAAGAGCAATCCAACATTTTGGAATATCAAAGCAAACCTTCCCTATGTACTTTATACCTGTGTTATTAGATCTTTAAGGATATCTTTATTTTCTCAATACAGCTGAACTTCTGATTAACCCCAAACTACCACCCCATCTTTCTATGGAATAGTTGAGGCTCAATAATCAACTACATATAGGAGTAACTGCAAAGTGAGCAGCCTTACTACCAACTTTTTGTTTTACTTTTATGCACTTATAAATGAGTCACACTTATTTACTAGCCCTTATTTTTATATAAAGCTGATAACCAACTATCAGACAGCAGCATGCACAGAGTGTGAGCACTGACAGGCCTTCCTCAGGCTTATGTCTTAGAGGAACACACGCGTCCCACGATACTGATAAATAAAACCAGTCACAAAACTGCACAGCTTATTTGTCATCAGAGCTCTATGGAATAAGAGGCTTTTCCAGCAGCATTGAATCTCTTGTATGAAACAGTGTTATCAGAAAGAGAATCACCAGGGAGGAAAAAAAAAAAAAAAAAAAGTAAAAAAAGAAAAAGTAACAAAACTAACAAAACTTAAGAGTTCACCTGAACACCGAATGAACACTAAAGCTCTCCATGCTAGAGCACCTGTACAGCTAGTACACAAAATACCTGTCTCCACACCACGCACTGAGATGATGAAGTGAAATTAAAAACAAAACACGGGAAGAAGTAAAACGATTTCCAACCCGTTCGCCGAGAATAAGAGCACCTTTGGAGTTGGGCACTGCTAAGGCCAGACATGCAGCTCTCTCTTCCAGGCTCAGGTGTCCTCGCCCGCCTGTTAACGCGTGACGCTCCCACCTCCAAGCAGCCCGTTCCGCTCCCGCGCCGTCCCCGCGCAGCGGGCAAGCGCCCGTGGCCGGGCAGCCGCGCGCCCAGCCGCTCGGACACGGCTCCGACCCCCAGCGCAGCCCGGCCAGACCCCCGGCGAGCACCGCCCCGCGTGCTGCCGGCCTTCAAACCGCGCAGGGCGGCTTTTTACTAACCAGACAAAAGACGAGCCGCGCTGACAGGAGCGCAGCCCCGCGCGCTCCGCGGGCGCAGGGCGCCGTGGGAGACACGGGCGGCCGCTCCTCCCGCTCCGCCGAGCGGGCGGCGGCACCT